GGCACACACACACACACACACACACACACACACACACACACACATGCACTAGAATCCCTGCCTCGGGGTCCCATGTCCCGTACAGTCCACACCAGACCTCTTCCTTCCTTCCTTCCACCTTCCACCATTCCATAATTCCACCATCCATGCCTCCCCTCAAGCTACCTACCTGCCTACAAGCAAGCCAACAGTTGACCCACCCACCCACCCATCCATCCGTCCATACATCCATCAATCCAGCCAGGCCCAGAACCCTCCCTCACGAACCAGGCCCCCCCAAGAAGAGCCCACCTCAGCCCCCCAAAAAAAAACACGACGGGAAACTCCGCGCTGTCATCATCGCGCATAGCAAACCTGCATACCTACCTAGCCATCTAGCCAGCTACAGGTAGGTCCGAATGCACCCTCTCACTCTCGTATCAGCTAGTTGGCCCCTCATCCCATTTATACATCCCTCTCACACAAAGAAACACGACAGCCTCGCCCGTGCTAGCGGCAGCGCTCGGGGGGCCACGATAAATGCGGAGCAGCTCGGCTCGTGCCGCCCGCCTGACGCAATCAACCTTCAGCCCGTCCACCAACACGACGCTTCACACAAAACACAAGCATACAGACCGTAGATACACACACACACACACACACAAACACACATTTGTTCAAGCAGCGTTATACCCCAGGTGGAATGCCGCGCGTCCGTCCGTCCGTCCGTCCTTCCGCGTGGTGATTACCTACCCTAGCTATCGCAGAGACACGACGCAAGAGGCAGGCTACGGACCGCCAGCCTCTAGGCAGCAAGAAGGACTTCAGGAAGCACCGCGCTCCGTTACGTGGAACCAGGAAATTAGTTGCACACGTGTGTGGCCGGCCACCCGCAGGTTTGACAGACGTGGGGGTGGGGGGGGGGGGACAGTTGGCGACACAGCACGGGTACGCCACCCGTAAGAAGCACGAAGGGCTAGCTGGTATGGCATGGCAAGGGGAAGGTCTCTCAAGTCCCATTCCAACATGACTACATCAAGGGCTGGTGGTGATCGCTTGCCCCGGATGCGTAACTGTGTCCCGGCAGATTTTCCTCACGAAGGATGTCCGTACCTCGTAGGCCAGTGACAAAGCCCGCGCAGCAATCAACCAGTGACTAGCGGTCGGCCCGTCAGGTCGAGAGCATCAGTGGACGTGATGTCGGGATATCACAGATAATCGAACCCATAGCCCCAGTCACCACCCGTTCGGAACCCGGCAACATGGCCACAAACTGCGGCATGACGTCCGACAGGACATGACAGCGCCGATCCCCCGAGTTCTCGCAGCTGCACAGAAAATGGGGCATGCTCATTGATGGGTTCCGGATCCCGCTCTGACGCTCGGGTATTCCCTCTCCATGTGAGATCTCCTTCAGGTTTCGTCAGAGCCTTCTCACTGGTGGCCGATCCGGAAATCCGCCGTGGTCGATCTTTAGGAGTCTGGCCACTCGGTATTGAGGGAGATGCCGAGTACTAGGTAATATGGGGTTGAAGATCACCACGGGCTTCAAGCTCCAGGTTGCAGAGAGGCGGCACAGACTTTCCAAGTCCACAACGGTCAGCAAGTCATCTTTGTATCCACCCAGACACAAATCGAGACACAAACGACGGCAAACACATGTGCGACGGCGGGTGCTAAGCGAATTCAGGGATGAGAAGAGCATGGCGTCAAATGCAGTACAGAGATGTAGAAATCGATTTTCGTAGCCTATGAGCCAGCGAGAAGACCCCGAACACGATGGCTGCGGTATCTCCGATGGGCGCTGACATATGCATGGTTGTAGGTGGCCGTCCAAGCTCGGACAGAGGGGATTGAAAAGGTCATGTGCCCATGTTTGCTGCCACGATCTATGCGGTGCAAGATGAAGGTCCATTGGTCTCAGCGCGATTTGGTCTCCCGTGTCTAATGTAACGTGGGTATTGAACCCCTCGTCCGATGCTCAACTAATAAGCGTGAGGGTCTCACAGCATGAACTGGGGAAGAGTGCCCCAGTACAGTGGGCGGTATGCGCCCCAGCTCTGATCTCTACGATCAATAGCACTGACTGGCGGGCATCCTTGTCCGATTCCGAAAAGACGATGATATATGAATGCACACTCTCTGCCAATCGGGAGCAGTGCTTGATCATTGACGGTACTTGAGACAAGATGAAGCATTTCGAGGCGAGGTCGATCATGGAGATACTGGCTCCGCCGCCTCAGTCGATCGGCCAATTCGGTTTCCTTGAACACCTGGGCAGCACCGCTCTGTCTTGTGAGAAACAACCACGCTTCTTCGAGAGACCTTGAGATCGCAACGCTCGGGGTTCACAGACCAAAATGGGTCACGAGGAGGCACTGCTATGCTAAGCCAATGGATGCGAATAAAAGATAGGGCAATGTGAGACAAGTGAAGCATTCGGTTTCCAACAGCCGCACCTTGGCGGATAGGTTACAACACGTTCGCGGCAGAGGCTGAATGTGTCTGTCCAGTTAAGTTGGAGTTGACCAAGACAAAGGGAGCCTCAGCAAATCTGCAAATACACCATAGCGGTGTGAAGTCTGCCAAAATCTGATTGGTGCATCGCACTCGCGTCATCAACATGTGCTCTCTGCCCGCATGGAGTAATCGCCTATAGACCGGGGACCGACATGACGAAGCAGGCGCGACTGCATCGGAGACGTTGCCATACCAGGCAATTGGGACAGTTGAGACATGCTCGCGCCTGAGGCACAAGGCACCGACCATTCAGCGGTTGCCACAATTCTGGGGAGCGGGAGGGCGGTTGGGCGGGTGGGTCGATGGGCGCCAATACGCAGCAGCTGCATATGGAACAGATAAACGAAGATCCCCCAGATTGATGAGACGCATGCCGGAGAAAGGACTCCTGAGGATGCTGCATGCCTGCGTGATAAGTGAGGTTTCCCGAAGCAGCATTCTGCCGCAGGAGCATATGCACGGCGCGAAATGACAGGATGCCATGATATGGGGAAGTTTGTGCCGCAAAGGGAGCGCATCGATGAGGCGATGATTGCATACGACGGACGGCTGGGGTATTGCCTCAGGCAGTCAGGGCGCGCAGCGCCGGGGTCTGTTTGCCTAGATCCTCGGTATTGCTGCTGCCTGCACACATGAAGATACAGTTGGGTGCTGGCTTGAGTGATACACAGTACGGAGTAACTTGGGCGTGTGCCAAAGACTCATCCAAAGAGAAGCTGCTTGAAGGGGGAGTGAGACATGTCGGAGGTGCTGACCACCACCGGAAGGAAACTCGGGTATACTTGACGATTGCGCGCGTGCGAGGTGGTACACTTGGTCAGCATGATTGAGCAGATGGCACAGAAGACATTTCGCAGTTAATGTCGGAGAGGCGGAGGGCGGCTTGGCCGTTGGTGTGTGGTTCGTAAATTCTGCGGTGGAAGGCTTCCCCAGAACTTCCAAAGGGTTGAATCGCGTGGGGCCAATGGGCCGGTGACGAGGGGCTGCAGCCCCGGCCAGTGACGGGCAAGGCGGGTGGAGGCTGCTCGGTTGACGTGGGTACTGCGTAGACGACTGTGTAATGGTGTCGTTGGGCACCGATGAGCCTTGAGGAGCGTGGTCAGCTCGCTGCTTATCAAACCGAGTCAAATGGTCTAGGTCTAGCAAGGGTCCTTCTTAGTCCTGGCCGCAGTGCACTACCCGGTAGACGAAGTCGTCATGCCCGCCGGCCGGAAGCATTCCACGGAGGTGTTTGATGCCTGCATGTGGGGATGAGGCTGTTGGCGGTAGCAACATTGAACGCCACAGGTTGGTGACAATAGATGTTGGGCTTTGGGCTGCAGTGGTTTGACGTCATTGGGGGCGCCGCAAAGGACAAGAGTTGTTGAACAGAGTTGCCGTAGTTTCCGCCAGCACGTGGACGGTCCGAGGATGGACATGTGGGGTTGATTGAGTTCCGTACGGATGTCGCCGTCGCGTCGTGGGCCACTGCGAGTTCTTTGTCGGCGGCCGGGCAAAGTGTTGCGACCAGTAGACTCCAGAGAGGCAGGTCCGACGGAGGGGAGCGGCCTTCTAGACGACTCAACGAGGGCACAGGACGGTTGAGCTTTTTCGGTCACACACTGGACCGGCAGAGGGCGAGGGCATGTGATTGGCGATAGCCTCAGGTCCCGTGTTCCTGATGCAGCGACGGCGGCAGCAGCAGCAGCAGCAGCAGCACCACCACCACCACCACCACCAGCATTACCGTCAAGGGGCTGCACAGCTGCACGACTGATTCCAGAAGGCCATTGGAACCAAGCCCGGATGTTGAAAAAGCTGGTTGAGGAAAATTGATGACACTTGGTGGTGTGGCAAACTGTCGCAGGCATGCTCAGGGGTACTGCAGATGTCAAGCACCTCCGGACAACTGGATGCAAAAGCAAACAGACGAGGTCTGGACGAGGTCTGGATTCTCAAAGACCATACCGGCGTCTGCTGCTACGGTAGTGTCGCAGGGAACTCGTCGACATCTCGATTCAGTTTCGGTGACGTGGTATTGGGAAAGACCAAATCTGGACGGACGAGGTTGCGATGGGGCGACGAGCAGCTGTCCTATGGCTGCTGCCGGGCAATATTCTAGCGCATTCTTGGCTTGGCTGAGGCCCTTCGTCCCTTCCAGCTTCGTCCCTTGGTCCCGTTGCCGGCCTCACTAAATACCTAGGTAATTGAGCACCTGGGATTCAATTGCCTCATGATGGCATGTTGGTGCAGCTAATAGTGTAGAATACAAGAACACCCAGGCAATATGTGGCATTTCAGGGTTCAATGGCTGACCACGCCACATCGAGGCTGCAGTGGAGTGACGCCGAGACCTATGTAAGGGGAAGGACCGGGCTGGGGAGAGCAGTGGTGGGCTGTCACGATGTCACTAACACCTGCTCCATCCGCCCCCCATCTGCTCCACCAAAACTGTCATGCAGCTGCCCCAGCAGTCGCTAAGTATGCCGTACACTAGACTACACTGCGTACTCCGTACGGGAAGGACTCCTCCCCCACACTGCGTAATGGGTCTTAGTCGTGGTCGTCCCTCCTGCCCTCTCATCATCCCGCACTCTGCCTGCCACAATCGACACAGTCCACCATGATTGATCTGTTGGCTGACCATTCCCGTCGTCCCTACCGGAAAAGTCTGATTGCAGCAAGATGCTTTCCTCGAACGGGCTAGCCCACGGCGCTACCTGCCACAACACCTCGCCCAACACACACACTCACACACCCATCTTCAACCCACGCAACCCTCGCAACCCACGCTCGTCCTTAGCCCGTCGACGCGTCTGGCCAGCCCATGCAGATGGCCATGGCCATCGCCGTCGCCATTGCTCATCTGTCGGGCCGCCAGCGTGAGGCGTGAGGCACATTTCAACTTGGGCCAGGGCCGACCATTCCCACCTACGGAGAAAGACGTCGCTGTTCCCCGGCTGTGCAGCTGTCCAGCGTGGAGCTAGCTGTGTGCAAGAGCCCACGCATGCGAGCTATTGTTGCTGCGCTCCAGCTTGAGAGCCTGAAGCCTTGGCTCGGCGCCAGGTCTGCTGCACCGGTCCCCCAATACGCAGAACAGGGCGATCCCTTGCTGGATGGCTACCCTCTCTCCTCAACTAGACGACGGGACGGAGACGTGGACATGTCTGTTGCTATTATTACTAGACCACCAAGAGGGGCATTGCCGCATCTGCATCTAACCGGGTACATGTCACCCTACCCCAGCTTGCCCATGTGGACATTGCCTGCGCCGGCCACAGCAGACTGTGGACGTGGAGACCAGATCAGTCCAGTCCAGTGCACAAGCCAGCAACGACAGCACGACAGCTTGAGGGGATTGACTGGCAGCTGGTCGTGGTGGCAAGCCACGGCGTCCATCCTCACACAAACGGGGACGGCATGGATGACAGGCCCAGTGGCAACCGCCATCAATGTGAGAAATTATGGAACCGAGGCACAGCAGTGAACACTGGACACAGGTCAACCGCAGAGCACCGGTTTCGCATTCTGCTCTTGAGTCTTCTTCACACACTGCCCAGGCAGGCCAGGGTGCCAGGATGCAAGCATGCAAGGATGCAAGGATGCAAGGATTCCAGGCCATCCGAGCAGCTGGACCTCAGGACCTCTTGGGCGGTCCGCATGGTCTCCCCGCTGGCCGACAGCGCCTGCTCCCGCAACCGCCCGTCCTCGCAGCTGCAAGCAAGGTAGGTCCATGTCCCCGGACCCTACCGTGCCAGCCCGTGGTACGTTCTTCTCCCACCTGTGGGCTAACCACAAGAGACTGGCTGACTGGATTGGCCTGCTGTGCTTCCGTCACCCTGCCTGCAGCTCCCTGTCTGCATCAGCACGCGGCCTGTCGCTCGTTTCCTCTCTCTTCACCAGCACGCCTGCACGCCTGCACGCCTGCACGCGCGTGGTTCCTCGGTCTCGGTCCATTCTCAAAGCTCCATACCCTGCCCGAGGTACTTCATCTTCGTCCGAGTACAAGGTTACAAATCTACAATGCCCTTGTGCTCCCCACGCCCGCCTTCATATACCCGTATATGCTCCCGCCTTTTTCCTTACTCACGTCCACATGAACCAAAGCACTCAGCTGCATCCTTCAAAAAGCTCCACTTCCAACAGATAAGCTGCCCTTCACGGCTGCTCCACCCGCCTCGGTTTTCGACACACCCCGGATCCAGTCTGTCTGACAGCTCAACTGGACCCCTTCCACTCATCAGCGTCAACGTCACGCCGTGCGCCAAACCCCCCTGCTCGAGTCTGCCCAAGCACAAAGGGAGCGCAGCCACCTCAGACACTCACCATCCAACCGCGCATACTGCAGCCCCAGCCTTCGGCCCCCAGCGCCTCCCACCCCATCTGGCATATTTGACGCCTAAATTCCAAGCCTGTCAATTCTCGAGTGCCGCCTAAATCACTCAGGCGCCCATGTCCGACCTGCATCTGGGTCGCGAACGCATTCGTGCCACATAGCTCTTATAAAGCAACCTCCACCCACCCTGAGGATCAACAAGCGGCCCCCCTCCCCACTCTACCGCCAGAAAAGCGCACGTCGCAATGACCCTAGACACACATAGGAAAGGCTCCTCAGGGAGTTACGACTCTTACGACCGGAGGAGCAGTGAGTCTTACGGCTCGCGGTCAACAGCCCCCACCTCCCTCTACACAAATTCACGGCCCTCGGAAAAGTACAGCAGACCCTACGTCCAATATGTCGAAGGTAGCCAGGACCTCTCCCCGGTCACGTCGACATATCCTCGGTCCTCTGTCGACACTTATGCCTCGACCGATGCCTCGGAAGAGGACCTGGCCTTGGAGCGGGAGGAAGACCTGGCCAGAGCCAGTGACTCCGACTACATCCCACCTCTACCTGCCTACCGCCATGAGATATCCGAACCAAACATGCGCCCTTCAACACCAAAGAACTTCTCCCAGCTGTTTCCAAGCATGAACCGGCTGTCGATACGACATGATGACTTCACCACTGACGGAAACATGAACCTGCGCGTCGACACCATCGTGCCGAGCAAGAGGAGGACCGCCGTCCAGCTATTCCACCTGCGCATGTATGACCTGGCAAGGCGAGAATTCTCACTCCGCCGATACTGCCGTGACTCGGGCCGAGAGGTCTGCAACTCGAAGCGCAAGTTTGTCGAGCCCGCCTCGGCGGCCAGGCCCTCCCTCCAACGGTCCATGTCTAGTGCCGTGAAGGCAATGACAAGACCCCAGTCCAAGCGCGTATCTTCTGGTAGCTCCCTGTCCAAACACGAGAAGCGGCCCGGCACGTCGCATTCCTACGATGCGGACTTCGACACCGCAAGTGAGTACTCCCGTGCCTCAGACGGCGACCACAAGAGGCCCCAACCCACGAACTCCATCAAGCTCGAGTTCAGCAACTACGCCCGTGTGGACGTGGAGCGGAAAGGCCAGAAGAGCAAGGACAACAAGCGCTACGAATTCGACTGGTGGGGTCACAAGTACGTGTGGAAACGCGTCGTCGAGAAGCACCTCGACGGCGTTGTGTCCTTCCACCTCGTCCGCGACGGGGAGAACACTCCGGTCGCCCACATTGTCCCAGAGACTCGCTCGCCAAACCAGGTCGAGGACGACGAGCGCTCGGGGGGCTGGGTCCCGCCCTGCTTCATGTGGATCAATGATCAGTCCATCATCGACGCCGTAACAGATGTAGCCGAGTAAGTCCATGAGTTATAACACAGCCCCAATTAGACGCCAGTTACTAACACCACATAGCGTAATCGTTGCTACTGGTCTCATCGCGCTCGTTGATGACTGTATCAAGGAGCGCTGGCAGCCGAGGAAGACTCATCATAACCCTCGGGCCTTGATGCAGCGCGTTTTCAGTCAACGGAGCCAAGAAAATCGCCCAAAAAGCCCCTTGCGTAATCACACAATACATGTTTATTAGACGGCTTTCTTCTATTCTTGTACCTCACCTCTTTCACCTTACTTCCTTTTATCTATTGAAAAGCGGCATCACTGTATATCGATACACATGCAGAGGACAGGCATCATTAAGCGGTCACACAGCACCCACAGCATCATGGAGGAGTTTGGCAACGAGCGATGGATTGCTTTGGGAGGGTACATACAACATGAGCGGCTCACAGCACAAGGCTTGCTTGGTGTACTTGAGAGGGGAGGGGCGGAGCACGGTAACCGGTGTGAGTGATCATGTACAAAACAGTAATACTGAAGGATCTCTTGGGCTCTGGGCCCGCGAGGACGACGCCGTCTTCCTTCCTCCGGGGTTCACACGGCATTTACTGAGACGAATGACACGATTCACAAACCACACACACTTTTTTGTTTTGACTCGTGACTAATCCTGCCCTCAGCACACAAAGTTTGCAACAAATGTTTGTTTGGCTTTTTCTTTTCCCGTCTGATATCTTGGCGAAATAAGCTTCCAGTGATACCCACGGTGTGATTCTGGGTGATGTGTCGGGAAACATGTCTCCCCCCATCGGCAGCCGATCATGCATGCATGCGGTCTTTGTTGAGTTGAGTTGAGTTTGTTGTTGTCACTCTGCCGTTCCGGTGTCGCAGCCGTGGAGCGAAGTTCGGTACGGTGTGTGCTTTGAGTGGACTGACGACTGACTGTGTGTGGATAGAGGAATTAGACCTTGGGAGCTCGCGGCGCGAGGTGGGAGGGGGGGTGGTTGGATGGATGGTGCTGCTGCTGCTGGTGGGAATACCGCGGGGGATAAGAGAGGGTGCCGAGGGGTTGGATGGCTGGCATGGCAGGCAGGCTGGATCCCCGATTTACTTTTTTCCTTTTGGGTGATGCTACATAAATACTGTACACTATGTATTGATCTTGATTTGCGCGCACACCCTAAACCAACTCCTTTAACCTATGTACCGGACGGATATATATTTAAGTACCTACCTGGGCACCGCCAACAAAATTGAGGGCCTCGCTGCCTAGAATCAGCTATCCGCAGGGAGGGGGGGGTTCGCGATTGCTACTGTGCATTTAGTACACTGCTCTACGTGTCTTAAAATTATGGCATGTGCTGGTCGACAGGACTGCCCGCCATCATGGACCGACTGTCAACGCGCTACAGAACAGAACAGACAGACACGGATGGGATAGATAGATGATGTTCGACGGGGTGGGTGTCAAGTCTATTCTACTAGCTGCCGCCCGCCTCGGCCCAGGCAGCCTGCTCCCGAGGTCCATCCCTGCCCGTGCCGTGCCCTGCGTAGCATCCCATCCGTCGCATCCATCGCGGAGGTGCACCCCATCGCACCAACCACGCGTCCTGCCTGCTGGGGTTTGGGAAGTTTGGGGATGATTCTCAACGATTGGGTTTATCTATTCCCCCCCCCCTCATCTTTTTGTCACGTGTTGGGTGGTGTGCTGTTGATGATGGCCGGCCGCGGATGGGTGGATAGATAATCCCATTGATCAAAGAGCATCCCATTTGTCCCATGCGATCTCATTCATGCAGGCTGGTTTGGATTCGATTGTTTGTACGTACTGTTTGTACAGTCAGTAATACGTAGGGTGGGGACGATTGCTGCTAAACATGTCGCACAAGCAGCCGTGTCACCAAATCAACCTCCTCATCTCCACAACATGGAGCATCCATCAATGTGCACTTTCTTCCCGCCAGCACAGCACCACACCACCCATGCCTGCGCAGCCAGCTTACCAGCCCAGCGCCGTTGACACGAACCACTCACTCACTTACTTTTCTGCACATTCAAATTTCTTCGGCCCTACACTTGATCCAGAAAGGGGTCAGCCACACATCCCACTCACATGTCTCAGCCCATCATCCAGCACGGGAAAGGTTGCATTACCATACTACTTACCGTCTGCGCCGCCCCCTTGCGGCAACCCTCCTGTACCAAGGACGGGGAGGAGGGCATGGGAGTTGGTGGGATCTGCAGGTCCGGTGTGCCCAGGAAGGTGGATAGATAGACAGGTGAGTAAGCAACACTTGAGTGTAGGTATGTAAGCAGAGGGGGACTCTCAGCCCACCCTCCTACCCACCTACCAGCGAACCGCCATCTGAAAGGATTTATCTGCCTGCCAGCCAGCCGGCGGTGCGACTTGAAGCAGGCTGGTGGTCCTCGTGGAAGCGAGAGAGGGGGGCTGCGATCGCAGGACCCGCCCGCGCCCGCGCCCGCGCCGCTCCCTCTCAGTCTTTGACTCGGTAAGGCGACGGACGGAGTTACTCGCCCAGCGAAGATGGAGGACCGAGGACGAGGACGAGGACGAGGGGCCGACGGCTGGAGGTGAGTCGCACGGCATGGGAATGGCGTGGCTAAGCTTACATCCCGCGTTGCCTGCACAGCCCGGGGCGGCCGAGGTATAGATTGATGACACTGGTGACTGTTCCGGCTGCTTGACCGCGGTGGGGCTGGACTCTTGGGGGTGGGTGAGTGGGTGTCCCCTCTGAGTCCCGCGCTCCCCGGGCACTCGCTTGCGGATAATATCGATGGATGGCCATCGGCCAGTTCCCCACCCGTGTGTACATGTATACCGTCCCACCTCGATGAGGCTCCGGCGATAGAGACCATAGAGGGGTTGGGGGGGGGGGATGATCATGGGCTGCATACCCACCCAGCAGGCAGCAAGCCGGTCTGCCTCGGTGTGTCTCTCCCTTGATCCCGTGCCTGCAGCAGCGAGCAGCAGGAGGAAACTCAGCCCCGCCCGAGTCCCGAGCGCCGATGCCTCCTTCGTTCTGTGAGACATACAGGGCTGCGGTTACGCAGGTGCGTGCGTGCGCGCATGAGATCCGCGCGCGGGGAGGGGGGGGAGGTGGCTTGTTCGGCTTTTTGTGATGTAAGCATTGCAGAAAGGCGGGATCGTCTCGGGCCAAGAAGCAAGCAGTTCGTTCGCATCCTTCTTGCGTGGTGTAAGACACCATCAGCCTTAAGAGTGGGTCTGAGGGTGGGGATGGGTTCTCTGCTCCAGCTCCGTTTTCTCTTTACGGGGGGGGGGGGGCATCAATACGAATCTGCATTTTCTAGGGTGGGTACCTAGTGGATACTGCCGGTTTTCGTCCACCAGGCATCCCGCGGCCTTGATTGATGGGCTTGACTATTGGGGATGTTTCCCGATACACTGTGGATAGGTTGTGTATTGTTGTAAAAACAAAACGAGGGGGGGGGGCCTTGGTGTCGTTGATTCTTTGGGTTTTCTTTTGAGTTCCCTCGCTAAGTGGACAAGAATGGGGAATGCCCTTCAGTGGGGTCGTGTGCAGTGAGATGCTGTTCAAAGTGTTCAGACACCCGCTGTCAACTTAAGCATACCCTGTGGTATTTCGGATCAGCATCGTACATGTCAAACCATTTCCCAAATTGCTCTCAGTTCCACGCGAGAAGCCTCCAACAAGTATCTGTGGACAAGACTGCTGTTGCAATATATTAACGGAGTCAAGATCGTCTTCATATTAGCAAAATCAAAGTACAGATGTTTCCCCGTGACGTAGCAACTAAACATCAATTGATGCAACGATTAGTATAGGATTCAAAGCACAACAGTCCCGACCTGTTTCGATGTGAACAAGTTCCCGTTACGATGTGATGAGCGTCGATAGTATAGTACTATGTACTCCGGTCACCGATTGACTTTTTCTCCTTCTTCTTGCTTCCCTTCCTCCTCAACACGAGCATGCCTCACATCTTCTGCTCTGATCCACCATACCTCAGGCTATCCAATAGAAGAGCCATCAAATATCCACACCCAGAAACTCCTGTATTCCTGCGAGCCCATGTTCATCATCCTCAATAGACTCTTGTAAACTGTCATTGAACCATCCACCAGGCCACCCACGACACATGTCGACTATCCAAGCATCGTCGTTGAAATCGACCACAATATTGCTCGGCTCTACCTCACCCCAGACCACTCCCATGTCGTGTTCTGTGCCTAGGTATGGTGAGTCCGCGAGGCCGCGAGCCCACCCTGCGGGATGGGCCCGCGGCAACCGTGGCTTCGAGTAGAGTTGGGTCCATTTTTGGTGTGCGCAGGTGCAGTCAAGCCACAGCTGGGGTTTTGAATGACAAAGCCTGCGAGCAGCGTGGGTGACAGCGTCGTCGGTGACTCTGGAGTTCCGCGCGGTCGTGTGTGCCCGTTCGTGCTGTGTCACACGGCCACAGTGTTCTCTCCCTTCCTTCGGCTCTTTTACGCTGCGTGCGCCATACCGTGTGAGCATCTGGGGGCTGTTGTCGGCGCCATTGACGCGTGCGGTGGGTGAAAGCCCTGAAGAGTGTTGTTGCAGCACAGCGTCGGTGACTTGCCCCGGCCCGCAGCCCTTGTCAACGACCAGCGTTGCCGTGGATAAATGACACCAGTTGGTTGGTGCTCCCGGCCATAGCCTGAGCAGGAACATTCCCCGGCCCTTGAGCTGCAATTTGTGTGAATGAGGGAGCAAAGGGGCTCCAGTCTTCGCGGTCGATTACTGCAGGTGGTCCTGAAAATGATTGTCGGGGACTGGACCTGGTGTAACTTGTCTGATTGGAGAGAACGTCCTGAGGTCTACCACAAAATACAACACCGGTCTTATTTACCCCCGGGTACGCTTTTGTGAAGAAGCTATTGGCCATTACCCTATGATTGAAGGAATACATAGGTGTAGCTTTGTGATGACACGATCTATGCATGGAATATGAATCTGGGGTGAGATGTGATAATAGGGATAAGATCTGGTTGAGTGCTATGATGTTGTGGAGTAACGCTTCGAGGATTCAGGATTCCTCAGTAATAAATTGGCAGTGTGGTGACTGTGTAAAGGCGCTACATCAATCCTGAAACAAAGCCAAAAACCACTAACTATGGCCATGAGAACCTCGCTGTTGCTTCACAAGGGTTCGTTGGGCACTTGATCACCCACGGGTTCCGGAATACGAGACAAAACGTCCATACAGTCGTAGCGGGAAGCTATTAGCGAGTACCTACGTAGCTTGACAGACAGTAAACCAAAGGATAATGGATACTTGGCTCAACTTGGACTCAAACGTGAATTGCTTTGTTGTTTTCGGCCTCGCCTACACCAGCCTTATTATTAAGAACGGCTGAGCTAAACATATAACATTATCATAGTTGATATCCTTGAGTCGATGATTCCAGTCGACGGCACCGTCGCGAGCGATTCTCGCTAACCTTGTCTGTGCGGCTGCCATAGGGCTCAGGACTTGTGCCATGTATTGGTTTTTTTTACCTGCACGTTTATTGACACTGCGGGTTTCGTGTTTTCAAACTTTGGGTCTTGAAGCCTTTGGGACTGTATTAAAGCACGGCATTATAACTACGAGAATTGTAACCGAAACCACCTACCTAGGTATGCAAGGAGAATTAGCCCAGGTCCAACACCTTTGATTTGGGTCATTTTGTATTAAAAGATTCCATTTCTTTAATGATCTATTCTAAAAAAGGACTTACACCCGCCAGACTGACTCGGAATATGTGTATAAATCATTCCATCTAGTGTGAGACTCTTAAAAGTCGCGAGAACAGTCCAATGCTAAATAAGGACACGGCATTCAAAAATCAACAGCAAAAAGGGAAATCGATTCAAAGCGACCTAGCTACAAATTGATCCTGTTGCTGCCACACGAGTTTCTTGCCCATCCCCCCTTTGAACAGACTATTCGACTTCTATCCCGTCATCCCAATCCGCCCTGCCATCTTACAAGCGCACAAAACAGTGCAGGAAGCCAATAATACAGCTAGACTTCAAGCAGACAATCCCATCAGAAGAGCATGGGAATGAAACGACTTCCAAGCTCAAGTGGAAGTGGAAGTAGCATTCAGGATCTCACCGCCTGTTGCAATACGCTCCATCTCATCTTCGATCAGGTCATAGCTGTCCGGGTCGGCGTAAATTGCATTTCGAGCATCTTCATCGAGGGTTGCGTTAAGCTTTGCCTCCGCCTCCCGGATCATGTAGGGGTGGTAGAGCTTATCCCCTGGTGACATTTCTGCGGCCGAGGTGAAGAATTCTCCTCTCTTTGAAATGTAGTGGTTGAAAGTTGGCTGCATTGCAGCACTCCTGCGGGCCCGGGGCTGCCAGGGACCCCCGTTTTTAGCTGGTACCCGGCCCATCCACAAATTGGCGTCGGCGTCGCACGGATTGGGTGCGGCGGCGGAACAATGTTGTATCTGGCCGATGTTCAAGAAAGCAATGTTGTACAGGTATGGAGCCGTCTCCTCTTTAGGTCCCTTCTTGGCCTTCACCCGGTTGAGGAAGCCAGCGAGTCTACCTCCCTGTCCTATTTTGAAGATCAGCAATGCTACCTGAGTCGGAGTCTGTGTCTTTCTTACTGTTGTTCTGACCTCCCGGAACACAACGGTTGTATTGTCCGCCTTGGTCTGCCTCTCTGGTGTTTGCAAATGGGAACTCATCGCAAGACGTGCCTGTACCCTTCCATGGAGGTAACTGCGAGCAACGGTTGTTCTGGCCACACCCAGCAGCCTTGCGGCGTGCCTGTAGTGTGTTCTTCGCAGCCCCATCGTAGGTAAAAGTCCTGCTGTATCGACCATTTCTGCAGTGGACTCCAAAACACATGTTCAAGCAGACCTCTATTCAAATGTAAGCACGTGCATTGTTGGCTTTATAATATAATTGTACATACCGGGCATATCGTCACAGTCGAAGGAAACTGTCCCTTGGTTGGCAAGCTTTGTTGCGCAAAGGGCAGGCGTGATGGCCATGGCGGGAACTAGAAGGATGGTGGAAAGCTTCATCTTGAAGAATAAGTGAGCGAGCGTGATACTCAGAGAGTAACTGGAAATGATAATAAAAAAGAATGAATGTTGATGAAGTACTTGAAAATGAGTGTGGGTTGAGTAGATGATGGACAACACTGGAGGGCAAAAGAAGCTTCATTTATATATTGAAATGACTTTTGAGACACACTTCATAATTCTCTCTATGGAAATAGGCACTTGTAAGCCCATGAGTATGCAATAGAACAAGCTGAGCACGAAACGGTAACGGAAGTGCCGGGTTTGAGCTCACAAAAACAGCCCTTCCAAAAGGCGATCGGGGTATCCGGAGGCACTACAACAGCCGGCCTCAAAGTATAGAGCAGAATGATTTCCTTCCATATTCATGCTCGCATCAATGGTCTCTCCTTGATCCACAGGCACCTTTCTGTCTCGAGTAGATTCAGGCCAGTTGAAGTCGAATAAATTACGAGTCCAAGTGCTAGATCCTATTTTGCAGTAGGAAATGTGTTAAACTAACTCATTGAATAAATATAGTGTAGTCTTGTTTCGCTAAGGAGAGTGGATACATAAATACGCACTGCCGCTCAAATAGGGTTGGCGTCCCGCGCTTTGCCTTCCAATGGTGGTGTAGTTCTTGTGTACTGCCCCCTTCGAGGGCACCAAATTTGGCACTTTGAAAATTTGGTCTTTTGGCCAAACAACTTTGAGATGAATGGTCAACTAAACTGTTGGGGTAGGGTCCCGAGCTTCGCCTTCCAATGGTGGTGTAGTTCTTGTGTACTGCCCCCTTCGAGAGCACCAAATTTGGCACTCTGAAAATTTAGTCTTTTGGCCAAACAACTTTGAGATGAGCTGTCTACTGAACATTTATGTTTTCTAAAATCAAAAGGGCAAACCTTCATGCCCCTGGGCTCGGACAAGCTCTCTATTTGGGATGGTTAGACTGATTCACCACGTGATGGGCACAGAATAGACCCATCCAACTGTCAGTCTTTTGGGCTATTACCCGGGCCTAGGTCATTCACCAGGATGACTGGCCTTCAACGATAAGCGGTGCCACCGTAACTCGAAATGCCATTGTGTACAGACACATCTTGAATGTACTATGTTCAAAGCTTTGGAAGCACCAGGTTAAATACTCGATGATTTTCCCATTACTTCAGGAAAAGCCGTCATTCTACCATCCCATCATCCCATCAAACCATCAGCCCACTGACTTTCCACACAAAGACTGTCACAACCCACCAGCAAGCTGTCAACCATGGTTTCCTTCAGCATGACTGCCTTGGCGGCATTTTCCCTTCTCACGTCCTTCGTCTCGGCGGCAGGCTGCGGTTTTAACATCGTCAACATAAACGGAGCCATCATGGGCACCGGCTGTGCTGTAGCCGGCGGCAAGGGAACTCTTTTACTCCCTGACTATAAAGCCAACGCCATCGTGAGCGCCACCACAAGTTGTGGCCTGTCAGTCGATGGATTTGGATCCTTAATGCCGCCTTCGGTCTTCGATGGTTGGACCGTTGGAAGTGCAGGTCCCTGCAACCCGTCGAACGGCCCAGGCAAAAAAGGCGGCGGCAAAAGCGGTGGCGGCGGCAGCGGTGGTGGCGGTGGCGGCGGTGGCGGCGGCGGCGGTGGTGGTGGTAAGCTGACTTCTCTAAACCCCTGAAATTCGGCAAAAACTGTAACTGACTTGCTTCAACCAGGCGGCGGCGGTGGCGGTGGTGGTGGTGGTGGCGGTGGTGGAGGCGGTGGCGGAGGAAGCTCGAATGGCAAGAACGGCAAGCCTAACCAGAAGAAATGTGCTCGGGAGAGGTGCAGCGGTCCCCAGGGGGTAAGTAGATTCTGTGTTGATAGCCGTCCACATTCCCGATCATTTACTAACTCCTCCTTTCCAGTGTTGCACCCAGCCTCTGGGTAGTGGCGCGTGTCCTTACAGAAAGGAGTGCAACAACTACCCCTGCGACTCCTGCTGCGGCGTTCCAGCTGAAAACTGGACAGCTTGCTCCGCTATGAACACCCGTAAATGAAACCAGCACAGCAGCCCAACATGAGCTATTGCCTCGGCATCGAGCCTTCTTTCTTCTGTCTCTTTCGCCTTCGTTCTTTTGGGCTAAGGGAGGGCTGTGTTGGCACCTTGCAGCCAGATTTGGGGGGGGGGGGGTCCATCCGAAGCCAAGCGAGAAGCGCCTAGGCACCAGCTTTGACTGGTTTTCGTTCTTAATTTTTCTTCGTTGATTTGTTTCGTTCTGTTTCAGTCTTATCTTGTGCCCGTCCGAACTAGATAGATTTTGAAATATCAATGTACATATGGACTTCTACACCCTAGATTACCCTAGGGTACAAGACTCTGCGCATATAGGATAAAGCAACATACTCCAATACCAGTACCAAGCATCAATTGATTCTATAAAGCTCTTGTGGTAGAGGTGCTTTGTATTGATCTGTCGGAAACAATCAATGCTCACTGTGTTAGCAGCCTCTGCACACTGCTTGCATCTAAGTTCTCGGAGGCACCGACTACTAAAGAAGAAGTATTTCCAGCTGCTACACACACACCTTACTATAAACATCCAAACCCAAGCAGATAGTAGGAACTTTGAAGTGTGATCGCTAAAGAATCCACTAACGGCACTAGCTCACCAAGTACACGGCACTGTTTATTTATGGCGGTCAAGTTGGTTGTTTCAAGTTGCGCAGGTGTACGAAAAAGGGATTCCTTAGCGGAACTTAACATTTGGCCGGACATGACCGGGGTAGTCAGGGAGGATACCATTTAAATAAGAGCAGAGGCCATCTCATACAGGAATTAATACTTTCCAACCTACACCATTTCAATTATCTACAAGAACCATGCGAATTCTCACGGGAGACCCAATAGCTCTTCCAGCTTATCCGACCTATGCTGTTCCCGAAACAGTTCTGGCGAAGGCTTGCGAAACCTTCGACGCTGGAACTCGTGGGAACGGTGCCCTTGATATCAAGGATGAAGAACGCTTCCATGGACGATCCGCAGAGGAGATCCGCGAGGTTTTGGACCGCGAAAATCCCGATGCTGGCGACTTTGTTCTGATTGACCAGAAGACCGAAGAGAAGGGCGAGGTCACTTATGTGGGAGAATGGCATGATGAATCCAGAGGTGGGCTGGAGGTGGTCCCGGGGAACAACAAACGAGTCCTTTTGACTCTTCGAATGAAGCTTGGCGCTCTTGCATCCTGCTGGGTAAGTTCAAGCTTCTGACCGAAATTGGCTGCACATGCTTTAACTGTTTCATAGACCAATTACCAAGTAGCCAATTCATCACTTGCTGAAGACATCTCAATGGTTTTTGAAGGAAAGCCATATGATCCTCATACAGAATATCCACCCCTCAACTGGAATGATGAGGACGATGACGGGGAAGAGACTGTTTACGTGTTGGCAGAGCCGGGAGAATGGGAGGAAGGCCCAGGAACCCTCTTGGACGTTGATCCGCCTCAAGACCGTGTGTACCGTCTGAAAAGCGATGTTGCGAAGGCGCATAACCTGTCAAACCCTTGGGCAGTAGGAGACGCTGAGGCTGATGGTTCCATGACTTTTGCTCAGGCAAGGCTTCCTCAGAAGCGCGAGTGATTAGCATGAACTACTTGATCCAGCTGGTAAAGGAAAAGACTCGGAGATGTGGACGAAGATATGAGTCCGAGTATGGAGCAATTATAACTACCCTATGGTATTTTTTCCATGCGTATAACACATCATATAATTATGTCACCCATAGAACAGTCATACTTCATCAAGACATCACAGCGGAGTTCTATAGTCTGAGAAGAGTTTTGGATACTAAAACAAGTGGCCCAACCTACTTTGCGTAACTCTATGGCACCTTATTTACGGCTACCACGAGCTCATTCTGCAGGGTAGGCTTGTAGTCTCGCAGACTAACATATATCCCGTGGCGGCTAAGTTACAGTACTATCACTAAGTAGGTTTGCTAAGCTTGTGATGGTTGAGGAGGGGAGACCATTCCTACTAAAGAGCTATATATATTCTATTTATTTACTTTCCATTATTTATTTATTATTTAATTAAATAAATAGTTTTAAAAAATTAATTACTTATTATTTATTAGATTATTTAAAAGGGAAAGAATTATAGTTAAATAGGAAGGAGTGATTGTTTATTAAAGGTAGAATATATATAACTTAAAAGGATTAAATATTAATAATATTAAGATATTTAAATAGTAAAGCTTATTAATAGCTATAAAGATAAATATTTATATAACTCTTTTTTACTACTTATATAACTATTATTATTAATTAATAATTATAAGGTGTTATTTCTTAAAGTTTTTTTTATATAATTAAAGAATGTAAAGAAAGTATCTTTAAGTTTATATTTTAAGGTTATTATACCTACCGGCCTTACTCCTAGCCCTTAATTCCACTTTAAGGTTTACTTGCCCCTTTACCCTCCTAGCCTTAAAGTTTTTTATTCTAAAATTCTAATAGACTGAAAAGGAAGTCCTTGAATTTACTAGGTCTAGTAGGTCTGGAGTTTAGTGTTGCATGGACTATATGCCGATCTTTTAAACGTGGACTACCCTAGGGTACTAAGCACTGCTGTTGATGTGACCAACGCTGAAGCGAGCGCGGTGAAGCCGCAGGTCTGACTGCTTAGAGTTTGCTCTAAGTCCAATCCGCATGATCTTGTATAGGTATCTAAAACGGGTCGTACAACTATCCGCCTTCATAGTTATTCCGCCAAGCTTTCTGAGCAGTTTCTACATAGTCGAGTTTCGAATTCCTTAAATAACGGGCTCGAAAACTTGACTTTTTATGGTTAACGCAAAGCAGTACTCATTGAGAGACAAGAAGGTCTAAAAAGCACGGTTGTTGGGCTAGCAATCCGCCGTTGTGTCACTAATGAATTACAACCTCATGAAAAAGCCCCACACAGCCCCACTAGTTATTGTTAGCTTGCCTTCCCAATTCCACCATGGCCTTTCTATAGATAGACAGGAAGGCTAGACTAACATGGTTTCACGGCACTTGAGAGCTTAGTGCTTGAACATGAAGCACAGGAGGTTCAATTCGTGGCTGTGGAATATTGTAGTTCTTTATATATATAATGCACACATCTCACAGTCATATTTGGTACGATACCGCAAACCTCGTCTTTCCTAACTGTGGTCTTAATCACTTCACAATGCTCTCTTATACGTGTCTTTTGTCACTCCCCGTGCTTGCTCTGGCTCGAGATCAGAAGGCCAATGCCAGCAGCGTTGCGAATCCCGTGCATGGGAATTTGGAAATACCAATCGGCGCTCTCACAAGTGCCTGGACACACCCTCCACACTGCGGCAAAGCGAACGACACCGAGGTTTGTGTATTCACAAACAGCTACTTCGGGAATGGCCAGGGAATCTCCATCCTTGCGGACGCAAAGGACATGGCAGAGATCGATTGGATCGAGCGGTTCGCAGAAGCCAGCAACCAGGATGCTATCACCCGAACAGAGGGAATCCGGGCAGCCCTGATACCTGGCAAGGGGATGGGCATGGTGTCTGACCGTGTAATCGGGAAAGGCGAAATTGTCATGTCCTCGGTTCCTCATGTTGTAGAACATGACGCGGCACATCATATCGACCCAAACACCTTAAGCGAGTTGCGGGACATTGCTGTTGAGCGCATGGGTAAAGAGCAGCAGACGATGTTCCTTGCGCAGCATAGGCAATGGGGTGGACACCATGCGAGTGACATCATGATCACCAACTCATTCCTTTTCAAGGGATTCGGAGGATTGCCCGGGGGAAGTAACGCGAACTTTCCAGAAGTCTCCGTGAGTCCATCCGTCTGTCACTGACCTGACACCCTGAACACTAACCATTAAGAAGCGCTTCAACCATGCTTGCCGTCCTAAGTAAGTCTACTATCTACCGCTAACTTGCTTCGACTGCTAACCACTAATGTAGTATGGGTTATACATTTGACGCCGAGACGCTCACTCAGTCTCTGGTGGCCGTTCGCACCATCCATCCGGGTGATGAGCTCACCATAACATGTAAGTTGGAATCATCCGTTCATGATCTCACGGCCGCAATCGCTCAATACTCATATCCTGGGACAGACATAGATAACTTACAACCGAGACACGGTCGAGTCCACGCACTTGAGGAAGGATGGGGCTTCAAGTGCACCTGCTCTCACTGCAGCCGTCCCTTGGCTGAGATCGACCAGTCGGACAAGCGAATCCAACGTATCTCAACAATCTTGAACCAATGCGACGAAGAATCATGGGCCGCGAATCATACACAATGTGATTTGGACCTAGCTATTGAGTCTATGCTTCTCCACGAGGAAGAGAATCTAACTGGATACCCATTGGCTGCAGCCTTCTATATGGTAAAGGCCGCTGCTGAGGCACATGGAATACAATCTTTGGCCACGAAGTATGGCCAGATGGCCATAATTGAGCAGTACGGTGAACGTTACGAGGAGGCAATGGTGCCGGAGGACAGGCATGCAAAGGATCAAGAAACGCAAGATGGAACAGAGGAGCGTGGAAGGAACCAAAATGGCAAGGATGAGACTGATGATGAAGGCCACCCCCAGGAAGAGTTGGATCTTGGCCCAGCGCAAGCTGTCATGCATCAAGTAGGCGAGGCTACCATCAACTCGCCGATGTAAGTCTTCTTACTTACAATACCACACCGGGACCTGTATTTATTTTGTTCCCTTTTTTCTTTTGCATTATATACCGATGTAGAGAGCATTTATTTCATTAGATTTATTTAGCCACATTCAGCTACTTATTTAGAGCATGTAATTACTAAATATGCCTATAGTTACCTCATACTTGCTCTAGATGCGACCAGAGTCCCCTGAAATCTGCGGCCTGCTAGCTTATCCAAATCGCTTGTACCTCAAGTGCTAGTAAACACATACTTATTCTCTCTAATCTTTCAGAGACTTCAATTGGAACCGCCCAGTATCCCCCCCCCCCCAAGCAAGCACCCGGAGATATACAGATATGGCGAATGATAGTAGAGCTTGTTGCTTTGCAGCCGGGAGACTGTGCAGGAGGAGAGCTGCGAACTCTCCAAAAGTCTCCGTAAGTATATAGCTTCAGTAGCTGCCCTCTGGCCCATAGTTGAATTATTGCTGTTTTCTTTTGTTCCTGTGTCCTTATACAACATGCAGGGTCGCTGATTTTGGTCCAGTCTAAGCTTGATCCAGATCTTGTCAGGTAAAGATAGACAGTAAAAGACAAATTGACAGTCCCCTGTGCTAGATTTCAAACAGGTGCATGGGGATAGGCTGCCTTGAGCTACCTAGGTATTGCATGGGTTGACAGTATTCCTTCCCAATCCTTATTAACCCTGAGCCTGACGGGTTGTATGTAGTCAATGTGCGCGAGCTTGCCGCTGCCATAGGTCCGACGCAGCGAGGTCCCGACGGTTCCGCTGACCGCTCCATAAGTGTTTGGGACGCCGATTGCGTGAAAAGACCTGCACAGTACGCAACTGCCGCCCCTGAAAGCGAGCGTATATCCCCCCTACCCGTGGGTTAGATACAAGCAATGTGAATGCGGTCACCATCACGGCCGGGCTGGAAAAGATACTAGCTCTGAGAGCCCCACCACCGCCACTAGCCCAGCTCAGACGGCGCCGTCTGTGTCGTCCGGTCTTGTGTAACCGGAACACCCACTCCCTCGATAACAGCGATCCAAGTTGACGGTGCAACCAGAGCAGCTCCGCACCTTGTTACTTGCTGCGTTCGGTGGCATGGCCGCATTGGCGCTGGGACCGTGGATGGGGAGGGATCTCCAAAGTTTGTGGGTTTACGATGAGACGTTCATGGCAATCGAGTTGTTCAGGATTCAAAGACGCTGGGCCATTAATTTATGCAGTGCTTATTTATCAGTCCTCCCAAGTCTGTAGCCCTCCGTCTGTGAAGGTCGCCGTGGGCTCCAAGGCTGTTGTTATTCAGCGCAGCTACCTGTTGGCACAGATACTTGCCCACATATCCTCGACTTTGAAACCACGTGGGATGTCACCTTAGGGTGATCCTCCGTCAATGTGGCCAACGTGGTCACCAGGAGCATTCCGAACGGATATCTTGTATCTTTGTGGTCATTAGGGTTGTTCTCGAATTTCAAATGGTGGCAAGGTCGGACTAAGCGTGCTGACCTCCTCTACCATGAGGGTATTTGTAATATTAGCCGGGGAACTGACGAGTGGGTTTGGGCAGAGCACGTACCTAGGTCGCGAATCAATATCATCTGCAGAGAAGGTGGCCGCCATTTGGGAAGCAGGCTTCCATGCGTTCACGTAAACCAGTAGATGAAAGACTCAGTTGAGAATATTGAACGCGTCATTTGTGTGGAATGCCAGTGAATTTGTAAGCCGAGTCACTAGTATCCAAAGCTGGAGTTGGCGTTGAAGGAACGACCGCATAGACCTGCTGACCAGATTGGGATCCTGCCCTAGTGATACCTCCGGGACGTAAGTCCGACTCTTGCGTACAATTACTCATCCTCGCAGATTAGCTGTCCTTCAGCTATGAAATGTCCTCTGATATGAACATTGGTGACATTCCGGGTGTATACGTAGATAATTTCACTGACTTTCCCAGAAACTACTCGAGCTAGCTTCCGTTCAGCGTGAATCTCGAGCCTAGAAAGGTTTCAGCAGATTGATACTATGATTGTGGTTTCTTTAATTCTTTTTGAAATCATTTTAAAATATTATCAATATCAATCCATTTTATGTTTTCTGAGATTTGGGTCTTTTAACCACCGATGGCCGCTGTGTAGAAGGACTCGGGCTGCTTAGTAGTGCTGACCTAGGTGGGTATTTAGCGTACTAATGCGGATGAAACACTAGACTACTGCCATTGTTGTGAGAATAAATTCACACTAGATTACCAATCACGCTTTCCTCCTCGGACTTACAGACTGCGGAGTTAGGATCCAGTGAAAACAGATATCGTGTAACATGAGTTCAAATATTGATGACTGCCCAATGTTCTCGAAGATCGCTGCAATGTGTTGTAGCATCAACCACGAAGACTCAAGGCTTATTCTACTCACCGACTAGCTTCAAAAGAAAGGACAACATGTCGAACTATCTCATCACAGGAGCGTCTCGCGGTCTTGGCCTCGAACTTGTCCGGCAGTTCTCCGCCTTGCCAGAGGAGCAAGTGCGGACGATTATTGCTATTACTCGCAGCGCCAATGCTCCTGGGTTGGAGAAATTGATAGCCGAATCTCAAGGGCGAGTCGTCAATATAGTTATTACAGACATTACCGACGAGTCCGTCGTGAAATCAGCCTTGCCCGAGATTGAGCGACAGCTGCCCGGCGGAGTCCTGGATGTCCTCATCAACAACGCAGGAGTAATGCCAATCTCGGCGGGGACCATGGAAGCCGTCAGCAACTCACAGTTGCAGGACGTCTTCCGGACCAACGTCGGCAGCGTGCAAGCAATGACATCAGTCCTTCTTCCCCTGTTGACGCGCGGAAACACCAAGAAGGTCATCAACATGTACGTTGATCCCGCCCAATTGCTGCTGAAAACCTGCTGACACAATCATAGTTCCACTTCCATGGGTTCCATTGCGTTGGTCAACAACTATGCATTCGCTCCTACTCACGCGTACAAAATCACCAAGGCGGCATTGAATATGTTGAATGCGCAATATGCCCTGGACTTTTCCAGCCAGGGTTTTACGTTCTTGGCAGTCTCACCTGGGGTAGGGTTGAAAATCACTTTCTTTTGCTCTGGCAAATGGGAACTAACTCGACCTCCAGTGGCTCAAAACCGATATGGGAAGCGAACGGGCTGACCTGGAAGTTTCGGTCGGCGCCGAAAGTGTGAAGAGCTGGATCCTCAAGGCAGACAAGACTTACAATGGAAAGGCCGTGAACATCCATGTTCCTGGGTGGGAGAATGCCGAGGGACCGAACAAGTATGATGGCAAAGAGATTCCGTGGTGAGACATGCCGAGCATGATGGCTTAGTACAGTCGTGATGCCAGAGGCCACATGTACCTACACTAGATAGCACTAGTATTGGTGTGAATACAGACTCGGTAAGCCCAGGGTGGCCCTCCTCCCGAAACCCTGCTGCCCTGCTTTGACAGCCCGCCTGGACCTTGGCGTTGAATGGCCTTCGCCCTGCCTAAGCATCTCGGCAAAATGGCCCCGGGGGAACGGGACGAACACTAACTACCCTTGGATGGCACTGGTACATCTGCCATCTGACGTCCTGTTGTTTCGAGGATAACAGGTTCTTGCTATTTATGTGAACACTGCGAGGCAGATGCGCAGTTTTCGGGGAATCCGATTAGTCCCGGCGGAGCGTCCTGGTGGAGGACCTGGACTTCGAAACAACGATTGAACCAGTCGGTCACTCCCACACTGGCCCGCTTTGGCAATCTCCACCGCCATCAGACCTAGATCAAGGACAACGAGCGTCTTTGCCCATTAGAAAAGATTGATGTGCAAGCTAGATAAAGTATAGGTAGTAAAAGGGATATTTCAGGATCAGAACTTTAGGCATGCATGAGACTAGCCCCCTAACTCGCTGAGATTGAAAGAGTTAAATAGGAGATGTTGTAGATACCTAGTTACCTAGGTAGCTAGAGGATACTACCCTGTCTTTTAGGATCACCGTCAAAATAAACTACAAACACATCAAGCAGATCGGTCTTGGCACTGCAGGGTGCATTGGCGTAGCGCTAGCTTTTGACAGCCTTGGCTGGTAATTTTCCGAGGCAAGGCTGTGAAAGCCTTCAGCTAATAAAGCGTGTTTCGTCAGAGCCCTTGTTTCTACCTTTTTCCACCCGTCCGCCCTCAAGCCCGGTTGAACTTGCACTCCTGGCCCCTATACTGTGACAATGGGCCAACGCGCACCACCGTGTCCGCCGTTGGCTGGTCCAAAAATAATGAGCGGTGTGTTCCCTCGTTTCACACACACAGCAGCATTGAGCCGCGCGTTGACACGTGGGATTCAAGCTTTTCAGACGTGCCCACAATTCTGATCCTATCAGTTGCAGAAGCTGACGCCACGTTGTTCTGGAATATCGGTGATTGCAGCGATTCCTCTCTCGGTGATCTTCCCTAGTGCCCCACAGCTGCTGTCTCCTTTGTAATACCATTTCTCCTCTTTGCTTGCATTCGATCGATGTGGCAGTCTGAAAGCTGCGGCTCTGAGAGTTGAGTCCCCATGGCTCTTGATGATGAAATACGTCCGGGGCATTACAAGACGATGTGAAGCGGTTGATTGAGTGCAAAATTATTGATGCGCAACCACAATCATTAACCGTCACCTATGAGCGGTTGGCGAAGGCAAAATCGTAAACTTTCCATCGAACATTGTTCTTGAAGAGAACGGTGGAATTACAATACCATGATTTATGCTTTTGAGCGAGGAATATCATTTCATTGACGTGACATGTAAGAGACCCAATGCTCAAGGCACCCGATTACAATTGCACATTTATTAGTTGGCTTTCGTAGTTGTTGGTCAAGTGGTCATGCAGCTCCTCATCACCGCCAGGAATCAAACTTGAGACAAGTTGGTCGCTGGCCAGAAAGGTTTGTAATTTCATGCCCCATTGGCACTGTCAAAAGGACTCCCAGCCTAAGGCTGCAGAACTACCGCTGCGTATCATGGCGGGCTACGATATGAAGAACAACAAGAAGTCGAAACCACCCAAGAAACCATATCGGAGGGGACGCATGGAGCTGCCTCTCTTGCCGTCTTTGTGCGAGCCCGCAATTGCCAGCACCAAACAAAAGTAGCAAGCAACTAAGTTTTCGTTCTTTGGCAAGTGTATGAGAGCGCGCGTGAGAGAGAGAAAAGCCAAAGTCAACGAGGGCCATCCATTCACTCATACGGCGTCAGACTGCGAGATAGGCGAGACAGTTTGCGAGACGGGCGACACGGCCTGCGGGCTCGGCAACACGGCGTGTAGACTTGACGTCGTGGCTTGTGGACTTGGCGACACAGGCTGTGGAATCGGCGGGAAGGCCTTCCAGATATGCGGCACAGCCAGCTGGGGAGGATGTGGGGCCGCTGGACTCGAAGTCGCCGTGGAAGGGGCAGGGGCAGCATGGGGTTGCCCGGGGAGTGACTGATCCGTACTGACCCCGGATATAGACAGCGTGGCTGTGCTTGGTGCATGGGCAGTCGGCTTGAACTCTTGGATCCCGTCACCGTCGGCCTCGAGAGGATACGCCCGGGTCAGGTCTGCGAGGAAGTACCCCGGCCGTGTCCTTGGGATGTCATCCGTGTAGTTGGTCCACTTCTCTGACCCGAGCCCCTGGTATGCCAGACGCTGAAGCTGCAGGGTGCTGTTCGCTGTCCACTCCAGGTATTTGTACTCCTTATACTTGCTGCGGGAATAGCAGAAAGCCAGTACAGGCTCGGCCGCGTATGAAGCGACGATGATGACAAGGCCGGTGATATATGTGAAGTAGAGCCCGAATAGACTCAGTGAGGTGTAGTCAGTGCTAAGGATTTTCTTGTACAGTGTCAATACTGACTGGTAAAAAAAGACGCAGTAGCCTACAAGGTGGCCGGAGAATAACTTGCTAGATAGAGGGAAAAAGGCTTGCTTACTTGATTTTTGCACACTTGCCACTGGTACTTATTACCTGGCGTGGCCACATATGGCATTAATCTATCGTCGGTGGGACCACGCGCGGTATCCACGAGAGAGGCCTGTATGGAAGCCAAAAGCATTTCGAACCAGTAGATAACATCGAGCTGCCACTGGTTGTCGGGTAGTGGGCCCATGATACCTTGAAACATGTGCTCAATCGACAACAGCGAGGACGGTCCCAGGCCCTGGAGGAGGTCTGTGAAACTCGCAGAAGATAATATCGGGGCCTGGAACATTTGGAAGCGATTTCTCGTTGCGTCTAGTTCGAGTGGGCCCGCCTGCACCCCATCTCCGTAGTAGGCTTCCTCGGAGGACATGTGGAACAGGGTCATGACACTAGACAGGGCATCCGTATTGCCGGCCAGGCTGCCGCAGGTCTTGTTGAAGTTGCAGTATTGACGGCGCATCGTACACCCCATCGGCGACGCCGCCTCGTCCGATAAATATAAGCTGCGTTGTCCCAAGTCGCCGTCCGCACCGTTGTAGAGTGGTAAGACACCACGGTACCAAGGATCGTTTGTTTGGTCCAAATAAACCACTCCATCTGGCGAAAGGAAAACGAGCTTCAACTCTGCGTCAGGCACGATCAGCTGAGGAATAGGTATGAAGTCGCTGTAATCCAACGAAAATGTGCCGTTAACATTGTTTGAGCTAATCGAACTGCACACCCAGGGAATCAATAGTTGTCACAGTCGAGCTCGCATATTTGCCACAGGATTCTACTTACAAGAGTTCAAAGCCGGTGCCTCCTTGATACGGTTGTTGAGAGTCCCTTCTCATATATTTCGGTCGGAGGTTCTCGGCCTCGAAGCTCCAATCCCTATCAAAGGAAGTATCGGGCTTGCCGCGACCATAGTAATACCGGGTATAGTTACTATATCCTCTGCTAACCTGCTTTTTGAACCCATCCGTCCTGAGGGGCGCACAGTGGAGCACCTGCCTATAGAACATGCGCTGGTCGGCTGGCAGATTCAGGCCGAGGTCGTCGCTGCTGATTAGTCCCGAGTCCAACAACAAGTTCGAGTTATTGCTGCGGCATATACTACTGTCATTAAAGGGGCAAGAGGCAGTGAGATCGGAAGTGAATCGAAGGCGACTCTTGACAAACGTGGCACACTCCAAGGTTCCTGTCGAGTTGAAGGAATAACACTGTTGGGCATAGTTGGCTGCGTTTTTCTGAGACTGTGAGGCCAGAGGGTAGATCAGACTCAGCGAGTCGTTTGTCAGAGAGCCCCTGACTATTAATCCACACCGAGAGCTGTCAATGAGGACTTCGTTGCCGATCCCAGAGGAGATCGACGATATGAAGGCGCCGGCCACAGCGAAGGCACAAACCCCCAAGATTGCGAATAGAATTATCGGCAGAGTACGAGCAAGATAGCCATTCGCAATGGCCCGCCAGCACCAGGTCAGTTGCAGAGTTATCCACAAGGTTGATATCGCAGACATGGAGTTTCGCAACACTGATATGAATTAGCCATGGGCCACAATATCACACATCGCCATGGCTTGTACCCGAACGTACCAACTTGGCGTTGATGATGGAGGGCATCACGCGGGTCGGGAGTTGAGTATATTCGGTGGAGGATCAGTGCCACGATCCGCCAGGACCTCGAGGCCACAAAGCCAACAAATGTAGTAGTTACAGAAAGAAGTAGAAGGCCGTATCGCGGTTCCAATGTCAAGGTGGCGCCTAGAACGCGGCCCCGCGACCAGTTCGTCCAGGTGCCAAGATAGACCTTGAATTGGTTCGTCTCACCAGAGTCTGTCATGGTGCCGGGGTTTGGGAAGAGGGGGGATATCTCGTGATACTTGACGCAGAGGTTGGATGAAAAGACATCTGACCAAGACAATTCGACTGGGGAAGCATTGAATTTATAGCCCATTGCCTGCATAAACAGATCTATTCGCCTTCTTATGGCATTAAAAGTGTTGTACATGTCATGAACAGTAGTTAGGTATTCGGAAACCCCGTCTCCCGAGGTCGTTTGGGGCCGTTGAGGCCCTCTGACCAGTTGGATTGGCCAGCCTCACCGCGATCATCTCATGCTGCCTAGGGACCTGGAGGTAGCCTCGGCTGAGCACACCCTCGCCGCAATGGTTTCCTCGGGGGCGGCCAGGCATTATGGTCGATCGACCTCATGTTGGTGCCAACATTGGCGGACACAGAGGCCTCCTCAGACTTGCATGAGCTGAATGTCGGGTGAGACAAGAGCCCCCACGTTGCGTTCTGAGTACAGTACAGTGGGAGTCTAGGTTGACTACACTTCAATTTCAGAAAAGTGCAGTTTGAGTAAACCAAATTTCTGATGGCTGGGGGCGAATCCTATAACATTACTGCAAGCAAGAAAGTGTGGAGTGTAGCTTGAGGTTCCCGCAAGGGGCTCCGTTGGCAACTTTGGGGCCGCTGCGGTATAACCACCACGAATTCAAGGTTTTGATGAGAGCAATTTAAACTGCCACCTATCAAGTCCAGAAGACCACCAACTGGGACGACCAGGCAGGTTTCAGGGGAGTGAAGGCTGCCAATGCGGATCGTCGGTTCACCAGCACAGCACCTCCGAGCAGTTTGGCTCTGACCTTCCACCTTCATCAAGGTCCTCATGTTTATTAGTTCACCCACCTGATAACAGAACATCAACATCATTCCATACAACCAAGGGAACACTACATGGCAGCAGAGAAGAACCAAGCGGCAGTGAAAAAAGCGGCGATGCAAGTACAATTCTCAATAAAGCCAAGAAGTAGAAATATGTAATATCTGCCGACGCACGACAAGGTGGCTGGCTACACAACTCAACTCAGCCAGCCAAGCCAGCCAACCAACAACACAACACAACACAACAGCCACACACACGACATGCTCCCCATCCTCCCCACAGGACTCTCCCCCAACCAACCCAGGGCACAATAACGATCGACAGTCCGCCCGCCCGTCCGTCCACGCCTTGCTGCTCTGCTCTGCTCTGCTCCATACCATGCCGTGACATGATGCGATGCCTTTCCCAAGAGGAAAGATTCGTACACACGCACACGCACCAATACAGACCACCAACCCACATGTACATGCTGCTTGCTTGCTTGCTTGCTTTCGTAGACAGACAAAACACAACAACAACAACAACAGGCTCAGTTCCAGTCAGCCACCAGACCTGCCCCTACCACTTCTCCCACGGTTACCACCACCACCACCACGCCCCGCGGAATAATTACTCTCCTCGCTGGTGCTGCTGAGCCCGCGCCCGGCGAAGCAGTAGCACTAAGACCAGGGGTTGCCGTCCGCGAAGCTGCCGCGCAGGCTCTGCCCCGCGCGGGGGCCGTCGTAGTACCGGGTCCCGGCCCCGCCGTCGGACCACTCCGACGAGTGCGACGAGGAGGTGAGGGCGAGATACCGCCGGGCCGAGCCAACATGAGGCGGCGGCGGAGCAAAGGCACCGTCACAATTGCTGCTGCTGTTGTTGTTGTTGTAGTGGCCATGACACCACCGCCAGCGCACCGGCAAGGCAGCAGCACAGGAGGGCCCAGCCGCCTAGTTCTGGCCCTCCCAGCCGACCCAGCCGCGCGGCATGACGCGCCAGATCTTGACCTCGCCGGACCGCAAATCATCAAGCTTGAAGCTCTCGAGCTTGACCTTCTTGCTCTCGCGGCCCTGCTCCCACGCCCGCACCTTCTTCTTGGTCCCGTCCCACTCGGCCACGACGCCCACGTGGTCCGGCTTGCCCACCTCGGTGCTGTACTTGGCGTGCATGGGCCCGTGCTTGCCCTGGAACTTGGCGTTGCGGATGCTGATGATGTCGCCGGCGCGGATCTGGTCCGCCTGCGTCGTGCTCGCGTTGGCCAGGTTCGAGTAGACCAGGGCGCCGTACGCGCGCGTGCCCACGGGGAGCAGCGCGTCCTTGAAGGGCTTGAGGAGCTCCAGCACCAGCGACTGCGGCGTGCCGTCGCCGACCACCGTGTCCTTCTTGCCCGCCACGGCGGCCGAGATGGGGCGGCCGAACCGCTCGTACGACTCCTCGAGCTGGTCCTGTCGCAGACTACGGGGTGGGCCCTCGTGGCGCTGCTCCAGGTGGACGTCCTTTGCGTCCTGGGGGTCAAAGCGCGCCGTGATGACGGTCTGGGAGTAGTCCTGGAACAGGATGTAAATGTCGCGGGTCACTGTCGTCTTGGCGCCACGCGACTGGGACTCGTCGGATTCGAAGAAAATGTCCTTACGACCTTGCAACTGCGGTGGCAAGCCGTTTGGCTGTAACCACCATCCGGACTGAGGGGCCAGGTCAATGTCATTGGCAACGAAACCGGACTCCATGGACGGCCTGCTCAGCATGTCCACGGACCGTCTGGATGTGCGGACGTCTAGCGAGCCGCGAGAAGTAGGCGCAGGCCGGCCACCAGAGGAGCCAGGAGCAGCCCTGTGCTCGGGTGGTGCCTGGTAGGAAGGCTCCTCGTAGTCGTCGTCTGGACGTGGTGGCGGCGGCGGTGGCTGAGAGAAGGACGGTGCAGCAGGAGCTCGAGGAGACGTCGTAGCGGCTGTGTAATTGTAAGGGTCATAATCGTCCTCATCTTGCGCAGCGAGGTTCGTGGGCGGGGGCGGAGGCGGGGCTGCTCGGGGGGCGTCAACAGATCGCCGGGTATCCGGCCGACTCTCTGGTGGCGGCTGGCTCGGCACTGGAGGCGGAGGAGGTACAGCTCTCGGGGCAGCAGCGGATGGGATTGGTGGCGGCAGAGAGGGGGGTCCTTCCTTTGGCGAAGCAACTGAAATGGTGTCCTCGATGCTCGAGTCGCGCCCGTGGGCCTTCAGAGCGTCCTTGTGCGGCACAGACGAGGCGATGTCGGTATCATAATCTCCATCGTACTCGGTAACCTCTCCCTCATTGTTGTCCTCTGGCAGAGCTGAAGGTCTGGCAGACGACCCTGGGCGGTCAGACGAAATCGAAGTCCTGGGGAGACCTCCAGGTGGAGGGGGCGGAGGCGGTCTTGTCTGAGATGGCGGAGCTTGGGCCGTGCCTGGGACAGGAGGTGGAGGTCGGCTGGCCCTCTTGCTGGATGGGGAGGCTGGGGTAGAATCATCATGGAATTTAGGGGACGTCGGCAACCGGGGAGATGTAGGTATAGGCGGTGCTGGCGCAGAGACGGGAGGCAGTGGCGGCGGTGCCCGAGTCACCGGAGGCTCTTCGCCACGAGGCGTTTCGGGGGCGCCAGGCCCTGACAGCTCGTCGTCCGATTCGGATCCCTCAGATTTGGCGACGTTTGCCACAGGGGCAGGTGGCGGGGGAGGTCGCGCTGCTCGTTGGTTAGCAAGTTAGTGTCGCAAAGGGCTGGCTATACATACAGTCCGTGGGCACACGGGGTGGCGCAGGACGTCCACCCGGAACTGGCGGCGCAGCAGCCGACGTGGCGGTTGGGACTGGACCAAGTTAGTCTTTGCGCATCGATGCGGGCGTGGACACGATCGAGTCTTACCAGCTGGTGGACTGCGTGCCACAGGCTCGTCCTCATCTTCCCCGTCAGAAACGGCAGGAGGCTCTTCATTCATAGGGGTCTTGTCTTCCGACTTTCGGGGGCCGCCCAAGCCTGGCAGAGGCATCATCATAGGAACTGGAGGCGCCCCAATTGGAGAGGCGAGCGGCTGGGAGTCCTCGCTGGGACGTCTGTCGGAGGACGCGGAAGGCTTCTTCTTCTTTGGCGGCAGCGACGGGGCACCGCCAGGGACGGGCATGCCAAACATGCCTGGCATACCCATTCCACCACCAAGTCTGGCCATTCTCGCCCTGAGCTCCTCCTTGCGCCGGAACTCTTTGGTCTCCTCGTCTTCTTCCTCTTCCTCCTCCTCGTCGTCTTCGTCCTGAGCCTCCTCGGTTGCGGCGGACTCTGTGGCAACTCGCGAAGGGCGCCGGGGCTTTTCATCGCTGTCATCGCGTTCGGTGAGGTCCGCCTGGTCCTCAGTTGTCTCCCCAGCGCCTGACATGTCTGCCTCATTTCCGTCTCTAGGCTCAGGGCCATGGGATGGCTTGCGGCGAGGCTGCGCAGGCACTCTGGGGGGATGCGACTCGTCCATAGACTCCCTGGCTCCCGTCCCACCAGTATCGGTGCGGTCCAGAGTTGGCGGCTGGGCAACTTCTTCCTCGTCGGCGCCCTCGGAGGCGGTGGGTTCGTGGCTGGGCATGCGAGGCTTTGCCGGGCGCTTTGGCTTTTCCCTCTTGGCCGCAGCTTCTGCGTGTCTTTGTGCCTGCTCCTGCTGTTGCTTCTGGAGCAATGCCATGCGCTCCTTCAGACTCAGGGGCTTCGGCTGGTCCTCGTCGCCCTCATTCGATTCGGTGGGCAGCAATCCTGCCTTCTGAGCAGAGTCCTCATTTTCAGCCTCCCGTTCTTTGATCTCAGGGTCTTCGTCTCGGCGGTAGACCGGGGCCACCGGGGTGTTTCGCTGGACCGGTACATAAGTGTTTCCCTTGGGTGGAGGAGCAACGAACGGCTTCTTGATAAAGGACGAAGAGCCGGACGCGCCACCCAGGCCGGCAGGCTTGAAGGGGGCGATTGGCGGCGCAGCGCCCTTGTTGAAGGCAGCAATGCGGTCCTTGAAGGAGCTGCTAGCCGGCTTCTGCGTCACGGGAGGCGGGCCCTTCTTAGCGGGCGCGGCCTTTGGCGGGGACTGAGCAACTGGCTCTGCTGCAGGAGCGCGGGGAGGCGAGGCGGGTAGTTCGGGCTCAGGCTCTGGTGCGCGAGGAGCAGTAACAGCGATAGGAGACCTGGGCTCTCTCGGCAATGGAGGCGGAGAGACAGGCAGCTCCTCCTCGTGGGGGGCGGCGAATGGCTCGGGCGCAGCGGCTGCTTTTGGCGAGAAGGCGGGAGGGGCAGGCTCCTCGGGAGGGGCGGCTACCTCGTCGGCGGCGTGCTCGGGTTCCTTCTTGGGTCTCGATCGAGTCGGGCGGGGCGGTGCGACTGGCTCGTACTTCTCGACGAAGTTCCTGGGGAAGATGCCCTCGTGCTTGGCTCCAGCCTCGTCGAGGTACTCGCCGGTGTACCAGTCTTCGTCCTCCTCCTCGGTGACGGTGATGATCTGGCCGAGGGGGAAGTTGAGGTCGTCCTCGTGGGGCGAGGAGTACTCGTAGAGGGCCTTGACCTTGAAAGACATGGCTGCAGGGCCAGGGCCAAGGCGCAGGCGAGGTTGAGGGCGTCGCGGGAGTTGCAAGAGTCCGAGTGTCTGACGTAGGATGATGCGGGGAGCAATGCTCTTGGGATGATAGGGATCTGCGACGTTCTGGCTCGTCTGTGCCAGACCCAACAGGTCAGATAAAGCAGACGAGACGAGGCAATTCGACAATTGCTGGGTCTGTAGGTGTGGAGTGAGTAGGGGGGAATGGGGGAATGGATCGGGTTGAGCGTACAGAAAGTAGCGTCTTGTGTATGCAAGGCAGGCAAGGCAGGTCAGGTCGGTCTGTCGGTCGGGAAGCGACGCCTGCTTCGGGTGCTGGGGAGCTTCAGGAGTCGGGCGCGGACGCGAGCTGCAGCGGGAGTGGCAGGCCGGCCAGTTGGAGAGGATCCTAGTTGGGCGACGTCAGCGCATGAACAAATAAGGAGCCACCGCGTCCAGACTGGACCAAGCCCGACGCACCACACCAGAGCGTCAGATGCGAACGTGTACGACACAGCGCAACCCCTCCACTGCCCTCCAATGCCCTGTAAGCCTGGCAATGACGACGAGCTGAAGTGCAGTTGCTCCGATTAAAATGTGGCAGAGCAGTGGCCAAGCCTCATTCGGTGGCTCGGAAAATAAACACGATTGGTCTGACTGATTGACGACGGGTTGACCAACACCCAACCTCCTCCCCATATATACCCCGCCAGGCCCAAGGCAGCCAGATAGAAGAAGTGTTTTTGGTTGGCAGACACAGGCTGACAGACGTACCTCAGACGAGATCTTGGTGGCAATGCACACAAGGCTTGTGCGTTATGGATTGCTCGCAGCGATGTATGGCTTAGCTTCCCTGATGGGGATCATGTGTCTGTGATATATCAAAACAGCCACCAAGACGGTGATCCGGAGTTGTCAATGCCTGGTGGTATGTGCTGCTTTGTCGTCCCCGAATCTGAATCTGCTCGTAGCCGATCTGTGTTGCGCTAGGGTGGACGGGCCAGAGACTAAACCCAAAGGCCAGGAGGTGGTGATACTACTAGTAGTAGACTCCGTGTAGATGGAACCAGTCTGGAGGAAAAGGGGCAGCCAGGCAGGCAGTATCCGTATATGTCTGTCTGTCTATTCGATCCCAAGGCTCTGATTATCAAAACCCAGCTGCAGCCGGCTCGTCGTCTGGTCTGCTGATGGCTGAGGATCAGGATCCAAAACACACCCAGACTCCTGTCTCCATGCAGTTGGCTGTGCAGGCCAGTCTAGTCTACCTACTTAAGTCTAGCAGATTGCCGTTACCTGTTCTATTGTTGAACCGGGGCTGGCCCACCATGGGCCAGCACCGACCACGGCGGCCAGCGACGGCCGCTCCTCAACGTCAAACCGCCCCAGCACAGTGTGCATGTCTGATGGGGGCGTACAGCGCACACAGTGCATAACCACCTAAGGACTGTCTAGACACTGTACGGAGGTGCGCCAGAGAGCTCATCCAGCAGCCGTTGGAAAATATGTTGCGGCGGCAAAACAGCTTCCATGCAGCCAGCATCCACCGCCCCCACCATCGTCACCCACCATTGTCGCCCAAGCCCAAGACCAATCTTGACAGTTGACCTCTTCTTCCCGCAGACAACCATATCTGCCTGGGAACTATCTAGTCAATCCGCCAGAAACCTACCGTGGTACACAGCCCGCCGACCTCAACCACCGCTACCTCTCACCCTCATCATGGCCTCGGAAACAAAACCCCCCATCAAGGGCATCCTCAAGAAACCAAAGACCACCGCCACCCAAAGCCCCGCACAACAACCCACCACCGCCACAGCAACACCAAAAGGCAAGGCCCCGCAGCCCCCCAGACAGGACCCCCGCCAGATCGCCCTCCAGCACGCCCGCATCCTCCAGGACCGCAAGGACACAGAGGCCCAGATCCTAGAAAACGTAATCGCCCTCCTCGACCTCCCCCTCGACCCCAACACCCCCGCCGGCAGCCCAGACCCCGCCGACGCGCACCTCTTCCTCTCCCTCGTCCGCATCTTCCAGCCCTCGGACTACGACGACCTCATCACGGAGCGCAACCTCGACGGCGACAAGTGCGGCTACGCGCTGTGCGGCAGCCGGCGGCGGAAATACAAGGGCGCGGGCACGTACAAGATGGTCAACAAGGGCCGCCGCGACTTTGATATCGTCGAGACGCGCGAGCTCGAGCGCTGGTGCGGCGCCGCGTGCGCCCGCCGCGCCCTGTGGGTCAAGGTCCAGCTCAACGAGACGGCCGCGTGGGAGCGGGTCGGGCTGCCCGAGATCGCGATCGAGCTGTACCCGGAGGAGAAGGAGGCGGCGGCGGCGGCGGGTGGTGCTTCCGCTTCCGCCGCCGCCGCCGGGCCTTCCGGGGAGGGGGAGAAGGGAGAAGCAGTGGGCGGCACGGACGAGCCTGCGAGGCTGGCTGCTGAGATGGCCCGGCTGCAGCTGCGCGAGGACCGCAGGGCCGCCGAGGACCGCAGGGCCGCCGAGGACGCCAGGAACCTGGCCCTGGAGAGGGGCGAGGATGTTAAGAAGGCGGCGGCGCCCACGGCCAAGGTGGACGTTGTCGTTCGCGAGAAGACGGTCATGACACGGGCGGAGGCCCCTGCCCTCGGTGATGGTGGTGCTGATGATTCCATCGAGGGGTATAAGGTCAAGTTCTCGACCGAACCTGAAAAGGCTTCGTAGCGTGCCATGAACTCGCTTCGGTGAACATTTACAGGCGCCATCTACAAAAAGTTGCATCTACAAACAAGGCGCGGGAGTTATTACGGTTGAGTTTCGAGATACCCATGTAGAATAGAACACACACATGAGCACATAGCACATCAATAGCAGGCACATCACTAGCAGGTGTCTCTCCACGCGGCAGCATGCCGCACACGTCCACAGGGAACATGGGAGAGCGAGTCGGTGGGAAACCCACACGACCAGGGACCTAGGTCCACACCCGAAACCTTGGAAGAATTGGCCATCAAGCCGTGTCTCCGGAATTACCCTAGAGACAGGCGACACCTTGTAGGAGCATGAGATCTGCATTCGATCTAGCTGGGAGCTCACTACCTTCCAGTTGTTGTCGGTAAGAGACGAAAGAAGACACTGTCGTGCCATCATCAAGAACGCCGTGGACGCCGTGTTGACCGACACCACGCGCCCGCAACCCAAGCCCGATTTGAATCCATGTCGTGGTATTGTGACGCCGGTGCCACTTCCCGTATCCCTCATGCCTTTTGTGGTTGTTTTCGTAGCCTCCTCCTCATCGCAGCACCGTTTTTGGTTTGTGGGGTTCGATGATCTAGTCGCGGCGAGGGGGGCGGTCGCCGAAGCGGCGTCCACCACGCTCCTGGGTCTGCTGCTGGACAACGTTGATGACGTTGACGGGAACAGCGTCGAACTGTTGAGCGGTTCTCCTGTTAGCCTACACACGACAACAACAAAGAGGCAGGAGGTGGTGGTGGAAACTTACGCCGAGGTGCTTGAGCAGGTCCTTGGTCTCAGCGTCGACGTCCAGCTGGCCAGACTCGGAGTTCTGGGTGAAGTCGAGGGCGGAGACCTCGGGGACGTATTGATCCTTGCGCTCACGCTCCTCCTCCTGGAGCTTGAAGGAGATACCGCGGACGGGACCCTCCTGGATACGCTTCATCAGGTGGGTGGCGTAGCCGGCAATCTTGTTGCGCAGACGCTTGGAGCTGTAGCACGCGGAGTCAGCGGTGTGGTCATGGCCTGTGTTGTGACCCCCAAGATCTCTGCTGTACAGGCCGAGAATGGAGCATATCTGCTGGCGAAGGGGTGTCCAGGAGCTACTTACGCAATGATGGCAACCTCATCGCAAATCCTCTTGTTGGTCTCGAAGTCGAGAGTCAGTCTGGGGTAGTACCGCTCAATGATGACCTTGGCGGACTTCTTAACGGTCTTGGTGCGGACGCGACCCATTTTGACGGTGTTGGAGGTGGTTGTCGAGGTAGGAGGTTGTCGACGTGGAAGAGTTTGGGCCTTGGACGAGCGTGCGGAATTGAGGCTGCAGGAGAGAAATCGAGAAGATTGAAAATCGGGAGTGCCCACTCACTCGGAGCCGTTAGCCTGTGCGTATCAGCGCGGGCGGTGAGGGAGCGGCAGAATCGACGGCCCACGTGCACGGTCACGTGTATTGCTGAGCGCCACCCAAGCACGGATACCTAGGTACCTGACTATGGTGGCACTTGAGTGGAATCGCAACAAGTCACGGTGCTGATTCTATGGCGTCGTTACATTCTAATCAGCTCAAGCTATAATGTTCAGTTTTTATCGACAGCTATCCCCGAAAGAACTAACTCAGAGGAAGTCATTCCATCAGTAAGAGCTCAGCTCTGAAGACATTCACCGTTGCGACGCTCAGGCACGACATGTAACTTTATTCTATTCATCTCTTTGCAGTTTTCATTCTTTAGATTTGAAAACCAGACCATGCAGAAGGAGATAAATATCGGTTTAGAGCGTTTAACAATCTTTAGCAGGAATTCATGCCTAGCGATTTGTGTCTTCACACATTAAAGATCAATAAGAACGAAACCACCACAACCAATTGACAGATGTTACTTAACCCCGCAAGAGGTTCGGATTAGGATTGACTTCACCAGAAATTTAATTGACATGTTCACAATCGAAGAACGTGTTGCCTCCGAGTGGTACATCATTTAAGTGCGGTGAACACGTGTTGAAACCTCGTCAGTATCTATCCCTAATCGGAATTCGGGTTTGCAATGCCATGAAGCTTTATCGTTTAAAGAAAATCACGATGAGTAAAGGTACCCAGGTATTCTCGAGAGCATGACCAAGTAGTACACTTCAATCCACAGACCCGGACTATCTGAACAGCAATAATATTGAAACCCGTTGTAAAGGGTGGCAACGGTTCAAGTGCTCTTTGGATTGCACTCCAGCCAATTATGTATGGGTTTGCAAAGACAAATTGTGCAAACACTGGTCACTGCTTGCTTAGGATCAATTTTACATTTCTACTTGATATACAGGCCCTCACATCTATTCTTTCGCCGCTCCCAGGCATGCCCGCAGCTCTACAATAAACCAGACAGGCTTAAGGGGGCACGGAAGGACTCGAAATGCTCAAACCCCACAGCAAACTGTCCATGCCCGCGTTATTGCCCTTCGTTTGACATGCCGTACCCCTCGCGCGTCCCCGTCGTGAACTTCGCATTGGCATATCTGGACCCCTTCCCCAGCCTGGCCGACGACATTGGGCCCCTTAGCATGGGCAGCCTGTGCTTCCTAGCGCCCTCGACCGCCCTGCCGTGGAAGAGCTGTTTCTCGCCCACCATCTCCTCCTGCACCATCCTCGAGGTGTTGTCCGCCTCCTCGGCGTGCAGCAGGACCCGGCCCTTGGAGTTGACCTGGGCCGAGTAGATCTGCGCCCACAGCTTCTGGCCGCCCCTGGCGGACGGGTCGAAGGCGATCCTGTTGGCGTTGGTGTTGCGGAGGGACTCCCTGTCGGCCTGCTTGCCCCCGACGACGAAGCCGCCGACGCCCAGGGTGCCGCTCTTGCCGATCCTGGCGACGTCGGCGCTCGACACGAAGACGCGGCCCTTGACGGGCGGGTGGACCTTGAGCGGGCCGTAGGCGGGGTGGTTGTCTATGTAGGCCGACGTCCGCAGGTAGGACAGGCCGGCCGAGGGGTGTGTGATGGGGGGCCCGTGGAGCGCGTACGGGTTTTCCCTGTCGAGCGTCCTGGTCTGCTGTGGTGCCAGGCTGCCGAGCTGGTCCGCGTACTGCGGCGCCTCGATGGGCGCGAGGTCCAGGAACCCGCCGACGAGGTCCATGAGGCCGTGGCGGTCCTGGCGCAGCTCCCGCAGGTAGTCGGTGAGCTGTTCCTCGGTGATGTCGGCCGCCCCCACCTCCTTCACGGCCGCGCTGGCCTCATCGCCTCCCACCTCGGTCGCGTGGGCCTTGTTGTCCCGCGTCAGCCTGGCGGCGAGCTGCTCGCGCAGGAAGTGGCGGAACTCGGCCTTCCTCGGCCGCACGACCTTCTTGATGTACTTCTGGAACTCGCCCTCGGTCATGCTGGCGAGCCAGGGGCCGCCGTACTTCCACCGCATCTGGCCGGCCTGCGTCTTCTTGTCGCTGTCGAGGGCGGTGAAGTCGTACTTGCTCTCGAAGACGGACTCGGGCTTCATGTCCATCTGCGAGATGGTGGCGGTGGGCGTGTCGGGGATGTGGTGCGGCAGGTTGATGGCGATGTTCATCTCCTGCCACTTCTCCAGCGACAGGGTGTGGTCGGCGGCCGAGGCGAAGTCGGTGACGTGCTCCATCGAGTCGACCTGCTTGACGCGCAGGTAGGGCGTGCTGGTCTTGGCGGTGGACCGCAGGGGGAGGTTGCGCTTGAAGCCCCAGTCGCCGCGCTGGCGGAAGGCCTCGGGGGCCGTGACGGTCTGCAGGGTCGGGAAGGCCTGGGTCGCCGTGTCGGAGTTGTAGCTGGTGGCCGCCTGGTAGTCGCCCGGCGGGCCTGGGATCGCCTGCGGCAGCGAGAACATGCGCGATGCCCGGAGGAGGGCGCCGCCGGGCGACATGGTCCGGCTTGCAGTCGCCATTGTCGGATTCGCGACTGCGTACCGTGACTTTGCGGGGTGGGTGTGCTGGTCGGGTCGGGCTGAGGACGTGACGATGAGATGCGAAGCGATGCGATATGGCAGACAGAGCTCAAGAAAATTGGCAGAGGCCCCGAGGAGCTAACGGTAGGCGTTACGATTGGCTGAATTGGACAGGGGTGGGCTCAAGCTCATGTCTGCATGGCAGCATGGGCAACATTTACACTGGCTGACATCAAGTCACCAACCAGCTAATAACCTCGCATAGCACTGAGCAGGTGGCTGCAGTGTTTCTTTTGGATCGTCCCAAGGATGATGTCAACTCCATCGTCATGCCTTTTCGGGGCCTTGTTTCGAGCATCCTGTCGTGCTTCGCCCTCGATGCACGCCAGTATCGTCAAGCCAGGTCTTCACTCCCCAATTGTAGCCAGTATCTCAACAAAGTATCACAATCTGCAAGGCGGACACGTCGGGCTCCATACCACGGCACACAGGGCCAGCTGTTTTAGATGCGGCGATCTGAACCATTTCGCAAGGGACTGCAGCCAGCCAAAGACGAAGAGCACGAGAAGGTTCTGTAAAAGATGCGGTACACCGGGCCATTCATCCCTCGAGTGCGACAAGCCCAAGATATGCCGCCGCTGTGGTGAGCCGGGCCACATAGCGGCAAAATGTCGCAGTGAGGTCGACAACAGGGCATGTTTTCGATGTGGCAAGACTGGACACCTTGGTTTCAAATGCTCGGAGCCTTATAAGCCTCGAGGCCGCCTTGGTGGGACAGGCCACTCGTCAGCAGAACATGTCAGTGCGATTGACAAGAGGAAACTGGACACGCGGCCGACAATTGCCCTCCTCCACGGGCCGAAGCGATGGAGGTGACGATGAACCTTTCTCCCGGTGGTGTGGCAGCGCCGCGGAGGATATGGCACGGGTTAAGGAGGCCGCGATTGTCTGCACAGATAACAGCCTCACAACGTCTCACCGATGGTCCTCTGCAATATCCATAGCTCCCACTCTTCTCAGCAGAAATCGCACCACGGCGGCTGGAATTGGGTCAACCCAATGCGCTCCTGAGGAGGGGGCCAGGGAATAATCCAACGGAGAGCATTCCACAAGTTCAGGAGGAAGACACGAGCCTTGTTCGACAGGCTGCATCTTGTTCTCATATGCATCTGAATCTGCATACATTCACAAATATGACCTGCAATAATCGCATGTCATACCCATATATGAAGTATCCGCGGGCACAGAACTGTGGCAGACTGCTTGTCCTGCCAAGCTAAGCCAGTCTTTCGGTGTTAAGCGGGGCACGGACTTAAGCGAGCTTGGTTGGTGGTCCACTGGTCAGGCTGGTTCTTATCGGTTGATGCAGTGGCATAGGGCACAGAAACGGACTGCATTACTCCATCGCCCCCAGGAGCTGCTGATCTCACCATGACACAAAAGGTGAGATGGTACCGAGTACCGTCGACGGGTCATTGATGGGGAGGAGTCATACTCTTGTCCGGATGACATATAAAAGGCAGCACATTCTAGACGAGAAGGACTGCACAGTCACAGGCTGAGAGGCGACTTGTGTGTGTGGTGTACGGATAGTTTTTTGGTAGGCTGGGCTGGCTGGTTGGCTGTGTTGTGTGTCGTCGCCTTCGGCGTACAGTCAGTCAGTCAGTCAGTCCGCCCGTAGCAAGCAAGCTCAGAGAGGGGGAGGTGGCAAGCTCGGGCTGCTTGGCCTAGCTTGCAACAGCTCCAAATGCTAGGGCTAGACCATGCCTGCCATGGCATTCGTTTGCAAGTGAAGCGCCCTTGTGCCCCCCCGTGCTGGGGCCTGCGGCAGGTCGGCCCACTTTGCAAATGCCTGGTGGTGGGGCTGGCGTTGGATTGGGCTTCAGCGAAAATCTATCACCCCGCACCCACATTCACATTGCCCGTTTCTTCTTCCCTCCCTCTTTTTTTCCCTCCTTCACCAGCGCAAGCCTTGACGGCGAGATTCTGTAGGTCCAACCAGCCCAGCCCTCCATCCATCGTGCCCCTGCAACCAAGACCGCGAGACTCGTGGACTGCTTCCCCCAGACTCGTTGGCTCCTCGCCGAACACACAAAAAAACAAAAGGCGTCCGAGACCCTGCAGCTAACGACCCCGCGTAGTCCTCTTTTATCAGCAGGTCAACCCCCGAGTCTTGAGTCTGCTCCGGCGCTGCGAACTTGTTCCCCCTTCGCCGCCACAAAATCTCTGCCGTTCTCGAGGCATTCACCCCAATCCTCAAGCATCCAGAAGACAAAGCCATTTTAGACAGGTTTCATCGTCAATACCGTCAAAATGGTCAAGTAAGTCCCTCCCTTCGCCCACAGCTGCCAGACCCCGACAACCCTCAGCACAAGCACAACCCACAATCATCGTATCATGGATGGTCGGACCACCCCATCGCACCTCCAACCCTGTCTCGAAGACGCAACAACACCACAAGGCATGGCGACCTTTTCTTTGCTAACAGCTCTCCTCCCAGCTTCACCGTCGACGAGATCCACGATCTCATGAAGAAGCCGAGCAATGTTCGTAACATGAGTGTTATTGCTCATGTCGACCACGGCAAATCTACCCTGACCGACTCTCTGCTGGCCAAGGCCGGTATCATCTCCACCGGAAAGGCTGGTGATGCTCGTGCCACGGATACCCGTGCCGACGAGCAGGAGCGTACGTCCTAACCCCCCCGGGGCTTCCGTCCCGTCCCGTCCCTGTTCCATTTGCTGGCGACCACAGCATGTGCTGACCCCGAGCAGGTGGTATCACCATCAAGTCTACTGCCATCTCCCTGTACGCCACCCTGCCCGAGGCCGAGGACACCAAGGACATCAAGGGCCAGGAGACCGACGGCAACGACTTCTTGATCAACCTGATCGACTCCCCCGGTCACGTTGACTTCTCGTCCGAGGTCACGGCCGCTCTCCGTGTCACTGACGGTGCTCTCGTTGTCGTCGACACTGTCGAGGGTGTGTGCGTGCAGACCGAGACTGTGCTCCGACAGGCTCTTGGTGAGCGTATTAAGCCCGTTGTTGTCATCAACAAGGTCGACCGTGCTCTGCTCGAGCTTCAGATCGAGAAGGAGGACCTCTACCAGTCCTTCTCCCGAACAATCGAGTCCGTCAACGTCGTCATCTCCACCTACTTCGACAAGTCTCTGGGTGACGTCCAGGTCTACCCCGACAAGGGTACCGTCGCCTTCGGTTCCGGTCTGCACGGCTGGGCCTTCACCATCCGTCAGTTCGCCACCCGCTACGCCAAGAAGTTCGGTGTCGACCGTAACAAGATGATGGAGCGTCTCTGGGGAGACAACTACTTCAACCCCAAGACCAAGAAGTGGACCAAGAACGGCACCTACGAGGGCCAGCAGCTCGAGCGTGCCTTCAACCAGTTCATCCTGGACCCCATCTTCAAGATCTTCTCCGCCGTTATGAACTTCAAGAAGGACGAGATCAAGGTCCTGCTCGAGAAGCTTGACCTCAAGCTGGCCTCCGAGGACCGTGACAAGGAGGGCAAGCAGCTGCTCAAGGCTGTCATGCGTACCTTCCTGCCCGCCGCCGACTCCCTGCTGGAGATGATGATTCTCCACCTGCCTTCCCCCAAGACCGCCCAGAAGTACCGTGCCGAGACCCTGTACGAGGGTCCTCAGGACGACGCCATCTTCGCCTCCATCCGTGACTGCGAGGCCGACCCCGCCAAGGCCGACCTGATGCTCTACGTCTCCAAGATGGTGCCGACCTCCGACAAGGGTCGTTTCTACGCCTTCGGTCGTGTCTTCTCCGGTACCGTCAAGTCCGGCCAGAAGGTCCGCATCCAGGGCCCCAACTACGTCCCCGGCAGGAAGGAGGACCTCTCCGAGAAGGCCATCCAGCGTGTCGTCCTGATGATGGGCGGCCGTGTCGAGGCCATCGACGACATCCCCGCCGGTAACATTGTCGGTCTGGTCGGTATCGACCAGTTCCTGCTCAAGTCTGGTACCATCACCACCGACAAGGCTGCCCACAACCTCAAGGTCATGAAGTTCTCCGTCTCCCCCGTCGTGCAGCGATCCGTCCAGTGCAAGAACGCCCAGGATCTGCCCAAGCTTGTCGAGGGTCTGAAGCGTCTGTCCAAGTCCGACCCTTGTGTCCTGACCATGACCAACGAGTCTGGTGAGCACATTGTCGCCGGTGCCGGTGAGCTCCACCTGGAGATTTGCCTGAACGACCTCCAGAACGACCACGCTGGTGTTCCCCTGATCATCTCCGACCCAGTCGTCCAGTACCGTGAGACTGTCAGCGGCAAGTCCAGCATTACTGCCCTGTCCAAGTCGCCCAACAAGCACAACCGTATCTACATGACTGCGGAGCCCCTCGACGAGGAGCTGTCCCTTGCCATTGAGTCTGGCAAGATCAACCCCCGTGACGACTTCAAGGCCCGTGCCCGTGTCCTTGCTGACGACTTCGGCTGGGACGTCACCGACGCCCGTAAGATCTGGACCTTCGGCCCTGACACCAACGGCCCCAACCTGCTGGTTGACCAGACCAAGGCCGTCCAGTACCTCAACGAAATCAAGGACTCTGTCGTCTCCGGTTTCCAGTGGGCTTCCCGTGAGGGTCCCGTTGCCGAGGAGCCCATGCGGTCCGTCCGCTGGAACATCCTCGATGTCACCCTCCACGCTGATTCTATTCACCGTGGTACCGGCCAGATCATGCCCACCACCCGTCGTGTCATGTACGCCGCCGCCCTGCTTGCCGAGCCCGCCCTGCAGGAGCCCGTCTTCCTGTGCGAGATCCAGGTGCCCGAGCAGGCCATGGGTGGTGTCTACGGTGTGCTTACCCGGAGACGTGGTATCGTCTTCGGTGAGGAGCAGCGCCCTGGCACTCCTCTGTTCACCATCAAGTCGTACCTGCCCGTCATCGAGTCGTTCGGATTCAACGGTGACCTGCGTGCCGCCACCTCCGGACAGGCCTTCCCCCAGTCCGTGTTCGACCACTGGCAGCTGCTGCCCGGTGGCTCCCCTCTGGACCCCACCTCCAAGGTCGGTGCCATGGTCCAGGAGATGCGGAAGCGCAAGGGTATCAAGGTCGAGGTTCCCGATGTTTCCAACGTGAGTCTAAGCCCCCAGCCCCCCTGAACGCGTGGGAGCGGTTGCTAACCAGCCTGTGCAGTACTACGACAAGCTGTAAAAGCCTCATGTCCTTGTTCATAGACTTTTCCTACCGCCTCAAACGGCGGCTTGATAGAGCGTATCTTCGGCAATGTGAACGAGTTGCAAAGAAGACGGAAAACGGTCTACGATAGGAAACCCCAAGGGTTTGGGGAGGAAAATGGCGAGGCCGAGGGCAAACAGCAAGCACCGGAACACATTATGATTATAGTCCGACCCCGTCCCCCGAGAGCTTGTACTTAAGGCTGGATTTGAAATTTTATTTGCGTTGATGAAGTCAAAAACAAACTGTTCCATGATTGCCAGCAAGTGATGTAATGTAGTATTGTGTATCTGTACGAGATGTGCCCATTGTACGGTCCGAGCAATTAATAAGAGGCGTGGCGTGTAGTCGACCTGGATGAGTTCGAAGGACGGTCAATATGATAAATGCGTGGGCGCCTGTTATAATTGGAAGTGTGAAACAAGGAATATTGCTCGTGGTCCGGCAGTCCGCCTACCTCTTCGCGGCTAGCCTGCCGCCCGGCCCCACCATAAAGCAACCCTTGCTGCAGCTTTTAGGAAGCTCTGGCGCGCATCCAGTCTGCCAGTCCGCGGGAACATTTCGCCTCGAGTCCATCCAGCCAGACTTGGCCTCGCACCCTCGTGTCGCACTCCATTCGGTCGCCGCAGCAAAGCAGTGTCGCAAACCAGCTGTCTTGATGTCCCCACAAAAGTAGAAGGTTGGGAAAGATGTTGTTCCCTGAGGAGGACTCGCCTCTGCTGAAGGCGTGGATCGTCAAGCGCCTCGAGAATACGTTCGTCACACAATCCCTCGATCGGCCCTTGCGACGGCCCTGGCTCGGGACTGCCATCGCTAACCTTTGCCTGCCAAACAGTTCTGACGCCGACGCCGATGTGCTTGCTGACTACGTGCTGGCCCTCTTACACTCTGACGATGGCACCGAGGATGTCAAGTCAAAGTGCATGTCCGAGATGGGCAATTTCCTCACAGAAGGTACGAACTCGTCGCCACGCGCCACACTGGCCAGACACAGGCTCTGAACTAAATCCCCATGTTTGCAGATCCTTCATCTTTCGTCAACGACTTATTCGACATAATCCAGTACAGATCCTACCTCCCCGGCGCCGCCCCTCCGCCGAAACCAGCCCCGACTGCTGCTCTCCCAACAAACCTACAAGGCCTCGGCGACCCAAACACAGGTCTGCCTTCCATCCCTACTGGTCCTTCCGGTGGCAGCGCGCGCAAGCGTGGCTTCCAGGACCGAGGCGACTTCGCTGCGCCGACCGGCCGGGACCAATTCCAAGGCGGCCGACAGTTCAAACAACCGCGTCGCGGCGGGGCCTACGGAGGTCGCAAGGGCTACGTCGACCTGGACAGGCCACAATCGCTATCACAGGACGACTACCAATTCCAAAACACCCCAGGCCCGCATGCGCTGTCCTTCGGGCAGCCGGGCCAGGTCCCGCAGATCCCGCCGTTCGACCCGAGCAACCCCCTAGAGGCGATGCGACAGCTACAGCAGATCGGCCAGCAGATGGGCCTCTCCATGCCGCCCTTCGCCGGCTACCCCCAACAACAGCAGCAGCACGGCTTCCAGCAGAATGCGCCGGCGCAGCAGGGGAGGAAGGGGCGGTGCTGGGACTTTGACAGGAAGGGCTTCTGCCCCAGGGGCATCAAGTGCAAGTTCGAGCACAGCACTGGCACCGAGCCCGTCCCGTACAGCCTCCCTACGCCACAGCTCTCGGGGCACATCTCGCTGCCCGGAGAAGGTCCGTTCCCTTCTCAGTTTTCCAGTACAGCGATCGAGGCCGAGAGTCTCGGCTCTTCGCATGATTTATTTGCAGCGCCGTTTGATTTCAATTCCTTTGTCGATTTGTCCTACAGTCTTAACAACTTGATGAGTCTGACACAACAAGCAGAGTACGACCCGACCTCCGCGACGCTATCACCACAGATATCCCAATTTCCGCAGCAGCAAGGCCCTCACCAGGGCAACACATATCCTAACCAGAACAGAAATAACCGGCAGGGTCAGCAACGGCGGAAATGGGGCCAAGGGCGGGCGCCGTTCTCCGCAGAAGGCCCGGTCAACGACAGGAGCCAGACCAAGGTCGTGGTGGAGAGCATCCCCGAGGAGAACTTTGACGAGGACCAGGTGCGGAACTTCTTCGCGCAGTTCGGCAAGGTCGAAGAGGTCACCATGATGGGGTACAAGCGGCTGGCAGTGGTCAAGTTCGACAACTGGGCCTCAGCCAACGCCGCGTACAAATCACCAAAGGTGATATTCGACAACCGGTTCGTAAAGGTCTTTTGGTACAAGGACGAGAAGCACGGCGACATCGCGAACGGCGGCGGCGGCGCGAACGGCTTCAAGAACGGCCGCCCGGCTGCCGCCAACGGCGTCAAGCGCGAGGACCTCTCCGGAGGGGACGTGAAGATGGAGGAGGACGACGACGAGCAGCAGATCGACATGGAGGAGTTCGCGCGCAGGCAGGAGGAGGCGCAGCGGCTGCACGAGGAGAAGACGGCCCGGATGCGCGAGATCGAGCGGCAGCGCGAGGAGCTCGAGCGCAGGCAGAAGGAGCTGCAGGCCAAGCAGGCGGCCGAGCGGCAGCGGCTGATGGAGAAGCTGGCGCGCAAGAACTCGGCCGAGGCGGGCGGCGGCGGCGGCGCAGCAGCAGCAGCCGCAACCACGGCGGAGGGGTCCAAGACCGAGGCGCTCAAGGCCACGCTCGCGCGGCTCAAGGGGGAGGCCGAGGCGCTGGGGATCGACCCGGACGCACAGCAACAGGACGACGGGGCAGTCCAGTTCCCGACGACGAGCTACGGCGGCCGCGGCGGCAGGGGAGGAGGAGGGTACTACCGCGGCCGCGGCGGCTACGCCCCGCGGGGCTCTGCGTTCCGAGGAGGGGGCGGCGCCGCGCGCGGCCGGGGCAACTTGCACGCGGCGTACGCGGCCTTCTCGCTGGACAACCGGCCCAGGACGGTGGCCGTCTCCGGGGTCGACTTCTCGGCGCCCGAGAAGGACGAGGCGCTGAGGCGGCATCTCTTTGTAAGGCAGACTGAACCCCGGGACTACTCCACCCCACCTTCTCCCTCTCCCCCCCCCTCCCTTCCCCTGAAAGAGGCATCGAGCCTGGCTGACTGACTGACCCTCAACCCCGCAGGGCTTCGGCGAGGGCGTCACGGGGATCCAGGTCACGCCCGCGGTGACGCACCTCAGCTTCAGCGACCGCAGGCAGGCGGAGCTGTTCTACAGCGGCGTCAAGGGCGGGCGGATACCGGGTGTCAGCGACGGCGGCGAGGACGGCGGCGGCGCGGCCGTCGAGGTCTCGTGGGTCTCCGGGCCGGCGGCCGCGCTGCCTGGGAGTACCACTATCACCACCACTTCTTCTGGTGTTAACCCCCCGACCGGCGGCGGCGGTGGTGATGCTGATGCTGCGATGGACGATGCGGACGCTGCCGGTAGGAACGGGGAGACGACGCAGGGGGGCGGCGAGCCGGATGCAAAGTCTCAGGGCCACGAACAGCAGCAGCAGCAGCAGCAGCAGGAGTCTGGCGAGGCCAAGGAGGTGGTGGACTATGACGTTGCCGGCGAGAACGAGTGGGACGAGTAGGGCCGGCGCCCATCCGAGCGCTGTCGGTTGTGTTGGCACGGTATGAGTTCACTATTAGAGACTAGGCGGTCCTCCTCCTGGTCCTGTGGCCAGCATTACCGCCACCGTCGACGGTTCACGTTGTGGATTGCCGGCCGGGTGGGAGGGGGTAGGAGGTTTGAGGGGGGCCGTCTCTTGAAAAAAAACAAAGTCAAAATGGTCAGATGTTTATGTGTATGGTATGGGGCAGGTAGGGTCAGTCGGTCAGTCGGTCCGGTCCGGTCAGGTCTACTCCTTCTTGCCCGGGGCAGTCGGCGCTGGGGCCGGAAGAAGGTGGCAGGCAGGCGGTGTCAAAACAATACTTTGCATAGCATGGGCAGTCAGTCAGACAGCCAGACAGCAAGCATGTCATGGGGAGCCGGCGTAAACATCGAGAGCATCATCAATCAGGCCTGAATCTTAGGTTTCTTAGGAAAGCAGACGGGATAGAGCACAGCAGAGACCAGTCCAATCCAGGCAAAGCAAAGCAAAGCGAAGCAGGCGGTCGGGAGGAGGGGGCTAATGAATTACCTGTTGTGGGATTTCAGATGTGAGCCTTCTTCCAACCCCCCAACCCCCCATGTTGCCTGTCTCAAACGAGATTGCTGGCGGGTGGGAGACGTGGTTGGATTTTTTTTATGAATTCTAGGGTAAGTCTAGGGTACCTCGACTCCTTCGGGGTCAGACTGCTTGTTATTGTTGCCTCCGCCTGACCTGCCCAGCCAGCCAGCCAGCCAGCTGGAAATCATCCGTCTCGAAACCAGTGTGTCTGGCAGGCTAACTGCCCTGTGCTGCGGTCTGTTACACCATGCCTCGTGAAATACTACGCACGTCACTTGAGGTCGTAGCAGGGTGGTTTGTTGAACCAGTCGAGTAGTTTTCGGAGTTCCATGCATGCATGCATTGTCGAGCGTCCCCGACCCGTCCGTAGTGGGCGGGGCGGGTCGAACCGAATCGTCAAGTACAGACAGACAAGACACGCCACTCTCTCTATCTTGCTCATGGCTCTACGCTCCGATCTCTCTTCCCACTCTGCCCCGAAGAAGCCCTTCCCACCCCGAGCCACCTCCGCGTTCTTCTCCCTACCTTCCTTCCTTCCTTCCCTCTCCCTCCTCCCCAATCTGTGTCTGCCATGGCCGCGGGACACCAATCTCTGTTGAAACGAGATCGAATCCTCGCCACGAAGAAAAGATCCACCCATCCCTGAAATGTTGAAACTCCGTAGCACCGTGATTTTTTGGTTTTTCTTTTTTTTTTCAGCCGGGGGGGCGTGTTATCCCCCGGCCGCCACGATTGTGCCTTATGCTGCCTGTGTGTCATGCCATGCCATGCCATGCCTGCATGCCCTTGCCTGCCCTGGGGGTATCTATCGTTGAGAATGAATATTTATATGTGCAGAATGGAAAGGAACGAGCTTCCCAGCCCCCCCGCAGCCGTGGGGAGGAAGGGATTCGTCCCCTTCGATGCGTTCCCGCCTCGACTCGCTTCGAGGCACTCGCTCGTCCTCCTCCTCTCCCGACTCCATTTTTTGTTGAAAAACACATTGACCACACCCTGCTCCCTTTTTGCTTTGCGCCGCTTGCTGCCGTAATGTTGAAAAGATGTGTTGAATAAGCAAGAAACGCCGGCTGTTTGTTTGTGTCCCCCGCCCCAATGTCATGCAACCCAAATCGTTAAGGAAATGGTGTCTTGTTAAAAAAAAAGTCGTCAGTTGTGTTGCAATGGCATGCACACTGAGACTCGCACCGCAGTACACTGCGGTGGCTGAGCGATTAAGTTCCGTCGTGTTAAATCCAGGTCGTATCATTCATGATGTTGATTAATTTCCGTCGAGGCACTGTTGAAGCCTCTTCCAAAAGGTGGCGGTGTGTGTGTCGCTGAGTGTACAAGTTGCGCCGCTGCTGAAAATCAGTTTGCCGTGGGTCCGTCGGCTTGGACCTCGACGTCAAGGTCCTTGACCTGCAGTCCCTTCATAATTTCGAAAATGGTACGTGGCTGGTGGAAGTCGTTGTTTACTGGCCACAATTGTAAGCGTTGGTCTCGAAGAAGATGGACATGATGAGCGACTTACCAATGTTTACCAGATGCCAATCCCTCATCATGCGGTCCAACAGAATCCGGCTAGGGGTGCCCGCCTCGAAACAGTTGGCCCAGTCCGTGCCGAGCCGGAACGCCTCGTCCTTCCAGGCGAGGAAGCTGATCGACTCGACAATGGTGGGCTGCACGATCTCCTTGCCAGGGAAGACACCCCATGTGACGGCGTTGGGGCCTTCTGAAGGGGTGTTGGTGGCCAGGTTACCTGCCTTGGTCACGGCGTAGTACGTCAAATCTGGGTGCTTGTCGATGCGGGAGATGAGCTCGGGGTACACGTCGGGGGCGACGAGAAGTTCGAGGTATGCCTTCTGGTAGACGAATCCGTTCGGTGGACCCCATCCGTACACGGGGTGAGTGGACTTGACACCATTGACAGCAGGCTGTGAGTTGATGGTGACAAGTCCTCGCTTGTTGAGCTCGATGAGGTCCTCCTTGATGGCGTCTGCCTCAGTAGTCAGGGGAGACTCGCTCCAGGGAAGCTGGTCCAGCTCGTTGTTGAGGTACTTGAGGAAGATGGCGGCCACGTCCTTGACAGACTTGGGCTCACCCCACTTCTTGCGATTCTCTTCGTTCGTTCCCGTCAGGCCAATACCGTACGCATCCAGCTCGCCAAAGGCAGGAGACCGGGAGTCACCCCAGCGGCCGTTGGGGAACTCGTCCCAGTCCATGGTCCTTGAAATGTACGACTTGTTCCGGTTGCGCCAGAAAATGGGCCGAACGTCCTCGTCTCGTCGTCCAAGGGCGAGAGACTGCTTCCAAGGCAGGGCCTGCTTGACAGGGCTGCGCTCCGAAGGCATCCAGTCCAGCTCCTCCAGGACCATGCGGGTGGCCTGGGCCAAGTTCATGGTGTAAAAGTGCAGGTGAGGGATTCCTGCGGCCAGGATCTTGCGGCACATGTTGGCGACGAGGGTCTTGCCGACTTCTCGAGCGGCCGCATCGTCGTTCTTGACCGGCTCCAAGGCGTCCATGAACTCCTGGGGCACATTGCACTTCATGTGATTGACCCTCCTCAGGAAACTTGAGTATGTGGCGATGGGCATGATGCCCGGGATGATAGGAATAGTTATGCCACGGGCCCTGACCTTGTCAACCCAGCGGAGGAAGTTGTCGACATCGTAGAACATCTGGGTGACGATGAAGGTGGCACCGGCGTCGACCTTCTCCTTCAAGTGGTCCAGCAGTTGCTCCTCGTCCTTGTTGTCGTCGCAGCCCTCGGGATAGCCGGCAACACCAATATCGAAGTGATCGTGGTACGTCTTCCGTATGTGCACGACAAGATCCTTGGCATACCTGAAGCCGTCGTCGGCAGCCTCCCACTTCTCCTTGTCCCTAGGAGGGTCTCCCCGCAGGGCCAGGATGTTGGTGCAGCCGGCCTTGTATGCCTTGCGCAGAGCGTCGTTGATCTTCTCGAGCCCCATGTCGGTGCAGGTGAGGTGCATGCAGGTCTCCAGACCGAAGTAGGCCTGTGCCTGGCTGACCATCTCGCAGGTTAACTCGGCTATGCGGCCGCCTGCGCCCCAGGTGATGTCGATGAACTTTGGGCCGAAGTGGTACATGCGCTCCATACGGTCGTAGAGGTTTTGTACACCGGTCAGGGTCTTTGGCGGGAAGTACTCGAACGAGAAAGACGGGGCAGCCGTCTTCTCGGCGTCGGCAACCATCTCCTTGATATGCATCTTGTAGGCGGGGACGACGGCGTCGTCAATGGGGTGTGTGTGGCTCAGAGAAGGGTGAGGAGAGGTTGATTACTAGTCGGAAACGTCTGGGAGGTCCGGTATATCAGCGAATATGTCAGAAAGGTGGCCGCCGAGAAGTTTCCAGACAAGCAAGCCGCTTGGGAAAACAACAGCCTTGGAGAGCCAGGAAATGGCAACAGTAGAAGAAGTGGACATTGCCAGTCTCGCATGTTTGTCTGGGTATGCTCGTGGAAGAGAGCAAGGCAAGGGAGAAGAACAAGTCCGGAAGGGACATTTTCTGAAGGTTAGGCAAGGGGTGGGTGGTGGCTTACCGCTACAATCTGGAAGAAATTGTTTGGGTCATCAGCACTTCCTCGCAGAGAAGAGTCCTGGATTACACCATTGACCACTTGGAGAGTGTCGGACAAGGGAAGAGAGAAGCAATCTGGAGGGGGAGGAGGAGTAGAGGAGTACTACAACAGCCTTGGGAAACAAGGGCAGGAGGAAGGGGAGGGCTGTTGGTGCGGGTAGGTGGGTGTGGAGGTGGGATCGAATTGATCGAGTTGGGGGACGGGGAACGGGGTACGGGATACGGAAGGTGGTGAGGATTTCTGAGAGCTAGCGTACTCCGTACCGTCAGCCCGTCCCCGTCAAGCCCGTCAGTCCGTCAGTCCGCCTGTTTCGTCGGTGGCCGAGTCGGAGCCCAGCTCTCTGTACTGTAATTATGCACTCTGGACACTTGGTTGGCCCTCGATTGGCTCGAACGGGCCACACGTTTCTGCACATGTTGCTGCACCCCACCCACGCCCTGCTAACCAGTGCAGCAACGGCCCAAGTAGGCCTGCCTTGGCCTGCCCACGGTGTGATCGGGCCCTGCAGCATCCCACGCCCTGATCGTTTACACTGGTGGACACCACCAGTCAGCCGGTGTACCACAGCAGCCGGTGCGGTACCAATGTTTCAACGCAAAGACCTTGTTGTTTCTCCTCTGCTGTGCGTGCATCTGTGCCAACTGCCAACGGCCCCCTACACTAAAATAAACAGGGGTGACGCAGGCTGCAGAACATGGCAGATGGCGGGGTAGAAACTGATGACGGTGCAGCGGTGCATTTTTCTTCTTCTTCGGTCAGACCTGATCATTATTGTTGAGTGCAGTGCAGTGCAGCGCAGCATGCAGCAACTTGCTGCAATGCATGACCGATGACTCTGACAAAGAGGCCCCACGATGACTCCAGATGCCACAGTCCCCTCCTCCGGCCTCGCTTCTGCTGGTGTTCACACTTTGTTTGGCGGGGTCCAAACAGACGTGAAAATTAGACTGGCTGCCCCTCTCCATGACGATTCTGCCGTCTGGGGTCAGCCAGGGTCCATTTTAGTCCAGGTAACTCCGTACCTATGTACTCCGTACTCCGGTACTTCAGCTGGCAGCTGTCCGTCATTCGTCCAGCTGACCGCCAGCTGCCGCCATGAGCAAGTCAACATCCTTGCTTGCCTTCGGCATCTTCGATACAGCCTCATCCACCACAACCGCATTGGCAACGAGACCCATTCCCCCGATCGAACTCGCTACACTATCCATTTGCTGCCCAAATCGCACGGGCTTGATGCTTACTCCACCTATCTCCTGCTCCATGGGACCAGGCACGATTCACCATCCAGCCCAAGCTCGTCAGCCACAAAGACAGAATCAGTCCACCTTGCGTGGGATACCCGCCCCTCGGCGCCCGGGGCTCTTCCTGGCCACTTCGCCACGACAGTCTCCATTCCCATCACGGCACTGCTAGTCAGTCCTTATCGTCAGCCTTCCTGACATGGTATTCCCACCGCCTCGGAGCCGCCTTGTCCCCGGCCCGCCGCTCAAGAAAGTTCTAGACGGCCGTGCATCAGCCCGAGCCTCCACGGGCAATAGGAGTACTGTGGTAGCTGTGCACTTTACAAGCGGTAATTGCAGACGACAGACCCACGATAGAACTGGCAAAACTGTGGGCCAGCACCCACCAACATAACAATGCCGCGCCTCACCCTCACCAAGCCCCCTCCCTCAGGTGAGAGCCTCTCCATTATGATTAGTGATATTGGGAGGCATCCCATCCTACAAGGGGCTCCCGGTGTTCCACACGTGGGCACGTGTCTCCTCCAGGGCTGGTAACGCGTCCCGACTACCGACATCCTGGCAACCAACGGTCCCGGGCCGTACACTCTTTTTCTCCCGGATCCGTTCCTCCAGTTTATTGTTATTAGTTTTAATGATAAGTTGGGACCATCAATACCAGTTTTTGTTCCAACTCAGCGGTGCTGGCCAGACAAGGGGTGAGCTCACCGCCTCACAACCTTCTTCTCCCCGACGTCTCACGCCGCCGGCTCAGGAGTTCTTGCAGGTGTTCCATACTGGAAACCACCACATCCGGTTCTCACAAGTCCACCGTTGTGTTTTCCACTCTGCCAAGGCCGCCCAGGAGAAGGATGCGATCAACATATCGAGCTCCACAAGTGTGGTCCTGGAATAGCCTCCATGGGGCATGACTCGTGACTTTGCTCAAGCGACATGACCTCTACCGGTCCCGTTCCCTTTCTGTTGTTGTCATCACATTGTGAAACAAAGGAGATGCTTGATTCAATCTCCCAGCTGAAAAATCGCGGAAGCGGCCCTCGCTAGTCAAGCCGTCATGGAGAACTTTAGGACGACGGTGGAAATCTCCGTTTGATGCCATCTGGGGTAAGAATCTAACCTGTTCTACCATATCGACTTCCACCACGCGAATCTAGACTTCCAAGGTTCGTGACTGGTTTCCACACCGCACACGTTCGTTACCACAGCCAGACTTCGCTTCTCAAGGCCGACGCAGGGCGTTGGCGCCTCCAGTATCACACGCTATGGATCGACCGGCTCGATTTGACAATGGGGGCAGTTGGATCCATGACGGCTCAGAATCAGCATCGCAGGGGAGCTCCGACATGGTCGACTCGAGGCCATCCAAGGCGCCGGTAAATTCTCCATTTGAGACGATACAACTCGACAAAATGGATGACCGCCCAAGATTCTCTCAGAGACATGAGTCCAGGGGAGCACCCACGCGGAAGTCTACCGTGGAGTTCGCGGACTGGTCCAACAACACGCGCACGTTCAACTCCCACGGATACTTCCCGACGCGGACTAGCACGGTCGACTCAATGGAGTGGCTTGATAGGAAGAATGGCGAAGACTACCCGGACTGGCGCCAGAGAACAACACCCATGGCAGAAACACCAAAGGAATGGCCAACTGTGACTGTCGAAAAGATACCAAGCCCTGACTACAACGATGTTCGACCGCGAGAGCCGGAATCACAGTTTAAGCAAAACTTTCTCCACCCACCTACGCCCTCTCGCGAAAGCATTATGGGCGCATTTTCGACAGACGGCCGCGACAACGATGACACCATCTCATTACGATCCCGCCGGTTAAGTGTCAACATGGATCAGAGCAGTCGTTTTGGCTGGTGGACGTTGTGTCTTCTCCTGTTGGCACTGATCATGGTAGTTCTGGCTGGTTTGTATTCAACGGGTTCGGCCAAGCTCCTGATGAAGGATAGATTCTTCACGACCTCTTCTGCCAACGCAATCTTGATTCTGCGAGTACTCACCGAGGCGTGTGCTCTTATGATGGCGGCCCTCGTCGTGGTAGTTGTGGAAGATCTGCAGTGGGCCCTGGCATCGCGCCCAGAAGGAGTCAGCCTATTGCATTTTGTGGGAATGGACTCGGGCACAGGTGTCTGGGGTCTACTGCGCCTGCTGGCTACGGCTGACTGGAAGGAGAAATACTCCAGCCTCTTCCGCCTCATTGTCATTTGCACCATTCCGCTGCCGGGTATCATCCTGATGGGCGATATAGCCATCGAGCTCGTCTTCTTTCCGCAGGAGACTTACCCTGTCTCCGCAGGCATTGGCAATTTCAACGCCTCTTACATTAACCAGATTGACCCCGTCTCGTTGACGGCGCTACTCGTCCAGATGGGCACTCCGGCATGGTCAGACCGAGACTCGTTTACCATGGATCCTCTTGGCCCCGGGGAGGGCCTCTGCACAAAGTCAGCCACCGACAACAGCTGGGCGCCCTGTGCAGAGTCGCATTTATTGACTGGCGGCATCGTCAGCATCTCTCCACAGAGCGACGACCTCGCCAAGTTCCCGGAGTCCACAGCGTACGTGGTCCCTAGGACACGCCTCTTGCATCTCGAGTATGGCGTAGTACACGACTGTAAGACCCTATTCGAAGAGGGCCACTGCTACCTTATCGGTACCGCGGCGGCAGCTTCCTACTGGTGTGCTTCCGCGGGACCGTTCAATGAGTTACTCTTCGGTGAGCACGATCGTATTCAGCCTGCGCTCGGTCGCCACAGCCGTTCACTAACACTCCTTGTTCAGGGTCTGCTTACTGCCCACTGGCCATCCAAGCCAAGAAAACATGCCTCGAGGACAGCTCATGGTGGAGCCCACTGGTGATGGCGTCGTCCCTCATGGTCTACGACCGCTACGGCACAGTGAACTACGACCGCGGCAACTTCTCCATCCTGTCCGTCACAGACCTGACCAAACCAGTCCAAAAAGTCATCAGGCTCGAAGAGTACATGCTCGCCTTGTCTGCGGTGGTCCCCGGCTTCAAGCCGAAGACGACGAACGACGGCAACAGCACCGACAACGCCAACTCGGACTCAAAACCCGCAATGAAGGGCGACAACTCGGCCCTCGCCGTCTACGCCGTCACCGCGCTGCCCATCAACGACAACGAGGTCGCCAAGAAGCTCTCGCTCAAGGCGATCCGCAAGGCCATGAGCGTGCCCTTCAACTACTTCCACGAGAACTACTTCTCGCGGCCCTCCATCTTCGAGCTGGAGAAGCCCCGCGCGGGCCTCAGCGCCGACATGTACACGAACCTGTCGCTCGCCATCATGAGCCACCAGGTCATCGCGGGCCCCACCTCGCGCTGGCTGTTCGGGTTGATCTCGGGCATGCTCCTCACCCTCTGCGCCGCCATCATCATCGCCACGGCCCGCGTCTGCAAGCGGCGGCCCCAGAGGTGCGGGTACCCCACGCTCGACTTCGCCGCCGTGTGCGCCGTCAAGGGCGGGATCCCCCGGCCGCCGAGCAACGACGAGGCCGACGGGCACCACGGCCTGCACCGGAGCCTGACGCAGCTCGGGCAGCAGCCTGCTGCGTTCCAGGTTGCTAGTAAGATCAAGGGGGAGAGGGTCGTGCTCGGGCGGTAGGGCGGCGGTGACGTGCAAGGGGTGCTAGATTTCGGCCTTGAAGTTTATTTCTTTTCAGTTTGTATAAATCTTTGTCTTAACGTGTGGAATGATAGACGGGTGCATATATATAGCCTTGGCTTGGGATAGAGACGATCGCATCATGGGAGCATTAAACTCGAGCTAGTCACGGAGGTACGGACGTTTCAAGGCAGCTTCACACGCTAGCTAGCAGATTATTGAAATCAAAAGATGAAGAAATTGGATGCAATTCCGAAATGATATATGAACGGGACGGAAAAGAGAGGTGACCTAATCCAAGTGGTTTTGTTTTTAATCCCCATACATGTAAAATGTACGTGGCGTCTTCATACAGTGACGGAAAAGAGAACCGTGCAATTCTCTATCCGGTTCGTTAATTCATACCAAGGAAATTGTCCTCCTCTCACCAGTTACTCTGAAGAGCAACTCCTCTAACGTTCCTGACACCCTAACCACATTTAATATGCGACCATTGTCTTCCAAGAAAGCAGTTGGGGGTGGGGGGCCTGCTTCCCATAGACTGCAGCCCCAGAGGTAGGGAATAACTCCCACCCGCTCATAGGTACCCTCGCTCAACTGTCGAGCCAAAAGACAACATAAAGAAAAACAGGAATCAGTTTCTTCGTCGTACATGAGGCCAATTATGCAGTCTTGTGGATGTATATCCTGATCCAGGTACGCCTCGCTGGCAATGTTAATAACCCCTTCCATGTGTTGTAAAACAGGCACACTCTCAGCAGCGGGGTCTGTCCAGCTAGGATCTGTTCTCTGCCCCGGCTTTTCGAACTGAATATCGGTCCGTTCACTCCTCTCGATTTCCGTCAATGAAACGACTTGAAAGCGTATGGGCACAAAAAAACATGTGATATCCAGCCGGTTTGGGTAATCCGGTTGCTGATGCATTTGTAGCTCGTCGGTACTACATGACGTGCTCCAAAATTCGTTGGCGAGTTCCCAAACAGACACTGTCTTGTGGTCCTTGGACTTCCAGGATATTTCCCATTCGAGATGAGGTGGGAAATCTGAGTTATCCTTGCGCTTATCCAGTTTGATGCCTCTTCCGAAAGTGTCGAATTCCAAATGCCCAGCCCACCCTGCCCATGACCAGGTCGGGAATCCGAGTCGTCTTTTCGGAGGATCTTTGTGGTACCAATTCAAGTCGACTCGAAGACAGTTCGCACTGCCTTCCATTTGGGCAACGAGGCCACAAGAAATATGCATAATTGCTGTTGGTAGCCGACGTAGTCGATCGATTTCGAAGTTGAGAACACCAAGAAAAGCGGCCAATGAGTCCGTAGCATAGGTGAGGTCTCTTCGGCTGTATTCTTGCAACATTGTCGTGTAGTTTCCCCTTCTCGTAGTGCCATTATTGGTAACCGTGACAGACTGAAAGTCCTCCGCGGAGACATCGTCATTCGTAACAATTTGGTTTGATAATCGACATATAGACTCCTCTGCATAGCTTCCGTTACAGAGGAAGAGAACTTGGCTGGGCGTGAAGATAAGGCGCCTCTTAGAAAAGTAACCCTCTTGGTATGTCCAACCTCTAGTCGCCCACGTGCTGGAGTCTACCTCAATCGAACCACAAGGTACTTCCAATATAGCAGTGTTGCGGATATAGGCACAGTTTGGGGTTTGACGGGCAAGACTAGAGACACCAGGGAGGCCGTTCTGCACACACGCATCTCCTTTGGACGCGTCAACGATTGTAAGGGAGGCATTCGCATATATCTGGCTCATTTTGTTGATCATGCGATGCCTCTCTTGATTATCATTTTGTGGGATGCACTACTATAGTATCAGATCTACCCAAGTAACCATGAGTGGTCTTTATATTATGTAAACTTACATATTTGTCAATCCACAAATAATCATAACCCATAGCGACGGTGACTGCAAGTGCGTCTTCAATCAGCGCTGGGGGTTTATTTAAATCAGATGTCACGCTTTGGGTAACTTCCGGCTGTTGACCCCAGACATACGATAGGGCCACGTATCTACATGCAGCTGGCGCTTCGATAACAGTACGCGACGAGGCCTCGATGACCTTGAGACCAGCGACTGGGCCGAGTGAGCTGGGCCCGCAAAACTGCTTATGATTTTCCTCACACGACTGTGCCAGATGCCGCAGCCAATGATAGTCGGTGAAACTTGGAGGTATCGTTCTCGAGCCCGAGTCCAGGGCATCCTTCCCGATGACTGCGAGACTTTTTCCCTGAGAGATTTGGAGGACTGTGGTCTTGGTGTCGAGCCACACATCTGGCATGGCATACTTCAGGCACCGCGAGAATGGCCGAGCTTTAACGGATTGTTCGAAGCGGCCATGAAATTCGAGGATCGAGAGAACGCGGCAAATCCTGCAGCGCGATATGGCGAGTTGCTCACGAGTTACCCTTTTAGTAAATAGTACTGATGGTTCACTTTCCTCCCGAAAATGTTCACCTCGGGCGGCGAGACTGTCCCAGTCCACTTGTCTGCATTCAGAGCAGATAGAATCACCGTCAGAGCAAGTGGACTCATCGTCAGAGTAAATGGACTCATCGTCAGGGAGGTCATCATCTCCTTTCGCGGGCAAAGCAGTCCTTGAACTGGGCCTGGAAGGATCACAGGTGCCCGATAGATCTGGAGTGTATTGATGGTCCATAGTAGTTTCAGTTTAAGCAATTTGCGTCACGGTACTGTTTGGCTGGTAATGCGGGAGCGAGGAGTAAGCGAGGGCTGAGAATGAAGGCAGTCAGAAAGGGTTTTCGGGAGAACAAGATAAGAATCACTTTCGCGGGGCTTTGGGCAAGCCTTTATAGGCCACCTTCTAGCTACGGACTACCTACTTAAGTAGGTAACCGGCCTAACCGCGGGCCGAGCCCAAAGCCCAATGATTATGGTGGCAGTGCAATATGCAGGTCAGCCGGCTGACTATGTCGGGTGTGTATCCACATGATTGGGACATTAGACCCCAGGGATCAGTTCAATAGTTTGCTTGATACCCTAGAACTAAATTATATAGACCCCAAGGGGATAGTAAATTAAACTTAATAATAATATTAATATATATAGAAGTAGGTAAATAAAAAGGATTTTATTATCTAGTAATATTTATTCTAATTCTTCTTTCTTTAAATATATTAATTATTTATTTCTTTAAATTATATTTATATAATATTTAAATTAAACTTTTTTAAATATTATTTAATACTTTATTTTATTATACTACTTTTAATATAAATTATATTTTAAAATTTAATTCTTTAATATAAATATATTTATATAAAATACTTTTATTTCTAATTATAATATATTATAAAAATACTTTTATAAAATCTAATAATTAGAAATAAAAGTTTTATATAAATTATAATTAATTTAATATTATAAATATAAAAATAAAAATATAAATAAATTTAAAAAAGTTTATATTAATTTTAAAAATTAAAAACTTAAAAAAGCTTTATAAAGATATTAAGGCTATATTATAAAGCTAACATCCACTTATCTAGCAATTATATTTACTCACCTAATTCCTACTAACCACTCACCTAGTACTAATTTTTCTAAGCAACTCCCTTACATTTATAAATACCTTCTAAATCAGCACCAAAAGACCCTATAGCATAATTTCCTTCTCTAATTTTTAATACTTTTAATATAAGCCCCTTTTAACACCCCTTCTAACACCCCTTTATCTTTACCTTCACCTTCACCTTCACCTTCACCTTCACCTTCACCTTCACCATTTAGTCTATATATATTTAGGTATTAACTAAGTATTTAAATACTAACTAAATGTTAAAAGGCTAAAAGCTAAGAAGGTAAAGGTAAAGACTATACTCTTTCTAGCCTTCTAATACCCCTTCTAGCCCTTTAGCACTCTAGACTTCTAGCCTTCTAGCGTTTAGTTAGTATCTAAATACTTAGTTAGTACCTAAATACATACAGCCTAAAAGAAGGTGTACTAGAAGGTGTGCTAGAAGGTGTGCCAGAAGGGGCTTATACTAAAAGTTTTGAAAATTTAGAGAATCCTAGTTAAATATATAGTTTTATATAGGCCCTACATGTAAATCCTTATACTGGGTGAGTAGTTAGTAAAAAATTAGGTAAGTAGACATAATTACTAGGTAAGTAAATATTAGCTCTATATTATATATAATACTTAAAGTAATATATCTTTTTTTCTATTATCTTTAATTAACTCTATTTTAAACTATTTTTATAGTAATTTAAAGTTAAGATAGTCCTTATAATGGTTCCAAGATTACTTAACGCGGTGAGGGCGGAAGGGCCAGCACAGCTGCTCCTCACTCCCCGGACGGCGGCGCAATCTCCGTCCCAACGGGCAAAGGCACACCAAGATCAGGCCTGTCATTTTCGTCCCACCCGACTTTCTGTATAAACGTCTGCCTCGTCGACCCACATCCATCAGTCTCCTTCAGGTTCGCATGGAACACCATCCAGTCCTCGGTCCCGTCGGGGCTCTTGAAGAACGCGTTGTGCGCCGGCCCGTACAGCCCGTTGGTCGTCTGGAAGATGGGCTCGGGGAGCTTGGCCCAGGACGCCGGCAGCAGCGGGTCGGTGGCATTGGCGAGCAGCTCCAGGGCCCCGAGCTTGTAGGCCGGCGTGTTGCACGAGTCGGCCGAGTAGACCACGTAGACCGTGCCGCCGGGGGAGACGATGCCGTAGGGCCCCTCGAGCACGGGCGAGTCCTCCTGCTCCCAGGCGAGCGTCGGCTCCGCGAGCATGGTGGCGTTGCCGGCCTGTGTTGGGGAGAGAAGCTTGGAGATCCAGAGGGAGGCGCCATTGGGGCTTGCTGGGCCGTCTACGGCGGAGTACTAAACCCACCATTATTATATTGAGTTTAAAGAGGCCATTTAATCGAGAACTTACCAAGAAATATGTAGTATCGTCGATATCAAACAGAGTCTGAAGGGATCAATCCTGATTAGCCTCATATGGCATGATGTAAGAGTCCCGGCTGAGAGCAGCTTTACTCACAGCATCAAGCATCCCTTCGCTGTAATTGGGCGGCGTGATGGGCCCAAGCAGTTCATAATTCGACGATAGAGGATTCTCGGCACCGCCACCGAGGACATACACCCTGAGGCTGGGCAGGACGATGCCCCAATCCGGGTCGCACACGCTCGCGCTGAAGTAGACATACCATCGGCCTCCGACGATGTGCATCTCGGGCGCCCAAAAGTTGCAGGCGATGTTGGGGTTGCTTGTCGTGTCCGAGTAGATAACCTTGGACTCGGCCGTCTTAAGCCCGTCGATGGTCGGGGCGGAAGTGATGCGGACGTCTGTCCATGTTGTTGATGTCAGGTAGTATCTGTTGAAGTTAGAAGATCATCATCGAAGCGGATGGTTTGGTAGTATTTGGTATGTTGGTTAAACGCACAGTCCATCGACATAGACCATTTGAGGGTCGCTCCCTGTCCTGATGGGATTGGTGAACGCGGCAGTCAGCCTCGAACAGAGGCTGACAAGTGTCGCCAGGGACGACAATGCATGCATGGTGAGGTTACTTTCGTCAATGGGTGGAAAGAGCAAAGTACGGTGCATCCACTGTTCCGCCCACTTTATATAGGAAGGGGGCCATATTCAATGTTATTGTAACGACCGTCCAGTAATAAGTCCACTTGCGGGTCACCCGCGGCCTGGTTAAGCTTGTCACTACCACCAAGAACCTGATGCAACTTTAGATGGTATTGGCGCGGTTGATGCTCGGCTATGGAGAAAATCTTGGCGTTCAGCCGGGTGACGAACTGAATTAGAGGGAATGGAGACTCATGGAGAAGTTGGGGACATGATAGGCTCGGTTATTGATGTTGTGTCCGGAAGTTCCCACTCTACTGTAACCCCACGACTACCCAGGTACCCTTCTCTCTCCTCGCGTTATTTGGACGCGGCCATATCAGCGGCGGCACACTCTATATTCGTAGTTATATAGTAACTGGTTTCACTTGTATACCATATACATCCAAAGACATACACAGCACCTTCATACAGTGTTAAACGCTCAAAGACCAATAAAGCAAAAAGAAAAAGTCGTTCTAAGTTGGCCCGGACAAACATAAGCTCTATTACATCTAATATGGGCCACATACAGTCATCCAACTACTAATGGCACATCCATAATAATCCTATAGCCCATTCGCACTCAAGTATTCAAACATGACTTGGAAGCCGGCAGACGCATTGTAGTGCAGCGTGAGCGCGTGCCCAGTATTCGGCTGAAGGTAAATGGACGGATTCACCGCACCCGGGAAGAGCGTCTCGACAAGCTCTGGGGTTCCGATGCCATTGCAATCGCCGCCGCAGGTCGGGAAGTCGTACTCGCCGGTGATGAACTATTACAAGGTTAAGATTGTCAGCAGACTGAGCAAGACGATCACCGCCACAGCTATCATCTATCTTGAACCACCGACAAAGACTTCTAAAGTGGAATTCAATGGGGGAAAGACGGAAGAGAGTTTGTCAACCATACCTGAAGCGGCCCTTTGAAATCCGTAGCAGGCCCAAAAACAACACTCTCAGAAGCATACGTCCCCACTGCCTCAGGCTGCTTAACTTCGTCCAAATAATCCAGCATCTCCGGCGCGAACGCGCCCGCCCTCAAGAAAGTCTTTTGCATATTCTCCGGCCCGGTGGACAAGAGGTATCCTGAAGGATAGTGCGCGAACTTTGCTGGGGCGCTCTCAGCCGCGAAGCCGTGGTCAAAGAAGGACACGTTGACGAGGCCCAGATGGGAGTTGAGATAGTACCCAGTCATCACGGCGCCATCAGAGAGGTCACCGTGGTGGGCAAGGAGGCCGCTGGTTATGTAGGAACCTAGGGAGTGGCCGACGTGGATGATCTTGGATGGTGGGTCTGCCGCGGTGAAAATGTTGGCGGTGGTGTTGGTGGCGGCGACGATGGTAGATGACCCAAGCAGCTTGCCACTGCGCGCGAGCTTGGTCAGCCCAGCTAGTATCTCGACTTCTGTCGGGATCTGCACGATGTCGTAGGCGTCGTCTGGGATCTCAGACTGGCCTGTGCCAAGGCGGTCGTAGGTCAGGAGGGAATAGCCTTGGCTGATTACAGCGTCAAGGTAGGAGTACTCTTGAGGGTTGACCTCGATGTCCCAGTATCTTCTCGTCAAAATCAAATGAAAGAATTAGAAGTTGAGGTCTTCTAGCAGAGAACATCACTGTCTATCTTTGCAATTTCATGGGTAGACTCACCTCTTATCCCACGCTAGACCCTGAGTCGCTATTTGTAGGAAACCCGCCTTGGACCCGCCCGACGCCGAGGGCACACAGAGCTGTGCGCTGATGTTGAAGGTCCGGTCCACTGACACTGGCCCGGTGTTGCGCTCCAGGAAGCTGGGCGCGGACCACGTGGTGACGTTGAGCTCCCAGCCGATAGCATCGATGCCACTGTCAACGCGCGGCATCTCGTAGTCTGATTTTATACGAAATTAATAATCAAGAGATGAGGCACAAAATAATGGGTATGACTGACGAGAGTTGTTGGCGATCACCGGGACAGGGACCTGGAGCTGGACGCATTGCTTGGCAGCTGCGGCTCCTGCTAGGCTCATGAGCTCGGCCATGGCAACAACTTGTATGGTCGAAAAATGTTTCATGGTGCTCTTTTACTAGTATCGCTTTACTTAGGAAAGTTATGTGGTATTCTGCCGATCGTGTCTTGGGTCCTGCTCTTGAGTGCGAAAAAGACGAAGAGCGAGACGGTGCTTTTATATTCGCAAAGACCTATGTCATGGCCTCATCGGCTATTACCTCAGTTCCAAGAATCAGTGATTCCAAAACTCTGGTCAGGGCTGTTAAGTGACTCTGAGTCGTGCGGATGTGGCTGAGCTCATCAGCCCTGTAGATGAGCGTATAGGCGTATAAGCGTACGCATTACGTCCGGCTGCCCAGGTGGCGCCAACAAGATATTCAATGTTGTCAGCAATAAAACTCTACAGCGTCATCATCTAAACAGGTGCAAGTGGCGCACTCGACGCGCTGATAGGGTGAAGCCATTGATATCACCCCAGGCACAACTGCGGGAACCGACCGAGCTGCTTTTACAGACGATTTCGAGACCGAACTGTCACATGAAATTCCTAATAGTTTCGTCCATCTACGTACCACAACCACTGGTCACAGAATTTCGATAATGTTGTCTTCAAATATTATTGTTCTTCCACAATGCACTGCCTTTTGGACGCACTCAGTGTCAAGTCTGTCCAGCAGGAACTCACTCCTTTCATCAGAAAAACGTATTACGAAGCGGGTACTCTGTTAGACATGATTGCAGGATGGCCCGGCTTACACTACAATAAGAGTCTCATTCGATTTGCTATCAATATTGAGCTCATGGCCCCAAACGTATGCACAAAGTTGCGTCCATTTGTGGAGTTTTCTGCGGGCGAGAAGCAGGCGCACAGCCATTTAGCAAGTCTCGCTGAAGCCGGACACGAAGCAGGAGACATCGTCAGGACCGCTACCGATCTTCGAGGTGCTGCCTTCACCCTTCACAACACCCTTGTATCGGTCGCAGCTCTTGCCCGAGTCCTGACAACTGTTGGAGATGCGGCAAGTATCGCCATAGTTGGAGTTGATGCCGCAGAGGACGCCGCCATCTTTGGCAACAACGTTGTCGAGGATGACATTGCGGGGTCCTCCGTTCGCCGTGCAATCACCGCAACTGCGAACGACTTTTCCATAGTCCTCGGCATAGAAGTTCTTGATGGAGACTGTGCCTCGCCCATTGAACTGGAAGATCTTGTCTGAGGCACCCCGTGCGCCACCGCCGATAACGTACGATGTCGAGCCGGCTGCCTGCTTGAAGGTGGCGGCGTCCTCGCACACATCTTCCCACCAGACGTTCTGGATTGTGCTGTCGATTCTTATTAGTGTTATGAAATCGACAGTGGTTGTAAGCCTTTGATGCTACACTTACCACGCTCCGCGACAATGGATCCCTTCGGCTTGGGCTTTGCTCAAGATGGCATTTGAGATCTTGGCTCCGTCTTCGAGGATAAACATGGCAGCAGCCTCGTCGGTCTCCGTCTGTTCTTGGCAGGTGTCGGCTGGACGCAAGCTAGTCAGTGACGGCCTGGACAAAAAGGATACCTGCTGAAGTACTCACGGTTGCGAGAGAATCGCTTCATGCCACCATCATAGGAAGCGCCAGCGGGAACAAGAATTGGCGAGGCTGCTGCAGACTCCCCGGCAGCCGCAGGGAATACCGTGGTGACGCCTGCCGGTGGGGTACCACCGCTAGACCCAGAAGTCGTAGAGGCCTTGCTTGTTGTTGTCTTGGTCGACGACGACTTGGTCGAAGATGTCTTCGAAGTCGTTGTCCTTGTCGAGGACGTCAAGGTTGTTGATGACGCGCCAGAGCCAGACGGTAGACATTGACTGTACCATTCGTTGGACGCGACGCATGAGGCACCAGACACGCACGAAGTCGCTCCAGTCCAGCCAGAGCTGTAGGCACCCGTGTCAGCTCAAGACTGCCGACTGGGCTCTTGCATACTTACCCTCCGCATTGCCCATACAAGGGCGCTTGAGCGACAGCAGTGCCGCTCAGAAAAGCAGCAACAAGGGTCGAGGAGAGCTTCATGATGGGTGAGAGAGGTTTGATTTGATCTTTTGATCTGCTTTATTCCGTCTTCTTTGGGATGATGCTGGGATTATGGCTTATTTGAACTCGAATATGGCATCTGTTATATTGTTCGAGGATGACTTACATGACGATCTCCTTGCCCAGTCTTATTGGTGGAAATTGCGGGTGCTCCAGTTCCATACCAAGAATCGACAAATGTGGTTACTTGCCCTCGACATTGGTCTCTGGCCAAGCGCAGGTACACCGCCCACGAACTATCATTTGAGATCGATACATTAAGGATCTATGAATTGGATCCATCTCTCTTGCGAAACGTTTGCAAATGCGACGTAGTTGCTTTAGCGCGATCACCAAGACGGAAGAATCTCAACCATGCAAGTCGAAGAGTTTAGGTCGAGGCGCTTCGGTAGAGGTTCCGAGAGCTCAGCGTGCTTCCCTCTTACTTCCACAACGGGAGAGCAGAGGAAATGGCTGCGGAATAACATGGAGACTTGATCTGTGAGATCGGATTCTCGGGCCTTACAATCATGACTTGGCGGCCCACACTTGAGGCTTATTATATTAATGGTTGACATCCTAGAAATGGTTGCCTCATAGATTGATCGTGTTAACATGGTCTTGTGTTACCCTTGTCCTCTTATGGCTCTCGCCGCCCTCGCAGCCTGGCGGTCAGATCCCGAAGAGTTCCTCAATCCATTGGCCGAGCTCTGGAGTATAGTCCCGACGCATTGCTGGGGAATAGCGAGTAGGCTGCCTAATAGGAACTGGAGAAGCTTGTATTTAGACTGGGATGAACTTTATTTGATGATATCGCAGTCCTTCATATTTTGCCTTGGCGCAGTTGGTATCTCTTGGAAGGCGAGGTGGGAAAAGTTCGAGGCATTCCTCGCCGGCTTTCTAGTGAGCGGCGCCGTCGGGAGCGATACCTTCCAGCCTTGTCTGTGCGGTACGAGGCTCAGCCACGTGCCCACGTACTGTATTCTATTTCCACTGTTATTGGCACTGTATTTCTTTAAACGCTAGGTCTTGAGCGTTTACCACCATATAAAGGCGCCACGTATTCTACATGTATAGGGATTAAAAACGAAACCACTCGAGGCATTCTTGATGTACTTCTAGTTATTTAATGACTAAGCAGCTAGTGAAATACTCTAACGAAAATAGCTATAGTTTCTATGGAGTGTACTTTCATTGTGCCCGATCTAGATGCAGCTATAAATTGCCCGAGAACCGGTCTAATTTAGACTAGATAGAAAATGGGACAGTGTCCTTCATTACTATACATTACGGACAATCTGTCGTTAAGGCCCAAGTCACACGGTGTTAGACTTTTGTATAGCGGTGTAGACTAGGTCAGTGGGATATCATGATAGCTTCAAGCATGACAGACTAAAATCTACTAAGGTTGGTACCTTGTTAATAGTGCTGGCATGAATAGTTATAGCCTGACGCTATCGCTTATTCTACATAATAGTAGCTTCTTAGAGAGCACTTGAGCTGTATAGTTAAGAGACGATTAGAAAGCTAGATTCAGCATAATTTTATTCATAAAGAACGGTTCAACACATTCTTATGTAGTGAAGGAAAGTGATGAATTTAAGAAGTATGAAGCTTTTTGTTACTAAGTCAGCAAACACCCATGCCCCTTATTTCCTACTTAATGTCCTAACTTCTCTTCTATTATAGCCACATCTGCCATTTTCACTCTTGACAAATTCCGCAATCTGTATGATTTAATTGCTCCAACAAACCCCTGACAATGGCGCAAAAACTTGAACGTGCTCATCTGGGCCCTGAACCCAAAAGAAAATATGTGGAGGAGATACAAAACATTCTCATGCAGATTCAAGTTCGGTCCGCGACGAATCATTTTCCGCTCCAGAAGCCACTCCCAATGCCGGCACCAAACCGTCTGCCCCTTGAGATTGTGGAGTCCATTATAGCAATGGTGGAGTACCAGCCATGCGTTGTCACAAGACGGTCCGAGGAGCGCACATACAGGGCTCTCCACTGGAGGGGTTCCCGCACCTTCGCGGCACTATATCTGACGACAGAACCGCTGCCGCGGAAATTTGACGTCGCATCGCGGATGACACTGCAGATGCGCGCCGCCGAACAGAACTGGGCGAGGATGATGACCGGCGACGGGACGTCCGACGACAGCCGTAGCTGGTTTGAGGTGTGCATTCTGCGTCGCCTACCGTATTCCTCGTCGTTCCACCTGGGCCCTCTTGAACAATTTTTGACGTGGACCTACCGCACGCCGCTGTATGCATGGGAAGACCTTTCGTCTTTGGGCTGGCGAATGGTCCCGTATGAGGGCAACTTCACTTTTAGGGTGCCTCGAAGTCGTATGTATCATGCCCTTTGGGAAGTGTCGCTCGGGGGCTTACCAAATAAACCCCTCTACAGGCACGAAAGTTTCAGGTTGGGACACCTATCAAGCCGACTGGAAAGCCGGACCTAAACCATGTGAAGAGTGTGAGCATGACGACGATGTGCGTGAGCATGTTGGCTATCACGGTCACTTTTTGTCCCTGTTAAGGCCTGGTGATAAGATTGCTGTATGGGCCAGGGCATATGTAGGCGTCCTAATAATACTAACACATCATGCGTGTAGTGCTTGACTAACGTTTCTGTGCTTGAACAGAGGTGGGCATGGAAGTTCAGGGTTGCGGAGGCTCTCGTCGAGCTATCTTACGCAAAAAAATAGTCCTCATATATATCGAGAATCTGACCTTGATGTTGTGGAAGAGTTTTGACAGATGCTTGATAATGCATGGTATCTTCCGCCAGGCACTCGTCGTTGGCATATTGAAACGGATCAAGCAACAATATAACAAGCACCCTGTGAGAGAAACTGGTTTCTGGCTATCTAGTTAGTCAACACTGCCACACAAATATGCATTGTTCCGCCCAAATAAGGCTGCGGTGAAAAGTCCCGATCCCAATCCGGCTGTGAAGTCATTTTTTCGCCGGTGGGACAGAGCCGAGCAACCCAAAGTGGGAGAGGAAGAGCCAATAAATGCTGTGTTTATTCAGGATGATCACCGGTAACTGGCACGAGTTTCAAAAGATAGTATATTGGGATCTCCCTGAGAACATTGGCAGTGACCAATTGCCAGGAAATTCGCGGCCTATATGTGGATGCAGCAACAACAGTCGATGCTTTACTAGCTGGCTACCTCGATGCAATCATAGCAGGATAGATTGCTACCTACCCACTTAACTAGGTAGGCAGCCATTGATGTCACTTGGCAGTATTGAAATTTTTTTAACACTGCCTAAGCATAAGAAGAAGGAGTGTATGGATATAGCACTACAGAAGAAGGGAAGCGGGCCGGATCTGCTTATCCAGGCTCGATAAATGTGGAGAACCTCAACGATGAAGTCTATGTGAACGCATCTGGCACCGGATTGAGAACAAAAAGTAAATGTGAAGCAGTTGCACTTGTAAATGGATTATGAAAAGTCCTAACCAACTACAACAGATAGCATGAGGCTTGCGTGTGCGGCGTCAGCTGGCGACGTAAGTCCTGGTCGAATATCAGGCAGCCGCCGCAGTTATAGAAAATGATAGGTCCCATCTCGCGAGAATCCTCCTCATCCCGCAAGACCAAGTTTTCAAATTCATACCCAAGAGGCAAGTGCCGCACGTAAATACCTGCGCAAGATGGGCAACACATTCTCCTCCACACGCTCCGGCAATAACAGCCGCCCCTCAAGAAGAGAAACCGAGACACCCCAGCTAGAGCCCGCGCACAAAGGATTCAACCCAACCCGCCAGGACATCCAAATCGCAACCCACATCCTCATGGGCCTCCGGCTCCAGGCCGCGCCAGGCCACCTGCCCTCCGAGCTGGCGCTCTCCATCCTGGCCCACGCCGACTACCGCCCCCGCGTCACGAGCAGCCAGGTGGGGCCCATGTCCTACACCTCCGGGGGCGGCCGGCCCTGGTACCTGATGGCGCCGGGGCTGCCGCGGGACTTTGCCCGCGCGACCTCCGTCACGCTGCAGGTGCGCGGCTGCGAGGTCCGCCGGATCGGCCCGGCGGAACCGTACTACCACTACCCCGGCGACAGCGACGACGACTTGACGGACGAGGGGGACCGTCGCCGGCGCGGCAGCACCTGGTTCAAGCTGCTCATCCTGCGGGCTGTGCGCAGGGCCCCCACTAACCCGCCGGTAAATGGATATGTCGTCCACGGGTGCGTGGCCCGGCGGGTGCCTGAGCCTGGGTCGCAGAGGACGCCGTCGCCGAGGAGGCGCTGCGACTCGGAAGACTCGGGCGACTGGCAAGGGGATCCGGACTTCAGGGTGGGGGACGAGTGGATGGCGGTCAGGCACCATGATAGGGTGGTTTGGGTGATACCTAACCACAGCAGCAGAAGAGTATCAGATGATCTACCGTCAGAATTGAGTGGGGAGCAGTTCGATGAGGGCCCCACGGCAGAGGTTGTTCGCCCTCGATGTCGCGAAACTTACCGTCGAGTTGACTGGCCACCGGACAACAACCCTGAAATTCAAGATCCGGAAGCCTTTGTAGACGGCGGGGGTTTCTTGTCTTCGTTGATGCCCGGGGACAAGATAGTCTTGTCGGCTGGGGTGGAGCCTACCGAAGAGGTAAGCAAGCATCACGACACTGCACCATGCAGGATCAAGTATGGGACTAATAGTATCATACTTGTATAGGAACCCGTGGCGATGTTCACGATCAAGGAGGCTATTCTGGAGATAGTGTATGATGCCATGGTTTAGTCTCTCTTACGTGTCGTGCGACGGGGAGTGTGCACACCAAGCAGGCAGACCCGACTGAAGAGTAGCCCACATCCCAAAGTGCAAACAGAACCAACGCATGATGCCACAGAACGAAATTAATAAAATTAGAACAACTACTACACAATGCTAAACACCATTTACCCATGCCATGTGCTTACCGCATGCTATGCACAACCAAGATCTGAATCCTCCCTCACACACACTCCCAGAAGAAAATGACGAATACCTCCCCGATGCTTGCTTTTCACCTGCCCTGACACTCACGAACTCCCCAGAATACTACTGTAGGCATCCTCCACCTCCCCAGCGAGCTCCAACAGGCTCACGATGACAATCTGGTGCGTCAGGTTGGGGAGGCGGTCGCGGTGCAGGCCGATCCACTCGAGCGGCGGCGTCGCCTCGCCCATGTCGCGCAGCTGCGGCGTCTCGATGACGGGCGGCTCGAGCGCGTTGTACTCGTACTTGGACTGCGGGAGGTCCACCTCGGCCGTGATCTTGCCCTGGCCCTGCGCCGTCTTCTTGCCGCCGCCCTCTTCCTTCTCCTGCTCCTGCTGCGAGGCGTCAGCCGGCGCAGGGGAGGACTGCTTCTGCGGCTCGGGGAGCACGCCCGTGACCTTGATGGCGGAGGGCAGCACGACCTCTCTGCCGTAGGCCTGCGCGAGGGTCTTTGTGTGGTTCGCCCACATGCCGCGGATGTACGAGATGCGGCTGTAGTTCCACCCCACCTCGACCTTGCCCTCGAACGCGCTCTTGAAGATGTAGTCGATGTGCCGCGACTGCGGGCTCTGCCACGTCTGCATCACCGCCTCCACCTTGGGCACCTTGAGGATCGTCCCGCCCCGGGACCCCGTCGCCGACGCGGTCACGTCCTCGACCGTCAGCTCGCTCAGCGCCTTGGGCGCCTCCATCGTCCGCACCCCGGCGAGCCCGATCCGCAGCTGGCCTAGCGTGAGGCCCAGGATGCTGTGCACGCGCCGGTCGTCGATCGACGCGGCGAAGCGGGCCTGCGCGTTGAGCGCTTCCATCTTGAACACCTGGTGGTCCGAGAAGGTGGTGGGGAAGATGCCGAGGTTGAGCGCCTTGAGCGTTACCACGACATCGGTGTCGAGCGAGATGGGCGCTTTCGCCAGGACGTCATCGCCTTGGGCTTTGGAGATGGACGGTCTCTGGACCGCCACGATGCTGGAAGCGATTGACCCTCTCTTCATGAACTTCTCGATCTCCTTGAGTGATGTCTGGAAGCTGGCCTTGCGCTCTGCCACGAGTTTGGTAAACGCTTGGTACAGAGCCACTCCTTGCGCAGCAGACGTGGTGGTTCCGAAGATTTGCACCGCCTCTCCGTCGAAGGTCGCCACGAGACGGTCCCCGCTGCCCTCCTGGGCTCTTCTGACATTGTACATGAGAAACTTCATTGATGTTATGTCCGCAACGAGGAAGGCCTGGTAGTCAAAGGCGGCCTTGATTCGGAACTGACTGAAGGTGACCGAAGCCTGGATCATGGGCGTCTCGTTGAGGGCTTGCTCTCTGTGCGGCCACTGGATTGCAGTCCGTAGCTTGAATTCCCGCATTGCCACGAAACCGCTCATGCGGCCCTGACTGTCCACCCCGATCCTTTCAAAACCTAGGCAGAGATTTTGCTCCCAGTCTGAGGATTTCTTGGACGAGACCCAGAACTCGTTGATGGCAAACTTCGACTTGCCTATCGCTTGGCCGAGATCAACATTTATCACCAGAGCAGACATAGATACGGTAGCGGTCCAGGGGAAAGCCGCTGTTGCAGCCACCTGCTGATATCTCTGCACCAGATGCCCCTGCGGTCCTTGAGACGTCTCCGTCTGAAGCTTAGCCATCGGATTCGTCGAAGTCTGTCGGACGTCGCGTGGTATCCAGATCTCCCTGAAGAGCAGGAAGTCCTGAAGCTGCTTTGCGTTGACAGAAACCTCCATAGGACTGAGCTTGAGGATGGCTGACACACCACTGGTGCCACTGACATGCTTGCTGTTCATCAGTGACAACACAATCGAGTCCACGTTGAATTGACCTGTCTCTTCCCGGGAGTATACATGACGGACAGAGGCGTGCAGGTTGGCTATTGCTCCGGACATGGCGAAGAAGTTGCCTTGATCAGCAGAAGCAACGGTATTGACTGTGAAGTACATGTCGTCGAACCCAGCTGACGCCGCCACGCGTGCGATGGGTTGACAGCTCAGCGTAAATTCTTGCTTGCAAATACGCAAGCCCAAATTCACCTTGAGCCGGCCAATGACAGCACTAGGGTCTAGCAGGTAGTCCTCCTGGGCAGCCTTGGTCTTAGCCAGAGCTTGCTGCGGCTCTACCGCCTTGGCTGGCTCATTTGCGAGGACCTCTTTGATGCTGGACGTCATGTCCAGCACCAGAGGAACGAAAGATGGGTACAGCGTATTGCTTGAGGCGTCGATCTTGATTTCGCCGTACAGAGAGGGGTCCTCGTTGCCGGGGTCCCTGTACTCGACCTTGAACGCAACGCCGGGGGACTTCAACACTGTGCTGCTGCCAGTGTCGTCGGCAGTAAATTGCCCATACTTCCCAGCAAGTCCAGCACGCGTCGCCCTCGATGAGCGAGACGCGTCATCGGCTTCCTTCTTAGCTGCCAAGTAAACAACCGCTCCGGCGAAGTCAGCATCGACGAGGAACGATTCCATCCTCTTGTTCCCGAACAAAGTCTTTCTTGGCTCCAGTGGCTTCTCCGCTGATGCCGCTGCCTGACTAGGTCTCCGGGGTGGATTCCAGTGCTCTGAGGCTTTTCGCACATTTTTGACGGACAGGTTGATGGAGTCAGCGACGTTAGAAACTGGTATGACGAATCCAGATGTGAGGCGTAGGTTAAGAGACTTGCCAACAGCCTGAAAGGCCATGCGGCGAGTGTTCGATGTGGATACATAAGCCACATTGAAAACCACCTCAGGCATCAGGGCCGAGTTAGCAGACCGCAATCTCTCGTCCTGGCCAATTGGAACCGTCTGCACTTGGAAGTTCTCGATTGTGAGTCTGGCGGAATTCCTTGTGCGGGTGCCCAGCTCGATCTTGTCCCACGTGAAAACCAGGTCCTCCTTGCCCTCCACGGGTTCTTCAGTGCCGGTCAGGACGAGCCAGCGGATTTGCATTTTCCGAATCTCAAAGTTGTACCTGATTGTGGAGAGGAAGGAGTCGAGGAAATCTGTTTCGACCGATCCCTCGTCGTCGTTTATGGTGATCTTGGGTTTGGTCTGCCTCAGCTTGCGCAAAAGTTCAAGCTCTCGGGATGTGTCAAGGTCCTTGATCTTGTCGCCCATGTACCCGAGGACATCGACAGCCGTGGAGATGGTCTCAGGTGAGAGAATCACATCAAATCCATCAGTAGCAACGTTGAAATGTCTCTGCTCAGACCCGTCCTCCGCAGCCGTGGAGGTCGCCGTGATTAGCGCCCCAAACGCCAACCGGCCACAGGTTCGAACGTCGTCCTCTGTGCCTCTGGCTATCTCCATTTCTATCTGCCGCAGGTTCACGTGGACCTCTGGGAAGTCAAGGACAGGCCTATGAGGCTCTGGTCGATTGGCCACCCGCAAGTGCACTCCACCCAGATGGAACAGAATGTGGGCCAATGGCTCCGCATCCGACTTCAAGGGTGAGTTTCCGAAGATCTCGAGACCCTCGCATGTGAGATGGGCTCCATAAACCAGGGGCTTCTTGGGCTCGTCTGGCGACATATTATCCATCAGCGGAGAAGGCGATCGTTGGTCAGAGTCGAAGCTCTCCCGAATATGTCCTTGGATGAGCTGCACTTGTTCTTGGATGTCATTCACCGAGCTTGATATCTCGGGGCGATTGAGGGCACTGAGCAAGCTGTAGACTGCAGAAGCGTCAAGCTGGATGAGCTCAATCGACGCAAAGGTAGTGACAGTGGTCTCAGACTCGTCCATCACTGTCTTTACCCGTCCGTTCGTGGGGGGTATTTGAAGAAGTGACAAAGACCGCGGCTTGTTGTTAACTACAATTTGAATCTCGTGAGAGTTCTCCTTGACATCGAAATCGAAGATAACCTCCTTGCCAAAGTTAGCTGCCATAGCAGCACGAGCCACGACACCGGAGATACGATACGTCAAGGACTGTAGAAGAGGAACGCTGATGTAATACTCGTCAAGGAACATTGCAAGGTTCACTCTGAAAGAAGACAGCCTGTCCTTGATCTTTGGCTGCGGATGTTTGGCCTTCGGTGACGACGAAGATGGTATGTGGTTTTTCAACCGATATAGCTGTGCTGCTTCATCCTTGATCAACAGGTCGAGGACTTCCAGCAGACCGATTGGGTCTTGCTGGACCGCAAACGAAAGCTTCTTGCTGCTGGCCGAGGCCTTGATAATGTGGGAGTCAGTAGTCTCTGTGGCCTGCAACGTATGAGAAGCGATCAGGGCCGGATCACGCAGCTGGAAGACACCGAGGACTTGGGTGTGGCTGCGCAGGCGCGACGTGAAGGCTTCACAGCTGAGAACAAAGTCTGTATCGGTGACGTCTTTCGAATCGTGCCGAATAAGCAGGGACCCTTTCATGCCATCGGCGAGGGACACAGAATTTAGGTTGATGGCATCGAATGCCATTTCGCCGCGGCCGATTGACATAACGACATGAAGAGACTTGCTGGTCGACTTCGCAGGAGTTTTGCCGGTTTCTTCGGCTCGAGCTTCTTTCTGGGTTTGCAGCCTGGCGAAAAGCCTCAGAACATCCTCTGCAAGCTCGCAAAGGTCCCAGTTCAGTCTGATCGCGCCTTCACCGCAGTAGACATTGAGCATGGTCAGGGGGGAAGCCTCACTGCGGGATTCTGGGCTGGAGTGAGAGCTCAAGACGTTCCCGTCCTGGAATCTGGCAGTGACATCGGTGAGGACGATCTCATTCTGTTTCGGGCCAGGATCGAGTACGAATCGCGTATCTCGGAGGCGCACAACAGCAAGGAATGCCAGGTCTGGTCTGGACGAAGCTGGCTTTGCGCTTGCATCCTTGCCAAAAACGTTCTGTATGAGCTCCGAATTGTTTATGCTGCCAAGATCCCAATTCCGCCAACGTTCGAAGGCATGCACGACTTGCTGCCGGACATCGGCAGGGAACTCGAATTCAGATCCCATGCATTCGATCTTCAGGCGCTCCTTGTTGTTCGGGTTCAGCGTTGTCCACATCTGCCTCAGCCGGGCGATCAGCTTCCATGAGTCGAAGGTCCGTAAATGTTGCTTGGCAGATCGCAGAACAGCTGAAGGTCGGATCAAGAATATCGGATCAATTGAATCATGTCCCTCAGTCACAAGCTTGTAGGTCAGATACCTAATAAGCCTACTTTCGCGAGCGAGTGTAGGCTTGAACATCTTCTCCAACTCTGTCGCCAATGCAGTGGTCCGGTGAATCAGAGCTGCGAGATACTCGATCTTTTCTGATGAAAGGCTGCTTGTTATGCTGCCAACTTCACCGTCGAGATAGGTCATGTCTTTGGTACCCATAGAAATAATAACATTTTCAACTTGTGCCTTTAATGCCGCATGCGTGTCAAGGTGTACCGCGAGACGCTCAGCCGCTGACAGCTCCAGGACACCGAGCCTGACATGGAATGAGCTTTTTTCCTGGACGGTGGTCAGGTCAAAAGGGTCCTCCCATGAGCTCTGAGTCCGTGTCGTGAGTACGAGGTCGCCCACATGAGCGTCGTATTGGTCTTGCTCCTCTTGCGGCGGTTCCGAGGAGTCCAATTCGGAGGCATTGACGAATCTGATGTTCGCCTTGGGTATCCTCAGCATCAGATCGCTGACTTTCCCTCGCATCTTCTTCTTGCTTTGTTTGGAGAAAATGTCGCCCATTGCGTCGACTTGCAAGGAATCGAGTATGTCCTCCGGGTCTGAAGGTTGCAGCGCAGATAGAAGTGATGAGATGTTCTTGACAGCGATCGGGTTTAGGAAAGCCGTCAACCCGGCGGGCAGTTCCACCATCACACTGGAGTACGCGCTGTCCTCTTTCATATTGTTTGGGTCAACATCCCCTAGGTCGAAGGCCGTGGCTGATCCCGCGGAAGCTTCCTCGGCCGTCTCGATGCTGGAATCCAGAGTCTCCACGATATCCGGTTGAATTGTCTCGAGAGGGAAGTATGGCGCAAAGTATTGACTGGAGAAAGCCACCGTGTTGTGCACCTGGTCTCTCCTGTCGGAGGCTTCTGCGTATGCACTGTAAAATGCCGAGTGACGACCGGTGGACGCAGAAGGATCTCTACGGTGTAGGCTCTGCTGCCCAATCGCTGTCAGAGGCCTGAGCCCCTCAGGTAGTCTGGAGTGGCGTGAAGACTGCCGCGAACTCAACGGTCTTTTGATGCTGCTCTGACTTGAACTTGATGTGCTAAGGAACGATGATTTGTGCTTGAGACCCACGAAGTGTTGCGATGTGTCGCTGGACATCAAAGACTCGTTGTCGTATGGCACATCCTCCTCGGTCGTGGGTTGCGGGACCGGTGGCACAGGCTGAGCCATGGGGTCGATTTGTTCCGGGTTGAAGGCGCCGAGGAGACCCGGAAGGAGGAGGAAAGGCGTTCGCAAGCTCCTCTGGTCTTCACGCCTGATGAGCTCTTGTTGAAGTCTGCGCTCATTGGAGAAGTCGGACTTCCGTGCTATGGTGGCCAGGTGAACGCTCGTTCGGACCAGGAGATTTGTCTCGACTGTATCATAAGACCTTGTTCTTTGCCGAGACGCGGACTCTGCATTTACACACGACAGCTGCACGTCCGGTATCTTGACATTGGCTCGCTTCGAGTAGTGCGATCTCGCCCAGTCATTAAAGTTGACGTCAATGGAGCCGGTGGAAAAAAGGAAGGCGGCTTCCTCAACGTGAAGCCACAATCGGACAGAAAGCAAAGAAACTCGCAAAAACGTCACGTCGTACAGGATGACCGAAGCGGGAGGGGCCAATGCATTCTCGTCGTCGTCGAAGCTCAGGCCGAAGGCTTTGCCTCCTCTCATGAGGGCCGTGAGGAAGTCGGCGGTACACTCTCCAGTGACCGCGCCTATGCCTAGATCCCAGTTGCAGAGATAGGTTGGTTCTGTTGGCGGTAGTCCAAATACACGGTGTCCATAGACGTTGATGCCATCGATGAATAGTTGAGTAGTGGCCGTGGCACTGAGAGGTGTCTCCTGACCGCTTTCTCCATGTCCCAGCGACAAGTGGAGCGGGCTGATAACCAAATCCAAGTCCATATAGTAATTCGTGAACCGCAGATCTGCTGAAATTTGCGGCCCATCGATCTGCACATTGTTCTCCGAGGAGTATAAATTGGCAGGCAAGAAAATCTTGGGGTCATCGAGCCTGACGCTCAACATGACATCCATGTCATTGGACTTCTTGAACGGGGCCTTCACCCCGAGGTCTGCGTCAGGGTTTTTCTGCTTCGCATCAAGTATGTCCTGAAATTCCTCCAAGGTCTTGAAGTGTACGTCGTCACCAAAGTAATTGTCCTTCAATTTCATGACATATCTAATCACAAAACCATAGAGGTGGACGACGGGAGACTGCCCATTTACGTTGACCACGAGCGTATCCGTCAATGATGGAGATGTTCCAGCGTTGTAATGATACTGGCCATCAACAACTAGGTTTTCCAGTCTTGCAAGGTCCATGGATTTGACAAAGCTTGCTTGCGTGTTCCATGGCGGAACGTGCAAGCTGAGGAAAGCCTCATCGGCGCGGACATCGAAAGGGATCATGCTTCGTGAAGGCCGAAACTTGTCGAGCGAAATACACGTGCTCGATTCGAGAAGAGGGCTCTTGACAATTATATATGCATTGTCTTCGAGGTCTGTCGGCTTGTTGATGATGTTTCCGTCGTTAACATTGAGGTAGAGCTTGAGGTTCGAGAAATGGAGGTCCAGGAAGTACTTGAAAGGTGTGAAGACGAGATAATCGGCAGGCGGCCCACTTGACCAGTCATTGATGAGATCTGTCAGGAGAAAGATGTGGTCCCTGAGGATAAACAGCTCTAGGGCGTCGGTGGCTATATCGAAGCGCCATTGGCGAAGCGAATTCCACTTGAGGGGTGTGGAGAGGTCACAGGAAATGCGCTGCTTGCCAGATCGCCAAAGAAGTTCGTGGTTGATGCTGCTTGTAATCTCGGTCTTAGGGAAGTCGAGGTCAAGAGAGCTGGTGAATCCATGGGAATGCGCGACCATGTCCATCGAGTACGATATCGTGGCATTAGAGGCAATCTTAACATCAAGCCATCCGTGTTGACGCTCGAAACCACCTGTGGCACCTTGGTCATTCTGCTTAAGCCGATTCCTCGCGCTGCGCTTGTCACGGTCCTTGTCGGTTCGTATAGGAGGCTCTTGGCCTCTGAACTTCCAGTTCTTCGACTCCTCCCGGATCGGTACTCGGAGGGTCACGTCATCGTCGAGTTCAACATACAATTTGAACTGAGTAGGAACCCTGTTGGCCCCTATTGGAAGCTTCTCAGCTGGTTGGGAGTCCTTGCACAACCCCGGGAAGAACACCCGTTGCAATTCCGCACGGTGGCGATCCGCCCATGGTCCGTAATTAACGAAACCGCCTTTGATTGACAAGTTAATTCCCCAGGCAGGTGGTTCATCACCGTTGATATTGTCACCGTCCTCAGACCGTGTTGCCTTTTCGACGGTGCCGGGTCGACGAGGTGCAACGAGGGTCGGGGTGTCCCAAAAGATGGTGATGGTTGCTTCTGGCGTGTCCATAATGGTATTCACAGCAGCATATTCCACGCCAGCCCATCGCAACTGTTCATTTCGCTCAAGGTCATCCAAGTATCTCGAGAGACCTTGCCAATGGTTGGACCCGGGGGTTTGTCTGTCGGCAGTAGCAAGAGGGCTACGCTCTCCTGGGGAGAATGACTCGACGGATGATCTCCAAAAGGGGACCAGATGCCGCAGCTGAGAAATAGCCTTGCGTCTGTAACGGCGGAAGAACGAGCGCCTAGGCAGGGGAGCAGAGTCCTTTGCCACTTGCTTCTCTCGGACTGCCCTGTCCACTTGATCCTCTCTGTAATCTAGGTTATCCCTCATCTCAATGACAGGGCTATCGAGTTTGATCTTGTAGATCTGCCGGTACGGATCGGGCGTTTCTGTCGCGCTTGCATTGATTTCACCTGAGAACCCCTTGGCGTTGACGATCATGATGGCCTGCGTATTCTCGTTGCCCATGACCACAGCAGCCTTGTTACATTGCAGATTGATCGGATAGAACTGGAGCAATAGCGGAAGCTCATCTTTAGAGTCCGTTTTGTCCGGGTAGGTGGCATTCTCTTCGTCTGACCCAGAGGACTGCATTGTTGCCCTAGGCTTTCCGAACCCATTCATGCTACTCGTGGACTTTTGCGGCGAGGAGTCCCGCTGAGGGACGTTTGATGTCCTCTCGCCTCGTCTCCTCAGCTTGGAATGTTCCTCTTCCTTTGGTACGGGAGTCGCACTGGTTTCCTCGTCGACTAAGCCGGCCAATATAGTGTCGTAGGCAGCGCTGCGGTTGTAAATGAACCACTCGAGCCCAGACATGACAACATTGACCCGGCATGGTAGCTTTGTGTTCTTGTCATTGCTGCCCTGAGCAGCATCGTGGACCCCAACTTTTACTCTTTCGATGTCTGCGTCCCGCACCCTCCATTGCCAGTACGACCACGTGATGTATGCATCGTGTACGAAGATGGTTTCGTTGTTCCCGTGGTACCGAAGGCCCTTTATGAATATACGACCGGCTAGCAGGGAGATCTGAAGGGCCTTGATGTCGATGTATATGCCGTAGACATTCCAAAGATATGATCGAAGCACGAGGGATACGAGCGAAGCTACTGCTCTGTTGAAGTAGCCGAGGAAGAAGACGGAGAGCACGACGGCGGCCAAGCACCAGGCAAGGAAGATGCTACAGGAAGTGAACATGTCAGCGCAACATCCCACAACAATGGAGTCGCCAAGTCGCAATGTCGCAATGGATCGGGGGGGGGGGGGGGCATACCCGCTGAAAGGAGAGTTCTCGTAGGGACTGTCCCCCAGAGGACTCCTGTCCATCTTGATCGCGACACAGGCCCAGACCTTGTCTCAGCTAGCTGCGGTCGCTTTCGCAGGTGGCGGTCGCGGCTGTCGACGCTTCCCAACCTCTGTCAGCTCCTCTGCGCTTGACTGCAATCGCCATGCCTTTTCATCCCATTCCCTTTTCCCTCCCGGTCGGCGGATGATTATTCGAGGTCGTAGGGCAGGCAGGGAGTTGGACGGGTCGGCTCGAGGTTCGCAGTAGCTCCAATTGCGGGCGAGAACGGGTTGCTGGTGTTCGTATGGTGTCGCGTCGTCAAGCTCCAATTCCCCAGGATCATTGCCCAGATCATTAAACGGGTGGACATGGACAGGGGTCGCTGGCAGCTGCAGCCTGCAGCTTACCGAATGCACCTGTGCGTGACGTACTGTCATGTACTGAACCCGCTAACCGGCGGCCCAACTTCGGCTAATTAGCTCATTTCAGGCAAAAATTTAAACCTCAAGGCACTGTTTTTCAGCACCGAGAGCTCGATTTTCGGGTCTAAATATTATAAAACAAGTTAATTTTATAAGATTAGAGGTTCGTACTCTTTAAGACTAAGTGAAAGTTAATATAAGACTATTTAAATTAAGTTAATTCATTAATTAAAAAGCTTAAAAAGATCTAAAATACCTTAAAAGTTTTAATATTTAAATTAGAATTAAATTAGTTTTTTTATTAAAAGTTACTTTAAATATAATTACTTTATAAAAGAGAGTTAATATTTATTTATTTAACTTTAATATTTATTTATTTAATATTTTAAACTTATTTAATATTAACTTTTAATAAAATTATATAAAATATAAAATATAAAATATAAAATATAAAATATTAAAATATAAATATGTATTTTATATAATATTTAAATATATAAATATAAAATATAAAATATAAAATATAAAATATACTTATAATTCTAACTTTTAATATATAAAGTTTATATAAAATTATATATTTAATTAAAATTCTTTAAATCTTTAATATTTAATATATAAACCCTTTTATACTTCTTTTAATATACCTTTTATACCTCTTTTAACACACTTTTTAATATCTTTTAATATACCTTTTAACACCCTTTTAATACACCTTTTAATATACTTTTAATACTTTTTAACTTTTATATATTTAAATATTAATTAAATATTTAGATATTAATTAACTATTAAAAATAAAAAATAAAAAATAAAAGTAAAGATTATACTTTTTAACTTTAATATTTTTAACTTTTAATATTTTAAACTTTTAATTTTTAATATTTAATTAATACTTAAATATATATGAGTTAAAAGGTTTAAAAGGTTATTAAAAAGTGTTAAAAGATATATTAAAGGTATATTAAAAGTGTTTATATTTTAAATATTAAAAATTAAAAAAAAATTGTATTATAAAACCTTTTAATACTAACTTAAAAAGTACTTATAAATATAAAAGAGGTATTAAAAATAAATATTAAATAAATTTATAGAAATTATTAAATAAGTAGATATTAAAGTTAAATACGTGGATATTAACTTTATAAAAAGTTATTTTATAGTTATTATATTATTCTTTATATATTAATAGAGTTGCCGCTTATTATATTATATATATTAAACTTATTAATATAATATAATAAACTTTAAAATACTTTTAATATAAATGTATTATAATATATAAACTTTTAATATAAGTATATATAGTATAATAAATTAAAATATAAAAGTGAATTAAGGGATATATAAATAAATATATAAATAAATATATAAATAAATAAATAAATAAATAAATAAATAAATAAATAAATAAATAAATAAATAAATAAATAAATAAATAAATAAATAAATAAGTAAGTAAATAAATAAATAAATAAATAAATAAATAAATAAATAAATAAATAAATAAATAAATAAATAAATAAATAAATAAATAAATAAATAAATAAATAAATAAATAAATAAATAAATAAATAAATAAATAAATAAATAAATAAATAAATAAATAAATAAATAAATAAATAAATAAATAAATAAATAAATAAATAAATAAATAAATAATCTTTTTTCCTTCTCCTCCTTCTCCTTTTATCTTATCTTATCTTATCTTATATAATTACTTAATTAGCTTTCCTCTCCTCTTTCCTCCCTTTCTCTCCCTCTATTACCCTCCTCCCCCTACCCCCCCTATTTACACTTAAACCCACTACATTACACACACTAAGCTCCTTAATATAATTTAGTAGACTTAAAAATACCCTTAGTATAATGGAGTGTAGTGGGCTTATTTACACCCACTACACTACACTACTACACTAAGTGTAGTGAACGGCAACCCTGTGTATAGGTACCCTAGGTGTTAAGGCCATGGGCTGATCGCCCGCAGGACCAACCAGTGGGTCCGTGCACCCTGCTTTTATCTCATCAGCCCAAGTGGCCTCTCTCGGCGCGTGATTGCAGCTTTGCTGCTTCCTCCGTACTATTCCTTAGGCAACTCTAGTTTTGAATCAACAATCCTTCTCATACAATTTAAGCCTCTTTTACCATAGGTCATGAGGGCCGTCTCACTAGGGTAGATACCTTGAATCTCTGATATAATAGTTCTTATCCTAGCACAGGCTAGAGTCTAGTAAATAAAAACAACTATGTAAATATCTAAGTACCTAGACATCAAGACCAACTAAACTTTCGTGCTTCTAAGATCTCTATAAGTCAATGGTTTGCTGATTCTAGTCGGGCACGCCAGTGATTTTGCGAAAGCGATGTCGTTTTCCGAGCCCATGGCCAAAGTCTTTCCCTTTTCCGTATCGGTAGGCCTATTGTGCTTCTCCCAGATTCTGGCCACCTCTCGATGTGTGTTATACCATGTTAGGTATGGGACACCATTGTTATTTTGAGTTTTGATCTTGTGCATCCACTTTGGGTCTAATCCAGTCTTGTCAGCTTGCAGAGTCCATTGTCTTAAGGAAAACGTGGGTAGCTGTAGATAAACTCACCGGCCTCATGTTCCGATCTCCAGTCCTTCATCTCGATGATTTTTCGGACTATATCGTGGTTCATTGTGTATACCATCGAGTGAGCTTTCCAGTCACCCCCTCCAATTACAACGTCCAACAACATAGGCACGCCAATATTGTATCCGGAGTCGAAAACATCAGGTAGGCCTTTGGTGTACCAGAAGTGGGGGAGACCACCGAAAGTCTCTTTGCACCACATCCAGCCAGCTTCGCCACGCTCTGAATCCTCGTAAGGGCCATATGACGGACCAGTGTGTGGGGGCGTGGCAAGCGAAGCGCGACCGGAGAGATACCCCGTGAGGCAGTGCACAAACTCATGGGCGAGTGTGACCGAGTTACAGAATACAGCACGCTCAAAGCTCATATGGGCATATTCTTGACGTTCGACAAGAGTTGCAAGAGTTTTCTCACCCACAGCCGGCTGCCCCTTCTTTCTGCGTTGTTCATTTTCTTGCTCAATCTGGCTCCGCTGTGTCATGAAATCATCCACGGCGTCAGCAGCGTCCAATAGTCCATCCACCATCTGTAATAGTCGTCAGCCTCATGAACGTTGAAAATAAGGGTGGTTGTCCGGCTTACGCCCTTGTTCAGGTAGATAACAGCTGCTTCTTCCGGTTTATATTTAGTCATGTCAAAACCAGTGAACCATCTCTGGGTAAGACCATAACCTTGTCCGATACTTGGCGTGATACAAACTGGAATGCCGTGACTTCTGACTTTCGCCAGAAAGTCATTCACAAACCATTGCATCTCGTTGATATTTCTTCCAACGAATAAACCTATTCAGGTTTATTTTCAACCTTTGCTTCCTTTCTGCGCCTTTCGACAATCGTTGTTCCCACTTTCACGAGAGCTTCATGGCCGGTGGAACTCTCAAGAAGCGCCAGCGCTAGATGGAAACAGTGAGACATGGCGGTCTTGATCCTTTGATCAACAACTGGTCCAGGCTTTTGTTTCACGTCGTTTTCTGGCGGTACAGAAAAGCGGACCTCTCGAGTGAATAATCGCATGGTCACCATGCCAGGACAGAAAGCCTTTGGAATCGTCGTACGACCATCATTTCCACCACTCGATGACGGGCGTTTGGTAGCAGTGGCAGCGGTAGGGGTGTTCGTAGCGGTGGCAGGAGACGACTTGGACTTCGTGGTAGTTTCATGACGTTCAACAGAGTTCGCGGCCGGTTTGGAAGCAGTGCTTGTATGGGCATTGTTCGAAGAAGTATTGGTGCCAGTTCTTTTCGCGGAAGGCTGATTAGAGCCTTGGTGACCAGTGTTGGTGGAAGAATCAGTGGTGGCAGTTTTTCGGGAAGGTCGATCAGAGCCTTTCTGACCAGCGTTGATGGTAGAGCTGGACTGAGTCATTGCAGTCTTTGTTTCAGGATAATGCTGAGTTATGGTGTGTTTTATATACTATTTGATCTGCGAGCAATTCGTGACTAGATACACACCGTCTGGTACTGAAAAGTGGCCCGGTATATAAGGAAGACAATTTAGAGCAGGGTATGGTAAAACAAATGTTTGAGAACGGTTACCTCCAGGGCAATATCCGTAGAACGTGGTGGGAAACTTATAAGTTATGATGGGCAGCAAGAATGGTGGTCGTATAATGATGATGGTCTTCCAAGTTATGATCCAGCACTATCATCACCCATCAAGGGAGAAAGTTTGGACCTTATATAACGAAAATTGAGTTGCTTCGATTCATTGTAGATGGGTCAACTTCAAAGCCCAGCGCAAAGCATATTTATTTTTATCCAGGCTACATCTGGTCACGACCTGGTCAGGACCAGAGGCGGCCAAGCGCAACCTACAGGCGACGTCTCATTGCTGGTTCGTGGTGGATATCAGCTGCTCCACTGTCGAGGATAAAGGACAAATCAAGGTGGCTCGAACACTCTCCGCCAGCCGGTCAACCCTGGGAAGCCTTTGGAGACCAGCCTGAAATCCGGGACGACCATCCTAAAGAGGAGTTTGAACCTAAACATAGACTTCATGAGACCCTCAGGATTCGTCGACCCATGAGTTAGGCTGGATTGTTGAACCAACATGCGGCGCAAGGTGCTGTGGGGACCGGACTTATCATGTTCTTATCGCGAGGCTGGGAATAGTCACGGTGGGGCAGAACTTGAAGGACTCGGCTGAATCAATTGGAGTGACGATTTCCCCAGAACAAAGGCAAGATATGATTGAACCTTCAGATTCATGATCCTGAAGTCCATTCAGTCTTGAGGTGCTACTCACCATCACGCTTATCAGGCCTGCTGATGAACAGGCTTTCTATGAACCAGTCTTATACATATGGATTGGTCACATAAGGATTTCTCGTGGGAAAACCTGGGGTGGGCAAAGGAAGCATCGTGATTGCACTCTTGATCTTCCTACAAGGGTGATTGGGACGTTGTCAACTGGTGTGAGAGAGAGAAGGTGGGCTTGTGCATTGGAACATTGAAGAGACTCGTGGATGTGCTGCACCATACCAGCCACCCCTTACTAGCCTAACTCTCCAGGTCTGCGCCCCCTAGACCCGGTCGATTTTTGGGTCGTGAGATTGATTACGTAAGCCAAGTTGGCCCCTCCACTTGAATTCCTTCAAAAGACCCGTAGACCATTTGCTACACATGCGCAACCTTCTACTGACCAACTTTTCCACAACACAAATCTACTACCCTAGGGTAGCTTTCCACCATCCACTACCTATGATAAGATTGTCATATTTTCCCCAAAGCAATGGATCCACCATCAGGGTCATCATTCGTCCCCACTAGTTTGATTCTAGATGACGATGACTCGGGCATGGAATACAAGACAGTTCCACCTCCAGCCTCAATCGAACGATCGCGCGCCATCGAGATACTGGACCAACCACACACGGTACGATTCTGTGGTGCCATGATGAACATTCTACATTCGAAACCTGCGGAATTTACTTTCGCTCAACTTGTAGACGGGCTACCTTTGGCAAAGGTGGCTTCAGTCTCGAGAGCATTACGATATGAAGAACCCGTCAGAAACCACAAAGAGCTGTGTCCAGGTGCTATGGATAAAGTTAGAGCTCTTCGAGATACCTTTGATCCAGCTAGTCTTGATCTGCCTGTTGAGGTCCTGAGACGATACCAAAATATACCGGCTGGATCACGGGCATCGAAACTACCCTTCATTGAACTCATCGTTGTAGCTGTCCACCGGCTTGCTGTGCTTATTCACAGAGAGGGCAACCTTCACAAGGAGAAGGATCCCACTTTTGACCAAGGCCGCCCTTTTCATAGGTGGAGCGGCAAACCTTACCCGACGCCTTTCTGTCTGATCCACTATTCGGACCCAGAGCAGTACCCCGATGGTGTGGCGGATCTCGCCGGTTACTGGGCCGAGAACTGGATATTTGGTGGTGTTGTTGTCTTCAGTAGGGGAGAAAGTGGAACGGAGGTAAGTCGAGCCTCTCAAACAGCACGGGGATGAGCGGTGCTACTCAGGGTACAATGTTCTCTGACTGATTGTCGGCATGGAACACAGTGCAACGGTGTGTGGTTACATTCATGCAAGGAGTACACCACAGACAGTCTTTGGGCCTTGACAGAAGACCAGGTAGCAAGGCTCCTGGGCTTTCTAGAATCGAACAAACCCCCGGATTGCCCGCTTCCGATCAAGCTGGAAAGGGCCAACCGGCGACGCGTGGACCCTGACAACTGCATCCCGGAGTACAACATCTATAGGGACCGGTGGGAGCGCAAAATGAGGTACCCGGATAGAGACAGTTGGGAAATGCTTGTCTCAGGCAGGCCAGACGTGGAGGTTAATTATCCTTTGAGCGAAGGGGAACCCGATCTGTTTTGATGACGTCTCCATACCTCAAGTGCTAGGTACTGTCCTGGCTGTCAGAGTGATATGTATCAAATACCACTGGAGGAAATACTTTTGGGAAAGCATGATCTTCCGCACTCGACCTCAGGCCCAGGGAGAGATAATAGCCAAGACGCAGAGAGCAATTTGAAGTAGCCACAAATCCAGTGATGGCAGCTGGGCTGGCGCAGCCGCTTTGATGCCCTCAAGTGCTTATGCCGGGCACCTTTGGACGATTAGAGCCAGTTCAAAAGCGCATGGTGGAAAATGTGACACTCTACGCAATGTTGGTCCTACATCATTCCAACATCCTAGTGCCAGAACAGAATTCACCTCGCCAGTCTGGGAGAGTACAGACGGTCGAGATCTACAAAGGAGGACCGGTCAACCAATGCCATGATTAGGATCGATATTAGAATGATCAGCACATATGAGGGCAGCATGCTCAAGATGGCGCTCGTGGAACCTGATCGAGCAATCAGGATGAGAGCTCAGTCCTAGCAGTCATGAGCAGCGATCCCATCGATACGGTCGGCCGCGGTCGAAACGTCCAAGGTCTCATCATGAATAGAGAACCTAAGAATTACATCTGCTTCTCAATCTCGGGATTACACTGGAAGCAGTTGAAGAGAGAATAACAGAGACGAGGAAAAGCTTGTGGATGTGAAGGGGCAGCCAATAGATTCAGAGTGGCTTGGACATGGCTCCAAATGTAATAATCTGTACCCGTGGGCGAACCTTGGAATGTACCAGTTGACCCCTGCCTCGCTTCACCCACTGCCGCCGTAAGACGTAGGTACTTGGGGGTAGACAATGGTGTGGCTTCCGCTCAGTCTTGATGACAATTTCGTTTGTCTGGTGAAAGATGACGGCAGCGGGAGGACAAATGCCATTTCTACCTAGGTAAGCGTATCAAGTGAGCGAGGGGCAGCAAATCACCTTTAAAGCTGGCGTCTACCACCACTGTCGTTATTACGCCCACGTATTGGGAGTCTTCTGCGCAAGCTTTACAACAGCAGGGAGCTAGCTTTGCTATATGAATGGCTTCTGCACAAGCACGTCCACCATGCAAGCAAAAACGGTCCCCAATCCCCTTTCACAACTCCATAAAGCACCCGGCAACCGTTCAGATGCACTCATTGTATGCTAGGTACTACCTACACTGGCCACGGGCCAAAGAGAATGTCAAAATGACTGGCCGATTCGGGGTCCAGACCCCGGTCCGAATGCCAGGCCGGCTTGGGTCTAGACTCCAGATTCAACGCAAGAGTCCGGGCCGAGGACTAGCCATGCTGACACGCGCCCAATTCAAACACGCGACTACCATACTCGGAAGGTGATGGGTACAGATAGTAACAGCACCGGAGTTGGAACTCCGGCCACCATGTTGATCCTAATCCACACAATGGTCGAACCCGGGAAGTCTTCTCATGTGGTTCTGTCGGTTGCCCGTTCGTCTTCATACTACACAAGTCAGATTAAGTATCTATGTACTTCTAGATGGATGTCTTGACAGGGCCTGGCTTAAAACCTTGGCTGTGTGGTTGCGCCTCGACGCAGTGGTTCTCGGGGTGGTCTTGGCGAACTGCTTGGCGAAGGATCGCTCCAGGGCTCCTTTCCCGTTGACAGACTCCTAAGACAGACACCCTTATCGTTGCTGTGCCACAATTTCCTCCTCACTTTCTTCCAACAACTACGGCTTTCAAAATGGTCTGCACGGGTAGGAGGCGCAAGATTAGCGCTTCCACGAACGAAGCCGAGGGCGACCATGCAGAGAGCATTCTGAACTGGACGCCCATCGTCGTAATTTCTATGATGCTGTTCATCGACGGCCTCGGCGAGAACATGTCTCTGGCCCCCAAAACCCAGTTGTTCGAGAACATCGCCTGCCGGCAACATTACAACGTCGACAGCGGCGGTCCCATCGACAGGCCCTCGGAGGAAATGTGCAAGGATCCTGCTGTTCAGGATGTCGTGGCGCAACTATTTGGCTGGCAGATATTCTTCGACGGCATTCCCGGCTTGGTCTTGGCCCTTTGGTTTGGGGTTCTCGCCGACAAGCAGGGCCGGAGGCGGGTTTTGTTCCTCAGCCTCGTGGGCCAGGTTCTGGCAGCTTTCTGGGTCCTGTTCATCTGTAGGTGGTAGTATCGCATGACACTGTTTTCTTTTAAATGTTGGTTGACGCAGTTTGCAGGCTGGCTCGAGCTGCCCCTTCGCCCCATGTGGCTGTCTTCGATTTTCCTCATTATCGGAGGCGGGAGCACGGTGACAGGCGCTGTTTGCATGATGATCATCACGGATTCGTCGCCTGAGAAGTACAGGTAAGCATTGTTTGATAGAGTTCTGCGCTTTGAGTTGCTAACACTCCGTCAATCTAGGTCGAATGTTTTCTTTTACAGCCAAGCCGCTCTGATCGTTGCAGAACTCGCCGGGCCAGCAACAGGATCATTTCTGATGGCGAAGAGTCTGTGGCTTCCTTTGCTCCTAGGATTTGGTAAGACCGGAACGCCTTGGTCACGGACATCTTCTAACATGCGCCATCAGCTTGCACGGTTATCACAGCTATCCTCGCCGGTATAATTCCAGAAACTATGCCTCAAACTGGAGAAAGAGCCATGCAGTCAGAAGAAGATGAATCCGACGGGCTGAGTCTCTACAGGACACTGCAGAGGCTCCTTGGGCATGTCTCTAAGACTCTTAGATTCATTGCCAGTCATCGAAGCGTCTTGATCCTGGTCTTGACATTCCTCGTGGTCGACTTCTCGCGACAGTCCCTAAGTGTCCTCTTGCAGTATCTGTCTACTAGATACACTATTCCCATTGCCAAGGTATTTTCTTCCGCTCAAGCTTTTTGTGGTCATGCAACTAATATGCTTAAGGCCAATCTTGTCCTTTCGGCCCGGGGTGTTGCGCAGCTGGTTACCTTCATCGCTATCTTGCCTCTTTTGGACATTTTTGTCTCCAAGAGGCTAGGCCTCCCCCCCAAAGCCAAAGACTTTTTACTTTCACAGGTAAGCATTACATTTATCATGATATGCTTTGCAATCCTGGTCCTTGCTCCATACCTATGGGTGGTTGTTGTTGGTAAGTGCACAAGACCTGCTCAGTCCAAGTTCCAAATACCTGGCAAACTAAACGGCTTGTTTAGGTTTGGCGTTCTATACTCTTGGAAATGGTTTCAGCTCCTTTGCTAGATCGCTTCTCAGTTCGCTGGTCGAAAAGGACATGGTCGGAACACTTTTCACAACGTTATCCATAATGGACACATTGGGATCCTTACTTGCGGGCCCTATCGTTGCCAAAACCTTCAGCTGGAGCCTGAGACTTGATGGAATATGGAAAGGGCTGCCTTATGTCATGTCCTTTACAATCTGTGGTTTGGCATCACTGGCTCTCTCTCGGGCTGGGTCAGTAGATTTGTCCGTTGAGCACCTTGGAAACTGTGAAGATGATGAGGAAAGCAGAGGATTGCTCGCTCATGAACATCTCTCGGCAAGCACACAGGACTAGAGTAACAGAAACAATCTTTGACTTTGCGAGCGAGGAGGTCTGATTGTCTACATACAACGTTTCTGCTTTCGAAGTTCTCCGAAGATGACTTAATGAAGTCGATGCTGTCTTCTAGGATTTGGCACCGCAGATGGATCGTCTTTGGATTTATCTTGATTATCTCGTTGCTATGTCCTTTCACGTCCTGTTCTCTGTAAATAATGCGACATTGTAAGAAATGTGTAACGCAAAGGAAAAGAAGCTCTTTGTGTTTATACTACTTTTCTTTTCATTACTCACTCACCTTGGCCTTCACACGCCTTGATTACTAGGTGTTTCTACTAGTGATTGTTGTGGGAGGGCATGTCACGGCTAGGTTACAGTCAGTGATTACTGAAAAATACATAGTACATGAGTAAGATCTTCTCCAAATGTCTCAGTGTTTTATCTGTATGTCATGGGGAAATTTCCGGAATCAGCAGCATATCTACCAGACGTTATAGAGAGCTCGTGGTTTGAATTCCTCCCTGTACCCGCCACAGCACCCAACGTCGGATAGCCTCGCGTTAAGAACCAGTAAAGCTTGACAGACCATGCAATACGATCTGTTCCCTATCTACGTAGGTAGGCACAACTTTCCACTATAACACACTCTATGGATCGTATCACTAATACATAGCGTGTAGAGATCGGAATGATATTGATTCAAGTCAGAACTCATTGTCGGTTACTCCGATATAGATGCTGGCTGCATGGTTGGCTCGGGCAACAGCAATCATCAAGACCCGTGCCGGGCTGTTGATACCAGCGCTAGAGTCATGGGTTACGGTGAATGATCTATATCGGTACTATCTCACAGTACCTACCGGGGGGAGGGGGGCAAATTAAGTTTATAGTACTATCATTTCAGAATACTATTAACATTCTCTTAAAATATAAACACACTATTAATATAACTATTATCGGTAGGCTTGCTTATATGTAAGTCTTAGTGGTTAAAGTAGTATATATTTATATTAGTTAAAGATTTATTTAACTAAATAATAAAGCACTTAGTTAGATTAGTTAAACTTATTAATTAAACTTAACCTATATATATATATAGACTACTTATTATTTACTTATAGTAGTTAATTTATTATAGCTTATTATTTTTATATTAATATTTTTTAATTTTTAAAATCTTTTTAATTAATTAAAAGCTTTATTTTATTAATAAAGTAAGTTTTAATTAGAATTATTATTTATTTAAAATTATTATTAAATATATAATTATAATTTATTTAATTTAAATATTTTAAAAACACTTTAAATTAATATTTTATAAATTATTTAAATTATTTAAATTTAAATTATTTTAATAAATAAAATTAAATTTAAATTATTTAATTATTTATTAAGTTATTTATTAAGTAATTATTAATTATAATTATATTTAATTAGTTAGTCCTTTTAATAGTTTCTTTTTTATAGTTAATAAAATACTTTAAATTAATGTTTTTAAGTTACTTAGTTACTTAATTACCTAATTACTAAATTATTAATTATTTATTAAGCTATTATTAATTATTTATTATTTATAATTAATTATTAATTAATTTATAACTATTAATTAGTTTAATTAATCCTTCTAATAATCTTTTTCTTCTCTTTTATCTATATAATTAATTAAATTATTTAGTTAATAGCTAGTTAATAATTATTAAAGAGCTTAATTATAATTTATTTAATTAATTAAGTAGTTAATTAAATAGATAGTATATTAAATATAGTTCTTATTTAATAAATATACTCCTACTCTATTTATATAATTAGTTTTTAAGTAGATTAATATACTTAATATACTTTAAGAAGTTACTACTAATATAATTAATTATAATCTACTTATTATTATATATAAAGTTATTTATTAAAAGTAGTTTACGTAGAAAGTTTAGTAGAGAGTTTAATTATAACCTACTTTATTAGTTAGGTAGTTATATATTCCTCCTTATAAGTATTATTAATATATTTCTTTAACTTAATATTTAATTTAAGCTTCTCTTTATAATAAAGGTAGATATATTATTAATATACACTTATAGTAACTATAGATAACTTTATTATAAGGGACTTAGATTTATAATTAACTATAACGTTAATGTACTTTTATTTAATTATTAGAAGAGAGAGAAGTTAAGAGTGTAAAAGTTACTTATTTAGGTGATATAAGGTGGGCGGTCTGTTAAATAGGTTATTAAATGCATTAATTAATAGGTAGTTAAATGTTAGTTTAAAGGTTTAATATATAGGTTTAAGTTATTATTTATAAGAGAGAGTTATTATAAAAGAGAGAGTTATTATAAGAGAGTGATAAAATTTATTTAGTAAAGGTATTTTATTTAGTTAATTTACGCCTAGGCTATCTAACGAGCTATTAAATAAAGGCTAGTAAGTACGTAATTAAACACTAATTTAAAGGTTTTAAAGGTAGGTTTAAATTATTAATTTATAAAAAAGAAAGAGTTATTATAAAAGAGTTATAAAACTTATTTAATAAAGGGGTCCTATTTAATTAATTATACTTAAGTAGTTAAATAGGCTATTAAATATATTAGTTAGTTAGTAAGTAGTTAAATAAAGGTTAGTAAGTATATAATTAAGTGTTAGTTTAAGGGTTTTAAGAGTTTAAATTATTAATTTATAAGAGAGAGAGAAAGTTATTATAAAAGTTATAAGATTTATTTAGTAAAGAGGTTTTAAAAGTTATATATAATAAATATAGTAATAATTATATAATTTTAAATATTTTAAAGACTATATAATTATAATTTAATTTTTATAATAAAAGTTTTAAATATTATAGGGATTTTATTATAATTAATTATAATATAAATATCGTTATTTATAAAGAAAGTTTTAAATATTTTAAAGACTCTTTTATAATAATAATATAATCTATTTCTTTAAATAAAGGATATTATTAGATATTTTAATAGGTATTTTTATTAATAAATAAATTAAAAATAATTACTTTATTATTAAAAGTCTATTAATAATTAATTAGTATTAATAGGTTTACTTATGTATAAGTTTTAATAGTTAAAGTAGTGTATATTTATATTAATTAAAGGTCTATTTAACTAGGTAGTAAAGCGCTTAGTTAGGTTAGTTAAACTTATTAACTAAGTTTAACTTATATATATATATATATATAAATTATTTATTACTTACTTATAATAGTTAATCTATTATAATTTACTATTCCTATAATTATATAATATTTAAATTATGTAATAATTTTTAATTTAATATAATTTCGTAATTAATATACTATTAAAACTTTAATATAAAAGTAAAAAGAGGTTTAATTTTTATTAAAATTATTCTTTTTTATTTTTATCTTTCTTATCCTTAACTTAATTATTAATTAATTACTATAACTTAAATATATATAACTTATTAAAAGTTATAGAAATATAGAAATATAAATTTTAATTAGTTAAGTTAATTTATAAAATTTAATATTAATAGATTTAGAATTCTAATATATATTAATATAATATTAAAATTTAATATATAATTAACCCTTTAATAGATTTTATTTATAATAGTATTCTATTAGCCTTTTATTAGTATTTTATTGTAATATTTAGATTTTATTTAAATGTTAATTTTTAATATAATTGTACGCTTACGTTAGGGACCCCCTCTCCCCCCGGTAGGTATAGGATAGGCTAACACGCTAATCACTTAAGGCCCGCCCGCTTAACAACGTGGGTATCGCCATACCTTTTACTTATACAGAGTAGGGTATAGTACCAACATCGATTTGTCTTCTTTTAAGCGAGGAATGAAGGCTTGAATGTTGCGGAAACTATGGCCATGCAACAGCATAATTCTCTGGGAAGGCGGCTGTGTGAGATTATCCGGGAATGACTATAGACTAGTGATGGTTTGAGCTTGAGGGGCGTCATAACCCAGCCAATAGGGGCGGTGTTGTGCATTGCTGGCAACATTTGTTAGGCTGAAGTGTCGACAAAAGTTGAGACTGAGTCGAAACAGGGCCGGCCTCGTATGAGCGTAATATTTGTAGCATCCCATACTAGTAGAGTGAGTGATTGAGTGCTTACCACCGTATGAAGGCGCCATGTATGTCCTCGGACGTATACGGAATAGAAGCGAAACCACATATTACGGGAACTCACTGGCGTCTGTCGGGCGAGGGTTTGCACTATTCTGGTCGCAATGCGTGATGCCAGTGGGACATACTGTCCCGAATCATTACCAAGGTAGGCTCCAGATGTCCGGAGCTAGTGTGTAGTTTCGCTAATCTAACGGTCCTGAATCTATATTGATCCACAAGAAATACTGTGGGAATGTGAATTTCTCCCCAGTCTGACCCGTAAAATGCTTTGGGCACCCAACAGTCCAGATGTCACAAATCCGAGAATTGGCCCATCAGTCGTCGATGCACATGTGCACTTCCACACCTCACTCGACCATCAATCGAGCGGCCAAATCGATCGTTGCAGGAGCAATAAATATTATTTATGTAACCGCAAGCTTCACATTCCGAATCGCAACAGGAGGTATCACACATGTGCACTGGCGCTTCTCCTTGGTGGCGGGAAACGCGACTGCGGTCAGTGCGACCGCGAGCGTGTGATAGGGCTGGCCTGTCTCTATGACGAAGACCTTGGAGCCGGAGCCAGCTTACTTCTCAGCCTCATCGGTAAGTGCCTTCTCTCAGGTTGGATCGCATCATCATGTGTGCTGACTACAGTACTTCCTTTCAGGTCCTTGCTGCTGCCACCTCATAGTGAGGAAGAGCGGTGGGGTTGTCAGTAAAGGACTAAACGGATATCGACTGGTGTAAGCGATACCGAGCTCCTGTCATGCAAGCCTCTCTGGTTGGCCCTGGATAGATCAACGTCGCAAAAATGACTGAAAAGCCAGAGGGTGTGGGGATGTGGTATGGCCACGACAGGCTATTTTCTTGGAAACGATAACTACCCCTTTAGTCTTGAGAAATCTGCACTATGTTGACTCTTTGATCTCTTGTACACACAACCATGATCTCTTCCTCCGTGGGGCTGCCTCCTGTGCACAGAATTGATTCATCACATAACCATCTATCGGGGCTGCGCTGCGCGGTGATGTTGACTTCCCCAGCAGGTCTTGATCTCATGCCCCTGGGATTTGTGATTACGAATATGTGGTAAATCTTGGCCTTTGTTCTTGTATGTGAGTCTACAGCTCTTGAGGAGAAAGTGTCTGTACTGTGGATTATTGCTGTGCACTCCACAAACCACGAGCGTATTGTATATGCTTCAGATGTTGTTCAAATATATGACCATCACGTGCTTGTTGTTCATTGGTCTGTAGTAAAACATGCACTTTTGATCGCACTAATAACCAATTTTCGAAGTCTATTGCTGTGGAAGTAGGGTGTTACAAATGGGATTGGAGCTTTGTTACACATTGTCAAATACGCGTACTCCAGCCCTGCCGGAGACGTCATGCGCATGATAAGGCCGCTAAGAACGGAGGTGGGATCAGTCCAATCAGTGGGGAAGGACCCTGTGCCGCCAGGCTTGGCACGGTCCCAGCTCCGCGTAGCGGGGGCGGGCAGGGCAGGGCACTAGCTTGTTGCGCAGCTGCCCATTGTCAGGAGGTCGAGCCGAAGGACGACGCACGCGCTACGTAGTGCACCCGTCACACTGTTGTTGCCTCGCGCCATCCTCTCGCCGGCAAAGACGGCGATGACCTCTTAGGGTTGTTGCTTTTGCTTGGGAAGACACACTGTTTCTTGTCACTTTCTCCACCGAACCGTCTCCAGCAGCACATGGAGCCATGGCCGGAGGCACTGGCCAGAAGCTCACGTACGCCACCACGGTTGTGGCTGGTGTCGCGTCGCTGTCTGCAGCCCTCTTCTCCATAGTGTAAGCTTCAACGCACCCTTCAACCCCTCGCCCTCGCCCTCGCCCTCGACCCTCCCAACACGCATCTCGCAGCTGCTGACATCCCAGACAGGTCAATATGGCTTCAAACGTAGGCCACGGAATGCTCCCAGCCCGGCCACTGGGGCAAAGTGCTGACTGACATGACATGGCTGTAGCAAGAACTACAGGAAACCGCTCCTGCAGCGATATGTGGTTCGCATCTTGCTCATGTACGCCCGACCATCGCTCCCTCTCGTTCTCCAGATCCCCCCAGCGGCATGCCTTGAAACTGACTGAGCCACATAGGGTGCCCATCTACTCCGTCTCGTCGTGGGTTAGCCTCGTGTCCTTCTCCGCAGCCCAGTGGCTCGACCCCATCCGCGACGTTTACGAGGCCTTCACCATCTACACCTTCTTCCAGCTGCTCATCAACTATCTCGGCGGCGAGCGCAACCTGATCATAACCACCCATGGCCGCGCCCCAGTCGCCCACCTGTGGCCCTTGGACCACGTCCTCTCGCCCGTCGACATCTCCGATCCTTATACCTTCCTGGCCATCAAGCGCGGCATTCTGCAGTACGCCTGGCTAAAGCCCGTCCTGGGCATCTCCGCCATAATCATGAAGGCCACGGGCACATACAAGGAGGGCTACATTGATATAAGCTCGGGCTACCTGTGGAGTGGCATCATCTACAACATCAGCGTCACGCTTAGTCTATACTCGCTTGGTCTGTTCTGGGTGTGCATGCACGACGACCTGAAGCCGTTCAGGCCCATGCCCAAGTTCCTATGCATCAAGCTCATCATCTTTGCATCTTACTGGCAAGGTTTCGCCCTGTCCATCTTGGTCTGGTTGGGCGCCATCCCCGACAACGTCGAAGGCTATACCCAGGACAACCTGGCGGCCGCCATCCAGGACGCCCTGATCTGTATCGAGATGCCCATCTTTGCCGTTTCGCACTGGTACGCCTTCTCATGGCACGATTATGCCGACAACAGGCTGTCTGCCGCGCGACTTCCGGTCTGGTACGCAGTACGAGATGCTTTTGGCCCTCGTGACCTGATCGAGGACACGAAGGAGACCTTTAGTGGAGACAAGTACAAGTACCGCCAGTTCGACTCCAACGACAAGATCCTGGCCCACGAGGCCTCCAAGTCACGCCTGGCGAGGTTGAAGGCCGGCATGCGCTACGAGAGAGGAGGCAGGGGGAAGTACTGGCTGCCCAACCCTAATGAGATCAACGAGCATACATCTCTGCTTCAGGGTGGCGAGTCGAGCCGCGAGAGATCGCAGTCGCGCACGAATGGGACGGTGGATTTTGAGGAGCCAGGCCTCGACCCAGGCGAGGAAGACCTGTACAAGAAGGCCAAGAAGATGGAGTTTGGAGACTGGAATGTAAGTGTTGATGACCATATACTTCAGGATCAACAGGCATACTGACCAGCTCCCAGTATCCAGTCATCACAGCCAACAAGCCCTCGCGGGATCTCTGGACAACCCCACAGCCAAGTTTCGCCCGGATACCCCACATCGAACCGCGCTCATCCTCGTCATCACCCTCCACCTCCCGCCCGTCCCAGGGCTCAAGACCGCCCAGCGCAGACCTGATCAAGTCCAAGACCACAAAGGGCAAGAAGAAGGGCAAGCGCAAGGAGTCCATCCCCACGGGCGGCATCATCCACGACCCGGACCACCACCAGCACCGGGACAGGGTCACCCAGGAGCCGCTCCCGCACGAGAGCGAGACGGCGCCGTCGGGCTTCGGCACCGCCAACGAGGACTACACCACCGTCACCGAGGAGTACCTCGAGGCCGCCGAGCGCATCGGCTACGACGGCAAGGTCAAGAACGTCGAGAACGAGGGCCCGCTCGCCGAGGGGTCGCGCGCGTGGGAGGAGGCGCGCGAGGAGGAGGAGGCGTCGCCCGCCGGCACGCCTAGCTTCGCGCCCATCGACGGCGCGGACGACGAGGTCAACCGGAACCCCTGGGATAAGGCCCAGGATGAGTTTTTCTCATAGGACCGACTGACCTGGCTGGCCCCCGGCCGGTACAGGCGCAAGTGACCCGGGGTGGACGGGCGAGCGAGCGAGCGGTGCAAGCAGGAATAAGATTTGTCTTGTGTATGGCTTTTGATACCCTTGACTTTTTTTGTCTTCCTTTTCTTTATCATAAACGAAGGTTTTGGCTGGTTTTCTTTAACAAAAAACCTGTTGGCTTGATTTTTGTGGCTTGGTCCAGCGAGCGATTCACTATACATAAACAAACGGGGCTTGCGTGCGGCTTTGGCTTTAGCTTTCCTCGGGTCCGGCATTGAGACACACACACACAGACACACGTGTGGCATGGCGAGGCGTCTAGACGTACCATGGAGGGGAATATATTTCGGCCTGGACTTTTTTTCATTGGTCCTGCGATTGGTGCTGTGTCATTGAATTGCTTGTGTGACTGATAGCCTTTTATGGTCTTGGTCTCTTTCGTCCGGACATGACATGTCGCCTTTGACGATATAACTAACTGCCCGATGCTGGGGTGCTGATCCACGGACGGAAACGCCCTTTACATCGTGGCTGCCGTCGTGTACCACCGGAAACATCAGGCAGGGTGGCTGGCGGCGTTGCAGTGTCTGAGTGGTGCCATCCGAGGTTGTATCTGCTGGCTTCCGGGCAGGGCGGTCAGACCTACTAGGTGTGGTGGCCCACCGGAGCTGTAATAGTGCTCGCGGCGGTAGGCTGGACTTGAAGGAAAAAGTCCCGGCACAAGCATGAGTGACGGTTCAATCTTTTTTTGTTCTCTTTTTTCCCTTCTTACTTACATTCTCAGCCATGCCTGACAATGTTTCGAAATAAACTATGTATGTACGCCTATGGGTTGCCGGTGGTGGACTCTGCGGCCGTCCACGGGACTGACTGGGTCTGGAAACTTTTATGACGCTGGCTGGCTGGCTTTGATACGCTTCAAAAAGGTAATGTGGAACCCGTAAATGATGCAGACCCGTAAAGTTAATCAAACATGAAGTTCAGGATAGTCTCGCAAAAATAAAAGCTGAGTGTGGGTGATTTCAATACAGTTTACCCGCTGTGTATAATCTGATTCGCATGCGATGCGGTTGATGCTGGCTGGACTCAGGCTTATAAGGGCACGCATGTTCTGTTCACTCCCAGCGGCCCCAACAAAGAGGAAAATGGCGTACCGGTCAGCGCGGCCGAGTTGATCTCAGAACAGGAAAAAGTAAACAAAGGACTAGCCGAGAAGGAACTAGGGGTAGCTGACTGTATGTATAGACGGTCCCCCCGACGACGAGCGCGAGAGCACGAGAAGCAGCCCACCTCACGATACCGAACACGAACCTAACGATATAGCCCGGGTGCTATCGAAGACTACCACGAACCTAGCGAGACCACGAGCCTAAGGAGACCACTAACCTAACGAGCCCTACGAGCCTTGACAAGACGTAGACCTTCGAACCTAACGAGACATAGACCTACTAACGACACATAGACCTACTAGCATTACATAGACCTACTAACGAGACATAGACCTAACGAGACATAGGCCTAACGAGACATAGACCTACCACCAACCACCGCGAGCGATACACACACCCAACGATGAACAGAGCCCCCCCAGCAACGCTAACTTAGATCAATACTACACAACAACCCCCACCCCCAAGAGAGAAGATAGATTATAAGAATAAAGGGATAGATTTCTCTCAATTATAAACCTATCTAAAAGAGAGAGAACGGTCCCTTTTATAAACAAAAGTAAGTTCTCTAAATACCCACTAGAATACTATAGAAATTAAGAGAAATAAGTATTCTTTATATAAGTTAATACCTTATATTTAAAGGATTAAAATAATAGTTATATTAAACTATAAATAAATATAAAACTATTAATAAATAAAGTATTTTAATAATTCCTAAAAGTTAAATATATATAATTATTTAAATATTTTTTATAAAATATAAATATTATTTAATTTAATTTTAAGAATTTATTATTAAAAAAATTTTATAAAAAAATAAAATTTAATAAATAATTATAATTATAAGTATTTTAATTAAATAAAACTTTTATAAAAATTTAATTTATAAATATAAAATATAAATTATATATATATTAATAATTTTAATTTAATTTATTAAATAAAATAAAAATTAAAAGTTTAAAAGTTTAATTATATTAATAATTAAATTTAGAACCTTTAATATATAATTATAATTATTTTATTAAAAGACTTTATAATTATATTTATATATTATTATATTTATTTATATATAAGTATATTTATATATAATTTAATTACTATATTTAAACTATTATATTATATATATTATAAATTTATAAAATATATATAAATTTATAAATTTATAAGGAGTTAATGTTTATTTATTTAGTAATTATATTTACTTACCTAATTCCTACTAACTACTTACTTAATATTAATTTTTCTAAATAACTCCTTTATATTTATAAATACCTTTTAAGTTAATATTAAGAGACCTTATAGTATAATTTCCTTCTTTAATTTTCAATACTTTTAGTATAAACCCCTTTTAATACCCCTTCTAATATACCTTTATCTTTACCTTCACCTTTACCTTTACCTTTATCTTTATTTTTACTATTTAATCTATATATATTTAGGTATTAATTAAGTATTTAAATATTAACTAAATACTAAAAGGCTAGAAATTAAAAAGGTAAAAGTAAAGATTATATACTTTCTAACCTTTTAGTATCCCTTCTAGCCCTTTAATACTCTAAACTTCTAACCTTTTACTGTTTAGTTAGTATTTAAATACTTAATTAGTATCTAAATATATATAGATTAAAAGGTTTAAAAAGTATATTAAAAGGAGTATTAAAAAGTATACTAAAAGGAGTGCTAAAAGGTATATTAAAAGGGGTACTAGAAGGGGTATTAAAAGGAGTGTAGAAGGAGCTTATATTAAAAGTATTAAAAATTTAGAGAATCCTAGTTAGATATATAGTTTTATATAGGCTCTATATATAAATTCTTATACTAAATAAGTAGTTAAAAAAAACTAAGTAAGTAAATATAATTACTAGGTGAGTGGATATTAGCTTATTTATAAGTATAAATTAAATATAATAATTATAATAATATATAATATATTATATATTATAAATTAAAAAAGTTATTTTAAATTTTTATTTTAAGTTATTTTAAACTTTTATTTAATAATACTTTTAAAGTCTATTTAATATATTTTTAATATATTATTAATAGTTTATAAAATATAGAAAATTTTTATTTTTAATAAAAGTTTTTAATAATTAAAATCTTTTAATATATAAAGTTAATTATAGTTTTAAAAAATAATTTATTTATAAAAATAAAACTAAATATTTTTATTTAAAAGTTTATTATTTTTAAAAGAATACTTCTTTTATTAAATATATTATAATAAATATTTATAGTTTATTTATTATTTTAAAATATTCTTTTATTTAAAACCCTTTTATATATATATAAAATATTTCTATATTTATTTTTATATAAATTATATTTTTTTAATTAACTTAAATTCTTACTTAACTATAATCTTTATTAATTAATTTATAAAGTTATTTTTATATTTATTCTAATAATTTTAATTAGATTTCTTTTAATTATATATTTATTAAAATAATATATAATATTTATATATTTAGTATATTTATAAAATATTTAATTTTTAATTAATTTTAAAGTAATATTATTATTTTTATATATTTTATTTTAGAAATATTATACTTTAATTTTAAAAATTATTAAAATAATTTAATAAATTATATAAATAAATTTCTTTTAATAGCTTTTAAAACTATATATTTAACCTTATAAATACTTAATATAAATATTTTTATTATTAAAAGATTAATTAATAAAGTTAAATATTTTTTATTTTTAATAAATAAAGAAAATATATAATTTAAAATAAATTTTTATTATTTATATTATTACTAACTTAAGTTATAATAATTTATTAAATATAAAGTATTTTCTTTTAAATATTAAAATCTTTTATATATATTAAAAATTTTAATAAATATTCTTATAATTTATTTAATTCTTTAAAGTATTTTATATTAAAGTTAAATATATATTTAGTTAATTTAAATATTAAAAGTATATATTTAACCTAATTTTAAATTAATATATAAGAGAGTTTATTTATTATTAAAAGCTTTTATTTCTTTTTAAAAACTTAATTTATATTTCTTTTAAAGCTTTTTAAAAGTATAAAGTATTAATTTTAATTTTATTTTAATATTATTAATATAATTATTTTAAAATATTAAATTTTATAAGGATTTTAAAAGTATATTAATTTTAATTTATAATAATAATTTTATTATTTTTATTAATTTTAATATTATTTCTTAAAATACTATTTAATTCTTTTAAAAATTTAAATTTATATTTTAAATATTAAGAAAATTAAATTATTTATAATATTTAAATTAATATTTAAAATTATTATATTATTTATATAATATATAAATATTATTTATAAATTTATATTTATAAATATATTTTATTATAAAATATATTTTAAATTTAATTTTATTAAAATATTAATTAAATATTTATATTATAATAAAAATACTTATTAAAATTTATATATAGCTTTTAATAATAAAATAGTTTTATTTTATATTTTTTATTATATATAAAGTTAAAAGTTTAATATATATTTTATAATTTATATTAAAATATAAAAATATTTTTATATTATAACTTAATATATATTAATTTTATTAATTATTATAATTAATAGTATATTATAAGTCTTTAACTTATAAATAGTTAAAAGGTTTTTAAAATTTATTTTAAATTATTATTTATAGTTATAAATAACCTATTTAACTTTATATTTAATAATATTTTTATTAACTATTTAGTTAAATTTTATTATATTAAGATTATTTATATATATTTTTTAATATTTATCTATTAAATAATATTATTTTTATTTTAAATAATATAATTATTTTATAAAATTTTATTCTTTTAAATTATTTTTAATTTATTATAAATTTAAGTTATAAATCTTTTAAAAAATTTAATATTTCTTTTATATTAAAAAGTTTAACTATAATATTAGTTATTATAATAATAAAAGAATTATTAAAATTATTTATAATAATATTTATATAAATATTTTTCTTTTATAGAATTCTTTTAAAATTCTTTTTTATAAATATTTCTTCTTTTATAAGATTTTTAATATTATTTTTATTTTTAAATTTATTAAATTTATTAAAATATTTTCCTTTTAAAATTTATATATCTTATATTAATATAAGTTTATTAATCTTTATATCTTAAACTTTATATATATATATATTTTAAAAATATAATTTATTAAAAGATTCTTTTATTTTTAAT